CGACTTTGAGTCAGCGCCTCTGCCATGTATATTCAATTCGATTGCTAGGGTATAAGCGATCTTGACGAACCTTCAACAAGTAAGAGGACTTCGTCGAGGGTGGCGAAAGAGAGCTGTGGAGGTTTCAAGTCGTCGCAGTGCACGTTCAAGTTGCTGCGAGCCTGAGTGTGGCTTGGGTGTTCCCATTCCGGCGGACAAGCGGGCCGCGATTCCGCGACTTCGGAACTTGCTATATATGGATTATACAGCGCATGGGCGCTCTAGCACCGCTCAAGCTCAAGCTACGCTTGGATCGAGCGCAGTAGAAGTCGAAGGCGCGCGCCGCCATTCGCTTGGCGTCGGTCTAAGGCTCGAGGAGGTGGCCTCGTCTTCAACCGCGGTGTGCATGCTAAAGTACCGTTCACTAGATCTGCTATTATACAATGACTAACACATTTCTTTCGTCATTCCTCGTCCCTGTATCGAAGCTCGCCGTTGGGCCCCATATATGATCCCTCGTAGAGCAGTGCTGTCATTGGCCCGACCACTCTGGGATCTTGTGCATTGGAGTGCTGTTGCGGGAGAGCCATCGCTGTACCTGCCTGACTCGCTGGGACCTTATCCTGTACAACATTGTGTGGCCGCTGAGGTGACCCAGTGTGTGTTGTGCTACAGGACGCAGGTCCGCGCGACGACTTGGTAGGTCGTGAAGCCGAGTGCGACAAGCGGTCTTCAGGGGAGGCTGGGAGTACGCGAGAGGGTGACTGGGGCATAGGCGCAGGTGCCGCTTGTAGCCGACGGATGTACCACGATTTGAAGCGGTCTACGTCAAGCCATGAGACAGCATTATCGACTGTGTATGAGTCGATGGGGTCAAGGAGTAGCTTCCCGCGGAAAGTCTACGACGCAGAAGTCAGCAGGTTGAGCAGCATAGTACTCGTACTCGCACTCACAAAGTCTCGGTACGCGATGATATCTTCTGCTGAAGCACGACTGACTATGTCACGAACTCTAGCCGCGTTGTCTGCTTCGACATCAGGGCTGGCGTCCTGCTCCGACGTGTTTGCACGAATGGAGCCTATCATCCTTGAAGTGGACTCCGAGTCAGTCGAAAGCACGGATGGCGAGTGAAGACTGAAGCTCACCGTCTTCGCGAGCCTCCTTATATACTGCTTCATAACAAAGTGTGTCCCTACATCGAAACGGTTGCTAAGGCCACAACCAAGGCCCAGTGGCGATTCACGAACAGGGGGGTGGCTCACCTGTGATTGTCGGCTTTCAACGTTGCTGATGCTCTAGCTCCAGGGACAAAGGATATTTCAGGGGCAGATCACTAACCATGTACCACAACTTCTCGGTATGGGTTGTGCCACGATCATCTCGCCCCAATCTCGCCACTACGCCTGCTAATGCCGTGGTGCTAGAAGGGTTCGTGAGCATCATCCTCTTTTGTCGTCACCACAAACAATCACTTTGACCTGATCACAGGGGCGCCGCGACGCCGCATGTGGTCACGGCGCATAGCAACCACCATGGTCCGCCGAGAATGGGGAATTGTGGCCATAGGGGGTGCAGGCCCGCACGTATAAAAGCTCGCAATTTTGCAGCAGTCGACTAACAACCATCCTATTCCAACACTCCCGCATCTCGTTCAACCACCATGCACCACTATCCGCTTCGTCGACGGAGCCAACCCCGAGACTCTAGTTTGCTCTTCGGGCATCCTGATTCAATCGTCAACAACGTGTGTTCCGATCACATCGTTTCGTGAGATTCTCTGCATTGCTCCCGTTATGTTCGCTGACCGACGCGCATTCAAGTTGCCTATCGGCACCCCGTTCGCGTCGTACAAGGTAGAGCGGCGCGCTCTTGGTCCCTGTAAAGGGGTGGTTCTCGCCGCATGGGGGCGAGAGGCTTTGTGTCCCGTCTACGAAGGCAGCGGCATCGGTCGCCACTGGCATGACACCCCGTCGCCTACCCGCATCGCCCAGACACCCAACGTCCCCTGCGATGGAGCCCACCACGCACTCGACGGTCGACTTCCACGATGACGTCCACACACTCATCGCTGGCCTTCATCTACCTCGAACGGGCTTCATGGCGGCGATCCGGAACATAGGGTTGCTTAGCGCGACGCCTCTTCCAGTGGATGCCCGAACTCGAGGCTCTCATCGACGGGGTGCTCAATGCACAGGTGCCTTGCACAGAGTGGACACCGGTGTATTACGCAGAGTGAGTGCGTAGTCTTATGCGTGTGATTCTAACACTGATACATATTGTACAGTCCGCTAGGTCCGAGCACCGACATCGCATCAGAGTCAGTATACATATTTCAGACCTTTGGGAACGATTTCCCCTGGGACTACCTTCCTCCTGTCCTCGGAGTTGCTCGCAACGAGTGCTGTCGACGTGTCTGAGGTTCTCTACTGTGACGAGGGCATCTCATATGCGAGCCCTAGTGAAAGCAAGTCCATGAGCACCATGACTTCCACGCCATCTCCATGCGCCATCGTCGCCGCCGGATCGTCAAACCGACGAGCAAACGTCGCATCAAGGTATCACCCGCGCCAGACACGCGAGGTGAAGGGAATCCTCGCCCGTCCTGCACTCCCTCACGTCGTTCCTCGGCTGGACACGCACGACGTCGGCGTGACAAGCAGGTCGAGTTTACCTCCACGTTGCCGCTCGAGGAATGCACCGGATGGTTCACTTGTTCGCACTGCGCCTTCTTGACGCGACACAAGGGCACTTCGATCTCGGAGCCGGATCGCCTTATGCGCATACACTTCGCCGTCAGTCGCGGGCCAGAGTGGGTCTGCTGCGGGGTGCCAGAGGAGGATGCTCCCGGATGTACTGGGGAGATGTACGAGCATGGAGGGGGAGGAACGCGTGACGGGTACATGAGAAGCTTCAGCCGGCGGGACTCATTTCTTCGGCATCTGAAGAAGGCGACGTGCTTAGTACGTCAGGCGCGCGAGAACGAACACGACATCTCCCATCCCGCACACCCTCCCATCATCGTTCCTCGGCCGGGCGCGCACGACGTCTCCGCGCAACAAGCAAGTCCGGTTTCGCTCTCCCAGTACCGCGCGAGGAGCGCGATGGCTGGTTCACCTGCCCATGCTCGACATGGCAGGCATGAACCGGTGTGCTGTCAGGTTTGAGATAGCGGGCCAAGTTATTGACGAGCTTGAACTCGAATACATGCACAGCGGGGGCGGGCACTCGCCTGACAGGCTTCTTCGGTGATGAAGAGCGGAAGAAGTTCAGCATTCCACCTTTGGATGGGGGCGACTTCAGCCAACACATTCGCACACACTTCGTCCTCAGTCGTGGGCCGAGATCGCCAGAGTTTGCTGCAGGTACCGGACCACCGGGAGAGCTATGAACACGGAGGGAGGAGGATAGTTAGTGGATGCATGAGAACTTTCAGTCGGCGGGATTCGTTCCTTCGACACCAGGTCTGAAGAATCCGGGTTGCTTGCGACCCACATGGCCCTTCTTAGACACAGCGTGCGGGTAGTAAGAGTACTAGTAGAACGCGGAATCAGTCACAGCGGCAAGACTCAACTCGACTCGTCGGTGTTGCTAGTAGTTTGGAACATATGAGCAGTTAGTATATGACAAGAGAGTCCGACCGAGGTTGCTAGGCGAAAGTTGATTAAAAGTGACAAAGGATGTTGTGAACAGGACGAGAGCTCGAACTGCAGTCTGCAGTCTGCCAGTGACTCTGGTGGTCAGTGGCACCGTCACGGTGGTGGCTTCATTCCCGGGCCGCTCCGTGACTTGCGCGCCTACTATTTATTACTACTATTAGTGAAGTCACCCAAGGGGTACATACTACTACGTACCTATGTATGTCCAGATACTCTCTCATTGCCCATACACTCTACCCACGCGCACCCTTCTTGGACGCAGTGACATCCAGAGGGCGTGATGCTCGAAGCCTGGACCGCGGCAGAACATACGATGATATTACACCCTGGTATGTATGGCTTTCTTGCGGTGTCAACACAAACTTACCGTCGCTCTTGTCATCAGTGAATATTCTGCAAGGCTCCCATGCTGCTGCCTGCACCGGATGTTCTCATGATAACATCCTCGTTCGCCCCGGGCTAGTCTCCGAGTCGACACCACGATATGGGAATTGCCAGGACACTCGCGCGCGCTTTGTAGACATTACTTAGAGGTACGCTGATCTACCACGATTATCTCGCTCGTACCTCCGCTAACACCGTGGTGCTTGTAAAGATACACTCTTTTCGCATCACGACACCCCGTTTGCACCATATAAGGTATAGCGGCGCGCTTCTTGGTGCTTGTAAAGGTGCACTCGATTCCCTCGACCTCGCCGCCTTGCGCTGGACGACGGCGAGATGCTTTCTGTACCCGCAGGTATAAAAGCAGTGGCTCCGACCGCCATGATGCCTCCATTGCCTACCCGCGTCGCGCAGAAACTCGATACTCTCCGCCATGTCTGTCACACAGTCTGTGTATTACAATCACGATGACCTCGTCTCCTTTGCCACTGACATTACAACCCCCCTACGTACGCGCCGTCCGCACTCAGTGGCGACACTGGTTTGACGACAGAGCACTGGGAATGGTCCGGATCGCCTGATGCGACATCGGGTGATCTCTTCCTTGCCCCGGATGCCGAACTCCTCATCGACGACGCGTTCAATACACCGTTGCCTTACACAGAGTATGTGCATAGAATTATGCGTGTGTTTCTACTGCTCACGCGTACTGTGCAGTCCGTCGGATGTAAACTCAGCATCGCAGTCAGTAGATGCATTTCAGGCCTTTGGGAACGATGTCCTCTGGGACTACCTTCCTCCTGTCGTGTGGTCCCCGGAGTTGCTCACGACTGTCGACACGTATGGGCTTCCCTACTTCGACGGGGACATCTCGTATACGAGCGCAAGTGGGAGCTCTACGAGCGCCATGACTTCCACATCGTCTCCCCCTCCTCATGGGAGGACTCGTCCGCTTCCTCTCCCAGTTTCGACGCTGGATCACCCTCTCTTCCGCTTCCCGGACCTTCCCGCTACCCATCTGCCGCCGGTTCGCACGTAAAGATACCACTCGCGCCAGACGCGCGAGATCGAACACATTCTCTCCCGTCCCGCACACCCTCACATCGTCGTTCCTCCGCCGAGCACGCACGACGACTCCGCGCAACAAGCAGGTCGGATTTGCCTCCACGACGCAGCGCGAGGAACACAACGGGTGGTTCACCTGCTCGCACTGCGATTTCTTGACGCGGCGCAAGGGCGACTTCGACCGCCACGTCCGCACGCATTTCGCGCTTAGTCGCGGGCCAGAGTGGGTTTGCTGTGGGGTGCCGGAGGAGGATGCTCCCGGACACTCCGGGGAGAAGTACGAGCATGGAGGGCGGCGAATGGTTGGTGGATGCCTGAAAAGCTTCAGCCGGCGGGACTCGTTCCTCCGACATCTGCAGAAGGTGGGATGTTTGCGACCTGTACATCTCTAGATGGCGGGCGGCTGTGTAGGGATAGATTGACACGGAACCTTGAGCTCGAGTCACTTATGTTCATAGTTGCGCTAGTCACATGCTATTGGATTTGTACCGTCATCGGCTACTCAAGCTCAAGGCATACCCCATATGGTGAGTATGAGGAGTTTCTTGTCTTTATAATGTCCTTCATACACACCGTCACAGCTCTCATTTCTTTCGCCAGTCTGGCATGAGCCACCTCCCTTAGCGTCATGGACCGTCAAATTGGCCCAGAAGTCAGCTTCGGACACGTACTGCTCGTCCGATTCTCGCGTGGTACCCGCGGTCGTCGACGGGGCCAAGAGTGTCTTTGAAGGGGTCGGGTATGGACAAATGCTTGTGATTTAGTGTCTTCATTTCCGAGAGGCACGACTAACGACGCCATGCTAGTAGGTCCAGGAAGTCTAGTGTGTTTAAAAAAGCGCGTAGGTATTCAGATGCATGTTCATTGAACGTCACTATCATATGTCACGCTCACAACCAACGCGATTTCATTGAACGTCGTCAATTGCCAGGCAATTCACGGCTGCGACTGATTCTCCAACTGTTACAAGTGCACCCGGGTGCCAACAAGATACAAGTCGTCCCAAACACAACTCTCAGCCGACTATGGGCTCAGCCATAGCCCCAAAGAACCGCGGGCCGATCATTTGTATTCCGCCACCACTGCTCTCTTGAGTCGAAGGCTTTGCCGCCGCCTGTGACTTTGCCTTCTCCATCTGCTCCCGAAGATCCTGGATCTGGCCCTTCGTCACGTCTCCGAACGAAGAAGTCACGGCGTGTTTGGGATTTGCGAGAAGCACGAGGGACGATATGCTGCGGAGTGTTCATTAGCCGCAATCCGCAGGAGGTACAGAGTCGTGGGCGTTACGCACAAGACTTCCTTGAGGTACGCGAAGCTGAACCCAGAGGTCTCAGAGACGAGCTCGTCCACAAGGGCGTCGGAGAACTCGACGGAGGAGTTATTGTCAAGCTTCTTCTGCCAGTACTTGACGTATAGCGCGCGCTCCCGCTCATCCGGATCGTCAAACGCACTAGATATATCATTAGTTGTCGTCCTTTCATGGGACTGTTACAATCGACGTACAACTTGCGGTCGAACCGACTGGGCCGCCCACTCAGAGCGATGTCGAGCTTCTCTAGGTGGTTCGTGCTTGCAATGAGGAGGAGCCCATCGTTTCCCTCTAGCCATCGAGCTGATTGAGGAAGAAACTCCGGTTCTTGTCAGTGATTAGGGAGTCGAGGTCCTCCAGCACCTACCAAGCATCATGAATCCTCGATGCGACAGGGAGTTTTGATAGATCAACGTACCATGACGCACGGCGCCATCTCGCGCGCTTTGTTGAACACATCCACCATTGCGCCCTCGTCGCCTCTGTGGTGTCTGAAGGATTTGACGTACAGCGGCGCAAAGCCTCGATCGGAGCATGTCTTCATGATCGCCTTCAGGGTGATGGTCTTTCCATTGCCAGGCGGACCGTGTATAATTATACCTCGCTGCGTACGACATGGCGCGGTGAGCCCCCGAATCATCACTGTCGTACACACCGGCTCACCTTCCACGGTACAGAGAGGCTCTTGTACAAGCCCTCGCTGTCGAAGAACCCTTCCACATCCCCCATGAGCTGCTCTTTGAACGCCTCTTTCAGAATGACGTCGGACCAGTTTGCCTTGTGGACCTCAACCCAGAGCTCGTGACTCTTTTGCCAGCGCGCTTCATCGAAGACTAGAATCTCCTCGTGCAGCTGTGCTTGCCATGCACCTGCAGCTTCCAACAGGGCGTGACACCTGTCTGCAGAGCTGTGCACGAGAAAATGGGTGGACATTTGGATGCCGCGCATGCCATAGGTGTACTGCGGGGGAAAAGAATTCCTCAATTACATGTGGGTTGCCAAACCGTAGCAAGAACTCACTTGCAGAGTATAACACAGGAAGTCGTCATCCTGACGGCAATATGCATGATGCCATTGATCTGAGGGCCCGGGAACTGCATAATTGATGAGACTCACCTTCCATGTCAGCTGGAAAGCCGCAAACTTCCAGTTATCCGCCAGCTTGCCGGCCTCACCGCCCTCACGGAACACCATCCGAGCGGCGGGGGCAAATGTTTTCACGCTTATTGACTGCGGCTTAGCAGAAACGACCTTGACCCCTGGGAGGCCTTGGAGGTTGAAACCGGCAACATCACTGAAGGCGACGATGGACGCATCAGGGTGCAACTTTCGCAACTTCTCGACGCTGGACGCACGTATAGTCAGTAAGGATTGCATACACAAGCGAGAGCGAGTTGTGACTGACCAAATCACGGCAGGTTCGCTCAACTGCGCAGACGCTTGGTGTAAGCGCACGTCAGTCAACATAGTTGCGATCTAAGGACGAATGCATGCTTACCTTGTCGTATCCAGAAGTCGTAGAATTCACTCATAGGATTCCCTGTCTCAATACTGGTAGGTACTGTCTGTGAAGAGAATGCCATGATCGCGGGCGTGGTAGTAGGACGTACGAGCTGAACATCGTGTGCTTTATACTCCAGCTGAGGGGTACCACACGGGCGGCAGAAGCAGACATTCTCTGACTTGAGTTGTTATCTCTGTGTATCCAATAGGCATGTCTTGTCTTTTACGGATAGTTGCTGCGTATCGGGACGAGTCAGCGATGGGGCTCTAGCGCTGCAGACGCAGACGACCATCTGTAGCCGCAAAGAACGTGTGAGCATGTGTGGAGCGATACAAGGTTAACTTACCCTGTTTGGTTGCTGGATGGTAGCACGGGCGCGTAGGACCTAGACATTACAGTGACTGTGGACTGGATTGGAATGCAGGGCCCTGGTGTTCTTATCCTGCGATCAATCGTGGTCTGCTGTTCGTCTGCGGGTCCGACTCGGAGGCAGTCACGGTGCTGCGCTTCGGGCTTCCAACCTTCGACACTGTCACGGTCGTCGGCCACACAGCTAACTGACATACTTAGCTCGAGCGTGGAGCTTACGGTGGGCCACCGTGAGTCCGCAACAGACCGGTCACCGCATTCACCCAACTGCATGCAGCCCGGCCCGGGATACCATGATGATACGGAAGCACGAAGTGCTCCAATCTAGTCACATTGCTGGACTCGAAGACTCAAAAGAGAATGATGACCGGAAAGCTTGAACTGTGCGTGTCAGGCTCCACCAGTGGTGTGACTATGGACCTTTGCCAGTGCTGTATTCCGACAAGGAACTGACTCAGTCGACTCAGGACGAGTCATAACATGCGCAACGCTTCGTCAGTCAGCATTAGTTTTTCATGAACGAAAGATAGTGACTCACAGGGCAGATCGAAGATACGCGTACCGAGCTTGTAAGGAGCGTTGGGGAATAGAGCGGACGAGACATCTGTGGTAGCGTAGAACGCAGGTACTCCGAGTCAGAATTGCCAACTTCACAAGGGATCGCGATCATGTGTTCACACCACCGCGACGTGGCTCCTGCTCTGATTGGCCAAGCGATCGTACGCAATCTGGCCTGACTCTATTAATGCATCGCAGGATCTAAGTAACACATAAAGTAACGTTAAAAACAACACGAGAGCACAACACGCACGAGTCCCAGGAAGCACAAAAGCATGACGAATGAGCGACGGTGAGCAGGCTTACAGACCCCGACCCTTCCGCGCCTGCGAGACAAAGAGGTCCTTGCCCTTGATGGTACGCGACGCCCAGTCTCCGAGCACGATGCCCCACAGCATGCCCAGATATGCCGAGCCACCGGTCTGCCACAGCGTTCGTCAGCGCGCGCTTTAAATCCACGACACGAGCACTGACCTTCCCCAACGGGATCAGGATCAGCTCCGGGCTGCCCTTGTACACCTTCTTGAGCGGCTTCCCCTCGAGGTAGCTCACGACGTTCGGCACGACGATACCGAGGTGGTTCGCGCCCTTCGCCGCCTGCTTCTGCTCGTCCCAGTCCACGACATCCCCGAGCGCGAAGACGCCCGCGTGGCCCTGCACCTCCAGCGTCGGATTCACCTTCAGGCTGCCGTTGCTCGAAAGCGGCGACGGCATGAGCGAGGACACGATCGCGGTGTTCGGGCGCGACCCGTAGGCGGGAATCTGGAGGGCCGTCAGCGATGTCCTTCGCCCAGCAATGACGCACGTACCACGAGATCAGCAGACTCAAAGTGCGTCCCCTTCCGCGTGCTCAGCCCCCGTACGCCAGGCTCGGGGATCTCGTCGATGTATTCGTTGAACGCGAAGTTGATGCCGCGTGCGCGCGCCTTCTTCTCGATCGCGTTGCGGTACTTGTCCGGGTACACGGCCGTGAGCAGCTTCGAGCCGCTGTGGACCACCGTCACCCTCTTGCCCGGGTACGCCTCCTTGATTTCCCCGGCGAACTCTGCCTCAAATCAGCGGGCGGATTGACGGACACGGACACGGACACGCACCGATGCCGACAGCACCGCCCCCGACGATGAAGATGTCCTTCGCCGCCTTCACGCGCTCCCTCCACTGCTGCACATGCCCCGGCAGCTTCTCCCCGTCGGGGAACGCCAGCGGGCCCTGCCATGTGCTGCCCGTCGCGACCACGAGCGCGTCCCACCGCAGCCGCTCACCGCCCTCGAGCACAACCCAGCCGCCCTTCCCGCTCTCCTTGTCCTCCTCGACCGCGACCGCGTGCGCGACCTTCACGCTGCCGTTGCCGTTCTCGAACAGCTTGTCGTACGCCATGAGCGCCTTGTCCTTCGAGTCGAGGTTGTCGACCGTCGTGGACGTCATGCGCGCGCCGGCGACGAGGTTGATCGTGTACGGCCGGTCGTTGATCAGGATGAGGTTGTACCTGTGCGAGTCGAGCTGGGCGGAGAGCTGGCGCGCCGCGAGCGAGCCCGTCCACCCGCCGCCGAGCACGATGATCGTCTTCTTTGCCATGTCGATATTTGCGGTTGGAGGGCGGGAAGCGAGTTTCTTGATAGCGTAGAGAAGGATCGGCGTAGCAACGGCGGTCGTCCCAAGAATGAGCTGCGAGTTGGGGGACAGGGGGAAGTACTGAGACGCCATTTTATATGGATCCTCTTATTCGGGAGTTTGTACAGATGGATGTAAGGTTCGCGCCCGTTGAAATGGCTTACATGGGTACTGACCGAGTACTGACAGGGACGCGTAATGCCTGAGCCGTAAGGTGGCTGTAGGGCGGCTGAGCAACATCAACAAACGCTGAGTAAAACAGAATGACAAGCGCGTTTGACCGTTCCTGGAAAGGCGCGACAAGCGTACCCGACGCGTTCCTGAATACCCGCATGCTTGAGGCAGCGTGTGGGAGACAAAGCCTTGTTGTTTTACTCACCAGGAGCGCAGATCCGTTTGCGAGTTGAGTCTGGACACGCAGATTGCGTGGAGGATACGCGAAGTACCCGCCGAGGCGGCCATCGTTTCGCTGTACAACCGTCCGTAGCTCTACAGGCGACAAATCCAGGGACAAGGTAGCTGAGCTGTGAGCCACCAGAAAACCTTGGGTATAGTACCATGCTCGATGGAATGGGTCAGCCACCACATTTTATTGGCATGGTCTTCGCTTTTTGAGATAAGAGGTATCATACCAAGGTGTGCATGGCCATTCCGCTCATCAGTATGCGTTGCGGGAGGCGTCCAAGCGTCGAGACGCATAGGCATAGCATGGCTGACATGGACAGGTCGATGACCTTGCTGCGACTTCCCGCCACAAATGCGTTGACAGTTGGGCACGTGCCCGCAAGTCTCAAGCTCACAGCAGGAATTACGAGGCCAACTTAGCGGTGCGCGCGTTACTAAACTCACGATCAGTAAACTAGGTTCCTGGAAGTTGAACCGTATTGCTGTGTTTTCCTAGGTATCTCCATAACGAAGAGTGACTCCGCGAAGATGAAATTACATAACACGCGCTTCAAGTCTAAGTTTCCAGCTTACAAACGTACATCCGACCCGTCGGTCTATCGCGCAGCATCTGCCCTTAGTAGGGGTAGTCGTCAAACACATCGAAGTCGAGGCGCCAACCCTTGCTCGGGTTGACAACACGCTGAGGTGGGTGGGCGGCTGCCGCAGCCTCGAGCTTCTCGAACAGGTCATCCGGGAGCGGGAACACTATCAAATCGCCCCCACGTCAGCCTCTGTCCGCCTTAACAGCCCACCTGTGCTGAAACTCACCTTTGAAGTTCTCCTCGACGCGGGAGGGCGTCACGCTCTTAGGGAGCACAATCGTGCCGCGCTGGACGTGCCAGCTAATAATCGCCTGCGCTGGCGTGATGCCGAGCGCCTCCGCGATCTTCTTCACCTCGGGCTGGTTCAGCGTCTCCTTGACTTGCTTATTGCTCCCCAGCGGGCTGTAAGCCTCGAGCAGGATCCCGTTGTCCTTCGACCACTTGAGCAGCTCTGGCTGCGGGTTCCAGAAGTTGAGCTCGACTTGGTTCACTGCGGGCTGAACCTTGAGGTCATTCGCGGTGAGGTTCTTCACGCGCGGGATGTTGAAGCTACGAGATTGCGAGTCAGCCGATGCGAAAGCGGCCAGATGCGGATACGCACTTGCTAATGCCGATGTTGCGGACCTTGCCCTTCTCAACCATCTCTTCGAGTTTCTGCCAGGTCGGGTAGGGGTCGGCAGTGAGCGCCTCGTCCACCTGGGTCGTGTCCTTCTTGAACGCAACGGGCCAGTGCATCAGATAGAGGTCGAGGTAGTCCGTGCCGAGCTTCTGAAGGGAGTCGTCAAGCGCTTCCTCGATATCCTCGGGTGCGTGGAAAGTGTTCCAGAGCTTGGAGGTAAGCCAAAGGTCTTTCCGGGAGACGCCGCTCTCCTTTATCGCCTGTCCGACCTCCGCTTCGTTCTGTCAAGTCATCGGTGTCAAAGAAAGCTCAGTGATGAGCAAAGAGTAGAGTTGGGGTAGAGACGCACTCTGTAGATCCAGGCACCGTCGATGTGCCGATATCCCGCGTTGAGCGCAGTCTTGACGGCTGCGCCAACTTCGCCTGGGCTCGCTTGCCAGACACCTGCGCGACCATACATGGGTCAGGAACGCGAACGCCCATCGTGGATGCAAGTCCAAGATAGCGCATGCAGAAAGAGGACTCACCGAGGGCGACAGACGGTATCTTGTTTCCACTAGGCAGCGTGTAGTGCTCCGGCAGGCTGGAGACGTTGCGCACACCCTGGAAGCCCTTCTGGTGGCAGCCACGAAGGCTCATGCCCGTGCGAGTGAGCAGACGAACGCCTACGAACGCGACGACCATGACGGCGAATACGCGGAGAAGAGTCGTGAAGTTCCTGAGTACGCGGAGCTTGCGAGAGGGGGGTTTTGGCACGACCTCAGAGCTCTCTGGGTCGTGGGTCGGGAGTGGTTTGTAGGGATTGTCTGACATGTGGTGTACGGCGAAGAGGGTGGGTGCGTGTTATATGGGTGTGAACGGAGGCCGGAGAGGCGAGGAGCGAGGAGGGGGTTATGTAACCGAGGGACCTCTGCGATCGGAATATCCTCGGAACCTTGGTTTATGACGAGGGCACTTCGAATTCTTGCTCCCCTGTGCTCCTCACCATGATGTGACATGGCGCATTGCTGCCTACTGCTGCCCAGAATCCGCCTGGAATCCGAATGGCATGCTAAGTATAGAAGAGATACCCAGAAGATGCTCATGTTGCATGATCGCCTGACTGTAAGTACTCTACGCAGTATGCATGATGCTCCCACTGCTTAGGGCTTACGGGATAGCAGACAGGATAGATCTCGCTTGACAGGAAGTTACAGGAAGTTGCTGTTCGACGGCACTGTCGATGCTAGAGTACACCGTCTCCGGTACGCAGAATCTCAATACGACCTCCGAATTTGACGTGGGAAGGACGGTCGCTGGAGCAAGCTCTGCGGCGCACTCCATACTCTCAGGTTGTGCTGATGTGACACAAGTGACGCACTTGCCGACGAGCTTGTCTCTGAGACCTCTGGGTTCAGCTTCGCGTACCTCAAGGAAGCTTTATGTGTAACATCCACGACTCTGACCCGCTGGCGAATAAAATCGTGGCCTGCGAGCACCTTGAAAGGGTACATGAAGACTTTACGGTGAACGGGGAGACATGAAACTCAGCACGCTCACTCTATCACTGAAAATGAGGGACGCGGGTTGAGTCTTGAGCTTGAGTAGCTGATGATGGTTAAACGCATCAAAATGTGGCTAGCTGAACATAAGTGACTCGAGCTCAAGGCTTCTACTCCTACACACCCACCCACCACCTACCGATGTACAGGTCGCAAGCATCCCGCCTTCTGCAGATGTCGGAGCCATGAGTCCCGCCGGCTGAAGCTTTTAAGGCATCCACCAACCATTCGCCTCCCTCCATGCTCGTACTTCTCCCCAGAGTGTCCTGGCGCGTCCTCCTCCGGCACCCCACAGCAGACCCACTCTGGCCCGCGACTGAGCGCGAAGTGCGTGCGGACGTGGCGGTCAAAGTCGCCCTTGCGCCGCGTCAAGAAATCACAGTGCGAGCAGGTAAACCACCCGTTGTGTTCCTCGCGCTGCGTCGTGGAGGCAAACCCGACTTGCTTGTTGCGCGGGGTTGTCGTGCGTGCCCGGCGGAGGAACGACGATGTGAGGGTGTGCGGGACGGGAGAGAATGCGTTCGATCTCGCGCGTCTGGTATCTTTACGTGACGAACGGGCGGTAGATGGGCCGCGGGAAGGTCCGGGAAGCGGAACAGAGGATGATGCAGCATCGGAACTGGGAGAGGAGGCGAACGAGTCCTCCCAGGAGGAGGAGGGAGACGACGTGGAGATCGTGGTGCCCGTAGAGCTTCCACTTGGGCTCATATATGAGATGCCCGCGTCGTAGCAGGGAACCTGAGACACGTCAACGGCACTCGGCACGAGCGGTTCCGAGGACCATACGACAGGAGGAAGGTAGTCCCACAGGACATCGTTCTCAAAGGTCCGAAATGCGTCCACTGACTGCGACGTTGTACCTAGAGCCAGCGGACTGTACAATGCGTGAGTAGTAGAACCACACGCATGAGACTATGCACATACTCTGCGTAAGGCACCGGTGTAGAGGACACTTCGCCGATGAGGAGCTCGGCATCCGGGGCAAAGAAGAGATCACCCGATGTCGCGTCAGGCGATCCGCACCATTGCCAGTGCTCGGTCGTCAAACCGGAGTAGCCACTGAGTGGGGACGGCGTGTATATAGAGGGGTTGCAATGTCGGTGGCACACGAGACAAGGTCATCGTGATTACAGTAGTATGCCGACTGTGTGATAGACATGGCGGAGGGTATCGAACTTCTGCGCGACGCAGGGAGGCGATGGGGGCATCATGGCGTCCGGAGCCACTGCTTTTATACCTGCGCGGGCGGATAGCATCTCGCCGTCGTGCAGCGCAAGGCGGCGAGGGTCGAGGGAATCGAGTGCACCTTTACAAGCACCAAGAGGCGCGCCGCTATACCTTATATGGTGCAAACGGGGTGTCGTGATGCGAAAACAGTGTATCTTTACAAGCACCACGGTGTTAGCGGAGGTACTGGCGAGATAATCGTGGTTGATCAGCGTACCTCTGCGTGTACCATCCAAACTGAGTAGGTGCGGTACACGGGTAGCGTTCTGTCACCTGAACCATCCATTGTCCACATTGAAGACGCCTCGCTGATATGTCTCCCGTGCGTGGAATGCGTTGCCTCTGCCGCAGTAGTGTCCACGGAGCGCGAGTGTCCTAACAATTGGGATAGGTGACCGCCCGGTCACTAGCCTCAGGCTGGGGCGAGACGACCTGTTTTATGTCCGGTTGCAGGCAGTATTAGCACTTCTTGGGAGCAGTGCGGCCGATGCAATGACAAGAACGGCGGTAAGGTTGGCTCGACGGCTGATACCAGCGTGTAACATCATAGATGTTGCTACTCGTAACTTCTTCTATCTAAAAGGAATGGGACGAGGGTACATCTGTGGCGCAGATCGCGCACATGGCAAGCCACGTTCGCCGCGTGGCCTCATGTGGCGCACCCTCCTCCCATAAGCTCTCGGCGCCTTTCGCTCTCGGGCGCCTGCGCCATCCCCGCCCGACGCGTCCCCGAGGTGGTGGCTGCTCATGCGAAACGGGCAACAAACATTGCGAGAGTGGAAAAGTAACGGGAAAAATATCCCTGTGACGGGAAAACTTGGACCGCCTCTTGGGAAAATGGGCAGCAATGGCTCGGGTGCCTTCTGCCCACTGGCACCCATGCAATCCCGCCCGAGGTGTCCCCGAAGTGGGATTTCCGTGCTCATCAGTGGGTGATTATGGGCATCACACGGCGGGGGCAGAGCATAAGGCAATGAATGGGAAGCATGATTAACGGAAAATACAAGACAAGTAAACAACTGGGAGACTAAGACATGTCAATAACGGGAAAGCAACTCCAGGGAATATTTATTCAGTAACGTAACGGGAAGTAAGCACTGGGAAGATATACATAATCACAGGAGTAACAGGCAGCACTGAGTAAATCAAACACCACCAGCCCGTGGCAAAGCCATGGGCTGGCATTACATTAGCATTGAACCTCAAAAGTAACATGGAGCACAGAATGAAAGGACCACCGGGCATGCATTAGCATTGTAAGATTATGGGTGACATGAAGGTCAGCCACAATGGAAATGCCAGGAAGAGAGCAGTCACGGGAAACAGCACCTGTGTAATGGGAAAACCAGGTAGCAACAGCTCGGGCACCATCCGCTCGCCTGCACCTGCATAATATTAATACTTCCCCGAGGTGTCCCCGAGGTGGGATTTCCGCACAAAATGGGCATCACACAGTGGGAGCATACATAGCTACGGGCAACAAATGGGAAGCATGAGTAACGGGAAATACAAGACAAGTCAGTACTGGGAGACCAGGATATGTCAATAACGGGAAATCACAAAATATGTAGTCAGTACCGGGAAGATACATGTCATCAATGGGAAGACTGCATAAGCACCAGGAAAACATGCATCAATAATCACAAGATGCACATGCAGCATTGAATGAACCAAATGCCGCCAGCCCGTGGCGAAGCCGCGGGCTGGCATTGCATTAGTATGTAACCTTAGAAGTAACATGGAGCACAGAACAAAGGACCGCCGCCACTGGCAGACCTGTGGCGAAGCCCAGGTCTGGCATGCAATAGCATTGTAATATTATGGGCGACATGAAGCAGTGAATGAAGAACCGCCCCGGCAACCCGTGGCGAAGCCACGGGTTGGCGAAGCTCGTATATGTAGGAGGAGGCAAACGAGAAATGTAAACGACTTGTTAAGTTCTTTTTATCGGCAGACTGAGACTGTGACGCATTGACCACGTGATCGCGATACTGCGGGGAAAGCGGTTAGCGCCCGGTCTGTACTCTGAGATTAACCTCGGAGTCGAAGTGCTTCAAGCGGACAGTCGGCTTGCCCATACGCAGCGACAGACCACCATGGCTACCAACGCAAGGTAAGCTGGTTTCTGCAGAGCACCTGCTTGCTCTCAACACGCTTACCAGGACGCTCGCTAGCTGCATCTTCTGCAAGATCGTCAAAGGTCAGCTATCCCACCAGCTAACGCCGTATCGCTGATCTTTACACGCCCGGACACGCATGCAGGAGAGATCCCGAGCTTCAAGCTCATCGAGACCGAGTCTGCGTTCTCCTTCCTCGACATCAACCCGCTCGCGAAGGGGCACGCTCTCGTCATTCCTAAGTGTACGTCATATATAGGTCGACGGTGGTGCGCGATTTGTGCTGACTGCGAGGGTCGTCCTGACGCACGGCAGATCATGCTGAAAAGCTGCATGACGTCCCGGACGAGCACCTGAAGGACCTCATGGTGATCGCAAAGAAGATCGCCGTTGCGCAGGGCTTCGTCGACTACAACATCCTCCAGGTGAGTACACAAGTGATAACCCGTGAATCACCGCCACAACCACCCCTGCACTTATTACGTGTCACTCACCTCGGATGCCCTCGGTTTCCCACTCCGCGGTGTATTCCTCATTGCAACCATGCTCACAGTACTAATTCCGAGATCATTCACAGAACAACGGCCGCATCGCACACCAAGAAGTCGACCATGTTCATTTCCACGTCATCCCCAAGCCCAGCGCGACCGACACCGAAGGTCTCGTCATCGGATGGCCGCAACAGAAGCTCTCTATGGACGAGCTCTCGAAGCTGCATGAGGAAATCAAGGGGAAGTTGTGAGTCAGTGGGAAAGCGCGAACACCTCAGACGAAGTAACGAAGTGCTATATCTGGAACGTGTATGTAGGTTAAATGGAGATGGTCCCTCTGACAAGAGTGTTGTGGCCTGAGGAGACGATATGAGCCTGTTGGGCACCGCATTGAGTACCTCGGAAACCCTTGCTTCACACAGAACAAGATCCGTTGGCTCAGCCTTCAGTTCGAGGTCGTCGAGATGCGGTGACGGAGATTCGTGCGTACGTGCATGCGGACCTCTCGATGTGTCATATTTCAGCAGGAAATGACTGGGACGTCAATGACATTCCTCGCGAGAGAACTATATTGTTATTCGAGGCTAAGACCTTTTCCTGTCAATGCTACAGTACAACAGAGGCGTCCAGGCTACCACCCTTACTACATACGATCCGTCAACCCTATCTTGCGCGTCTCGGACACGGCCGTTGACCGAACTCGGTTAAGCAAGCTTCTCGAAGACTATTAGGCATTGCTGTCCCTTTGGCCGCGACGCGATGACTTGGTCATCCTGCGCCATCGACGCGGACATCTCTGGCGCAACTCGAGTATGACAGGTCGAATACACCTCTCTCAAGAGCATCTTCATCTCAAGCACCGCGAGGCTGTGACATCACAGGTAAGTGCCCGCCAGCAGAACGCATATTCGCAATGGGCACTCACTGCTTTCCAATGCATCCCCTGCCACCCGTACTGAAGGCAAAGAAGAGCTGATTGCGCTCCAACGCGCCCGCAGGCTCCAACCACCGCTCCGGTACGAACTCCTCCGGATCCGGGAACACCTTCTCGTCAAGGCGATGCAGCGTATACGCCTGACAGCTCACGATCGTGTTCTCCGGCACGAACACGTCGCCAATCCGCCGCCCGCCCTTCGGCACCCTGCGCGGCAAGCTCATCGGGATCGGCGAGAAGCGCCGCAGGCCCTCCTTCACCACCGCGTCGAGGTAGGGCAGGTCGTCGATCGGCGCGCTAGGATTCTCGGCGAGCTCGTGGTGCAGCTTCTCTTGGACGGCGGACGTCCGCGGGAGGGAGAGCTCGTGCATGAGGAAGCAGAGCCCGTCGCCAGTCGTGTCGTGCCCTGCGATGGTGTGGTCGAGGAGCTCGGAGGCGATCGACTTAGTGGGGAGCTTCTCGTCGAGGAGCTTGGCGAGGACGGTGTGGCTCGCGACGTCGGTGCGCCTGGCGGTGTTCATGACCTGGGTCGCGACGCGCCTAGGCCTTGGGGGCCGACGGGTGTATTTGGCTACGAAGGGAACGATCTCGCTGGGGAGGTAGTCTGAGAGATAGTATTCCTTGTACGAGTCTATTGCGTGTCAGTTGTCGAATGTCATGATGTGGCGACGACTCGGACCTATGAGGTTGGTTTGGTACGCGATTTCTTTCATCTTGATTATTCGTCCGCATCAGTCAATGTATTCGTCCCTAGTGGATGGAACAGGTGGTATGTGATGCTGTCGAGCGCGTAGCAATGTAGATAGACCTGTGCGAATATATTCAGAATAGTGCGCATCATGAAAAACGGACGACAGACATAGATATCGGCGGCTTTGCCGAGGTTCTCCGTGCATTTGGTGACGAAATCTGTGGCGCGGTCTTGGATCCCGCTTACAACCTCGGGCTGCATGATGTACGACTTGGTGTACCGATCGGCAAATATCTTCTTTCGTTCGCCGTGCTGGTCGTTTCTCGGTTCAAGCTCTTCATAGAATGAGCGTGCTGCGAGATACTCACAGGACCCTTTTGTACGGCGGAGAACATGCACCTGTACCGTAATCGTATCAGAACTACGTGTCAGTCGCATATCTGACACGCCACTTACATTGTACCGTAGTTGTCGAACAGTCGATAGAATTGGTTTCTCGTATCCGCTGCCTTCAGAGACGTATATTTCCTTCACAGCATCCCACGTCGCAAAGGATACCTCGTCCGGAGCGATCCGTACGACGGGACCATACCGGAGGTGGAGCTCGTGGATCCATTGCTTGCGGGTGCCAGTGAACTCATGGTACATGAGCACTAGTCGTGTCGCCCCAGCCAACGACGGCCCCGAGATTTTGCTGAGCGGGGATAGTGTCAATCGTTCATAGACGATGTACAGGACGCTGGCAGCGAGGAAGTATAGCGTGAGCATCGTTGTCTTCTGTCTACTAGTAAAGGTTTGACGGTGGTGCTGAGACTTTTCTTGACCCTCTCGATTGCGAGGCGTCCGGTATGAGGGGAACTACGCACGAGTCAGCTACGTCCCCAACCAAGTTGTTCGATCCTGGAGATAACGAATGGTCAGGGCGGCTGCTTTATCAAGGACCAGTGGCTTCGCGAATGTCGAATTACCAAAGTTGGAATCTGTTGGATACTGGTCTGTTCAATGGGGGTCAGTACATATGTGTGGCTACTAGTGAGCATTCAGCGGCATTCGAGGTATGCCAGGGCAACTGCAGTCATGGCCGTGTTTGCCGGTTCGTGTGCACGCTCGTGCGAGAGCAATATTGAACTTGAATCAAACATCCTCATTTGGACGGTTCAAGATGACATCTCAGATCCCATCTGTCCGAAATAGCAGCGGAATAATTACTTCTATGAAATTGTCGGTACATCATACAACTCAGTACCAGTGATAGGTGGTTCACAGCATGGTGCATACTGCTTACATCGACGAACTTGTTGAGCGATATCGATACAGTCTACATTGATACATCCGCCCAATTTACTTATACTGTCGCGGGCTCACTCGTCGACGAGAAGCACCGAGTCGAGCACCGAGAACCCAGCTGCCACACCACCCTCGTTGCTATCCTTGCCTTTCGTCCGCACCAACCACCCAACCTCCTTCTCCTTCACCCACTTGTCTGGGCCACCGAATAGCGCCCACCCAAATATGCCCAGCTCGCTGACGACCTCCGCCTTCACGGCGCCCTCGGTACCGCCGCCCGCCCGCACGAGGTAGTTCCCCAGCCCCTCCGGCGCCGCGATCAGTTCCATCGCGATCCACGCCTCGCGCTCTTTCACGGGCAGGCTGTCGAGGAACGTCGGGATCGCCTCCTTGTATACGTTGTTCCCGCCGCCCTCGCGCTGCGGCTTCAGCACCAGCTTCGCCGAGCGCTCGCGAGCCCTCCGCACACCAGAGCACTCGTTCGTCGGGTCCGTCGTGGGGTCCGCGCCGGGCACGTCCTCGTCCAAGCCCCACATGTCCATCCAGCTTGACCGCAGCTCATCCAGCTCGGCCTGAGCGAACACGTCTGCGCCCCAACGGGACGAGTCGCTGAGGAAGCTCTCGAGCACGCCTGCGTTGGTCAGCACCTGCTGCACCTTCTTTCCGCCGGCGAGTTGCAGCTGGATGGATGGGCACTGGATCGCGCACGAACTTTCCAGCAGGTATCGCGTGTCGTAGAATGCGTGGGTCAGATAGTCTGCGGGTGTGTAACCAGCTCTGAAGTAGACTGTCGAGATCTCGACCGATGTGGAACCGTCTGAGAGAAGTCCGGACGGTAATGTTATGCGAAGTACGTGGGTCGCACGGTCGACCGTTGCTGACTGGCCGAGCTGGCGGAAAGTCTGCCGTACTATGTGAATACCATGCCTGCCCCAAATCAGCTGGCATCCTTCATCAGGAGGAGCGAGACTCACTTATCCAGTAGATCATACTCGATCCACCGCTGATCAAAGACGTTTCGCTCGTTCTCTTGAACCACGAACAGAATCCGGGCACTGGCATCCGGTCACTAAAGCAGGCAGCGAAGTCGCGGTTAATGGTGCTCACTCGGGGACACCGTACGCCTTATGCGCGTCGGAAAGTCCTTCAGCTAGTCCCGCCGTGGTGTTGTTAGTGGGGAAGCGCTCCTCCTGGAGATATGGGGAAACTCCATAGTATTGCGTCGATTTGTATAAATATCTGGACGTACAAGTCGATCCTCGAGGTGTTCGTAGATTATAGACGCACGCACTTGTGTAAGTTAGCGGATCGTTCTGATAGTGTGCCGAAGGACGATGATATGGTGTTGAACTCGACTTGTCTCAGAGAGGTGGGCTCGCCGCTGTCGGGAGCGTGTACGAGATAGTCTGATCTGAAGAGACCTAGTTGCAGGGGCTGCACATCGCACATCCTCTTTCATTGATCAATCAAGCACCGGATCATTTGGACGTACCCGAGCAACATTCTCATCTCGTAGTCTCCTCCAGCGCCGCCAGAGCTGTCCAGTAAACTCATCCACCTTTCCTACGCCCTCCACCTCTCCCATGACGCGATCGAGGAACTCTTCGTCCATGGCAACGCGCGCGTAGAGGACGTTGTATATCCGCTGCAACCTCTGTGCATGCTCGAACAATCTGCGAGGAAATGGAGAGGGAAAGAGAGCGAGAGGTGCATGGATCGTGGAGGTCGGCGCCGGTGGCTGAGCTGTGGCTACTGGTAAGTAGACCAGGCCATGAGACAATGCATACGTCGTCGCGAGGAGTGTCAGAGACTCAAGCTGCGTTTCCGAGAGTTCAGGAGGCCATTTGCGAAGAGGGCTCATGTCTCGTGTCGAGACTGAAGCAGGTCAGACTGGGAGCCGTATTGGATAAATACTTAAGCATTGCGATATTAAACTCCGAGGCTCAAATAGGCAAGTGCTGAATGTAACGACTGTGTTCTGACACTGAGTAACGACGACGTATGTGTAGTGGTTTCCTGCAAATGCCCTGTCTGCCCGTCTTCAAGCTACCTACTATCACTACTGATTGAGAGCAGAACAAGGGATTATGCGGTGACTATCGGAAAGCGTTAGAGACTGCGGTCAGGTAAGCCTTAGTTGAATCCCCGACTACTCACGTACTACCATGCAACGTTGCTGACAGCACACAACTAAGTAGGGGAAGTCACAATAAAGGTGCAGCTGAACAGCTCCTGTGTGATTACTGACCACTCAGCCAGTCGGATGAGAGCGCTCATGTCAACGTTGTTGCAACTCGAAGGAGCGAGGCCGCTAAACTGCCTTGATCGGTTTGCGCTTCCGCATTCCAGTCATGTGTATCATTGTAGGTCCGATCAGTCTTTACCATACTTGTCGTTCGCCAGAACGCAGAGTCGCGGCATCTACATTCTGACATCCTCGAGTCATTCAGAAGGTCCTACTTTGGTCCTACCATGTCGAGCGACGCTCCCAGACTGGACCTAATTGGCAGGGTGAGTGAGGCTCGCGAGTATCAGTTTTCCTGTATTCAAGATTTGCCGTTTGATTGTGCACAGGTGTCGGGCAGTCTGCAACCAGGCGCTCTGTACATTCTACTCGATTTACGGTCCGCGGACCTGAACGACACAACATTCCACTGGGCCTTATACCTTCACAAGTCGAACGGGCTCCATCCAAAGGGATACAAGTATCACATTAAGACGTTGGGCGAGGGATGGATCGCCGACCATGGGCCCCTCAGTGGCGTCACCAAGAGCTTTCTCCTCGTTTGCCTAGTACGCATCGCGCACGACATACCGGCCTCGCAATACGAGGGACTCGCACGTCTCATCACGCTTGCCGATGATCACATTAACGACGGCGCCATTACCTGCCGCGTCTGGACCTTGAGTGCATTGGAGAGGCTCCGAGGCGCTCGGTTCATTCAGGACGATGCAGATGTGGAAGGGCTGGAGAGGGAGGTCAAGCGGATCGGTAACAACTATAGAGCAGGAGCTGTGCAAAATGAGCAGCCTCGACCTATTGTGGATCTGTATTGAGGTACCGAGCTGCGAGTCGGGCAAGCTGACAGCGCGATACGCTGGTCCACATGTGAGCCCGGCTACAGTGACTTTTCGGCAATAAAAAGAACTTGACGATGACACCAGTGGTGTGCAATTCACATTGATTCCCAGTGCACGGTTTCTATGTATGACCAACACGATGATATACACCCGATTGACATGAAGGCATACCTTCGATCATCTGTTACATTACGGAACAAACCACTTTGGAAATGCCCTCGATTCGGTGCTCTAGTCAGCTCCGGAACGCTGGTCCGTTCCAACGCGCCCCCCTCCGGCTAGTATCAACTCGAGTAAGCCCTCTATCCGCCCCAACTTCTCGTACATTCGTGACATATCACCCTCGAGCGCCTGCAGCCTTTCCTCCGCAGTAGGAGGGGTGTCCTCAATGATCAATGGGTGATACCATATCAAACTGTGCATCCTGTCATGTTTGGCATGCCGCCTCTCTGCCTTGGTGATATGGAAATCGCGGTAATAAGGTTTCAGTGGTATGTCGTGAGGGCTACCGGCTTTCGCCTCGCAGGGAGTGCAAAGGCCGGAGCGAATGTTCGTCACGGCCGTTAGTGTTCGATGCACGCTCCGCAGAGTGCAAAAGTCGTTGAGGGGCGCGTCGAGTTGTTATTGGCATGTCGTGCGACGGTAGACGGGGATTGCTGGAGATAGGCTTTAGGCAGGCTGTAGGCAAACGCACGGCCGACGCCGTCGGGCGGTTCACAATGAGTTTAATGTTCTTCTTTGTTTCAATCTGGGTCGTGCCAAACTGGTCGAATGTTAATGCGTCAACGTGTATTTCGACATGGTCTGGATTAGCATGTGAGCAGCAAATGTACAGCTGTATACAGTAAATAGGTAGTATATACTTACCGGATGGCATCGAGAGCATGTGCGGTGCAAGAGCGATGTGTACAGTCGTCTGTGTGTACGCGAGTCGGAGGAGGAGGAGGATGTCACGAGCGTCTTTAACCCAACTTCGTAAGTATACGCGCCCGGCGCCGGCGGTCGACGGACTCGACCTTCGTGAACTGCACGCGCATACGTAGGCACCAATAATGTCCTCCTCTCGTCCTTCGAGTCCCCTCTCTCAGTATCTGCCTATCGTCCACAAGGCTTTCGGGGACGTCGCCGCCACGCCGGGTTTTCCGTATGCCATTCGCGGGATTGATAGGGTGTATCTCAATTTTTGTGCCTCACTGGCAGACTATTAGTGGTCATGTCTAATGGGACGGCTGTGCACAGTCAATTAATTTCACCCAAGAGGATTGGGAGGAACTAAAGGCCGTGATATTATGGGAGCATACAGAGTTGAACCTCATCAAGTGCGTATACTAGGCTTCGTGATAACAGTCTAGTTATTGATGCACGATACTACAGGTACTATTATGATCAGAAGACGTGCACACTGAGCATGTATACACTGACCTATCTTCCATCACAGCCGTAGAATTGACAACCTTGCTGCCGGGCACAAGCCGTGCAGCTCGACAAAGTGAACGCCACAAGCTTGCCACAAGCGCGTCCGAGTCGTGTCTGAATCGTCACGTGGTCGCGACAGGTAAACGTAAAACTCCAGGCGACCTCAGGGCGACCTTTGATGTAACGAGGAGCGAGCAAAATACGAGAGTATGCTTGTGCAACTTTTCACGGGCTGCGACGACGTGTTACAGGGCACCCTTCGAACCGAGTCCACTCTCGCCTTTTGCACAGTTATAAGCTTCATTACCAATGGCGTCACTCGAGGAGCAGCTGCGCAGTCTGCGTAGCTGCATTTACAACAAACCACCGTACTACAGTGGCACGTTGAAACTTCCCGCGGACGACTTTTTGGTATTCTACGGGAAAGATGACAATGCTCGGTGCGGAATATCTGCGCAGATGGATCCTCATTCACTGACGCACTCATACAATAGGAGGATCGATCTGTCTAGTACAACAGAAGAGGGTGTGAAGCACTTGGCCGAGTCCTGTGACGCTGCGACGTTCGGAATGAACAATCGAGATGTCCTTGACGAGTCGTACAGGAAGGCAGGCAAGCTCGACAGGAAGCATTTCTCCCCCGTATTCAACCCAGCGAGTACAGGCCTCCTGAGAGCCATCGAGACGGAGTTGGTTGAGGCAAATGATAAGCTCGAGAGTCCCTCTATCCGCGCCGAGCTCTACAAACTCAATGTTTATGGTGAGTCAACTCATTGCTGGCTCACGACGTTCGGACGCTGATTGGACATGATACACAGGGCCGGGCTCGTTCTTCAAGGCGCACCAGGACACCCCTCGCACCACGGACATGTTCGGATCACTCGTTATCGTATATCCCACTGCCCATGAAGGAGGCGCTCTGGCACTCCGCCATGGAGGCAAGGAGTGGACCTTCGACTCGTCGAAGATCTTCGCACAGCAAGAGGAGCCCTGCCTCGCTTACATCGCTTTCTTCAGCGACATCGAGCACGAGGTCCTCGAGGTGCAGTCCGGCTACCGCATCACAATCACCTACAACCTCTACCACGTGTCGTCGCAGCCTTCACTGGCATGTCCCTCCGTGCGTCCGCTCACATTCGAGCCTGCTCTCAAGGCTGCAATACGCCGCTTGCTCGACGACCGTACGTTCCTGCCCAACGGTGGCCACCTCGGGTTTTGCCTCACCCACCAGTACCCTGTTGGCAACGATTGCGAGGTCGGGCGCAAGCCGCTATCTGAGGTGCCAGCTCTATTGAGAGGCAGTGACGCCGTGATAGCCAAAACCCTGGGTGCTCTCAACTTGCGGTATAAGGTCAGGGTGGTGGTGGAAGAAACCGGCATAAACACAAAGACCGAGGACGGTGGGACGATGCCAGTGACCGCGTACGTCATGTTCAACCATGTCATCGACATAGAGGATACGTATGTGGAAGAACAATTCTTCCAATATCTGCGTGAAATTGGTGGCAAGCTTGTGAATCCAATGCCTCCTCTATATGCATATGACGAGGCGGTGGAGCCCGATATCCTTGTGCGCTGGGTGGTGCATCCGAGCGATGTAAAGGGCTTCAAAACGCGTTACGTTGCGGCCCAATGCGACGCTTATCCGTCGATGCAATACACGTATCTGTGCCTCATCGTCGCCATCGGGGACATTGACAGTAGGTCCGCCGAGTCCCTGGCCGGGACTCAGAGGCGTTTGTAGTGGCGAGTGGGAGTGAGGGACTCGGATCAATGACTGGGCGTAGCCGTATTCACCGGTAACTTGAAGCTTCGTACTAGTAGTTGGTACCGTTCAAGTCGACCGCGACTGTTGCGCTGCGTCGCGCGTCCACAATTAGTATGTCGACCTTGATTCTTTTTGTAACAAAAGGCATACGTAGACAGCAATCGTTGTCTTGTTCTGTATCAAAGGTTCCTCTACTCTATGGCAACTTGAACATAGCGAACTGTGATCTCCGAAGATCCGCAAGAACAGGCTTACACTACTATATGAATGAACTCGTGTAGCCTAGAGATCGTTATCCATGACAGTCACCTTCCTCCGCCTATCCATCCGCAGCTGCGAGGCATTGCGACAAAGATTGGGGTCGAATGTTGTAACGAAGGGCCGGGCATGAATGAAAGAAGTCGACGTCCTCCTGGGGCTCAGCGATGTGGTGGCTACATACATTTGCTCGTCAGCGCAAGAGAGCCTTGTTCAACAATTCTCAGGGCGAACTCACAACAGCTGCACATGTTGAAGAACATCTCGGTGAGATCCCGAGAACTTCAGACGGACAGGGCAATGGGTGCAGCGCCACTTCCGATCAATGAGACCGCGAGACAGTTCTCCGCGGCGTACACTGGCCTCCTCCTCTTCGTTCAGTACTCTCCAAGCGGGCCCGTCGTCGCTCCCACTATGCATTAGCGTATCATGACTGACCTAAGGTCGGACATGCAGACCGACGCAAGCACACATCAGTCCGTCTGAGAACAGTGATCACAGAGTTAAACGACTTACAGCTCTTCGCCAAGTGCATGCCTGATCTCTCGGTAATATACTGGCCATGGTGGCAGTCCACTCTCTGGATTGACAGCGTTCACAAAGAAAGCGTTTGTCTAGTCGATCCAAGTCCTCCGGGTGTGCGGTGTCTGGATCCAGGCCACCTTCGATGTCAGATATCTGACCGACGTAGACCCACGCCTGCTATGGCACAAGGTGGTCTTGTCTAACTCCACCCTCTCGGATCCAGTATTTGCAGCCCAAAACGCCGCCTTGCCATGCTTTTTCCACCTTCGCTGCTGATGGCTAGCCAAATGCGCAGCGACGCCCTTCAAGCCAACGAGTACTGTGATGTCATGCTTAGAATCCATTGTCAAGCAGAAAACCGAAGTGGCCAGCCCCAGGCGACCCTCTGTGCCTTTCGGCAGGCGCTTCGACTTTCTGGGTTTCTTCAATGCACCCGTATCGACCATGCATTGCAGTAGGCGAGACTTGAGCTTGCTCTCGAAGGTAGCGATGTACTCGGGCAGCCGCTGCGTAGCCTCGTCGCATGCCGCCTGCTGGAACGCGACGTCGAGATTGGTGTAGATCAGCGAGCGAAACGCGGGGATAGCGTGAACGAGCTCGCAGGGTGGTAGATAGACGCATTCTATTGGCCGCAAGGTTTCCTTGTACTTGTCGTATGCGCGGTTGACTAGGGCCTTTCGTGCCTGAATGACCTGTGGTTGGCTCTCGTCGAGTCGGCTGCACCGCACGATCTCGATGTATGGTTGGAGCAGAGGCTTGATATGCTTCCAGACTGAATGTAGCATCAGGAGAGCGACTCAGCACGGGTGAACAAGTGACCTGACCTCGTTCAGTCAAGTTGCGATCGCGCATAGACTCCGGCATCGATCGTATCACATGAATGTCTTGATCCTCATACCCTAGCTCCCGGAAACGCCACACAATCCTGTGTGTGATCAGTCGCTGACGCATATAGCACAACAGGAAGGGTGTGCCTACCGAGTGTAGTACTGCTGTATGCGCTCCTGCCGCTCGTTGTCAAGATAGATTTCGAAGTCACTCAACCACCCAGTGCAATTCTCCGCATGCTAGTCGAATGGAGTGTCAGGTTGCGTGGCAGGATCGCACGGACGGCTGGACAACGTACCTCGATGACAGCGTGCACATACTCGATGCGCTCGTTCTTGAATTGCTCCAGCGCCTTCTTCGCTGCGCCTTTCCGTGAGCTGGCATCGATAACTCTTTGGTATTCGTCATATCTTTTGGCCATTGCGACGATATCAGCATCCCAATAGAACTTGTCCATTGGGTGTACGCTGTTGGCTGAGCTATTGATGAGGAACGAACTCGGCTCATGGCGAATGAAAGGCACTCAACAGTGTGTATGAGGGATCAGCTCCAAAATAGTGGGATTCAGATCCGGGAAGCGTTCGGACAGGCAATTTTCGTTGACGAGTCTACAGATGTCTTTATCAGATGATCATAGCGCAGACTACGCGCATTTACGTACCTCTTTTCTTTGCATTTTTGGCAAATGCACCGCATGAGGGCAAAGACCAAGTTGTAAACGCTAGCCACACGACACTCCTGCGGAGAGAGATCACTTCAGCTGCATGCCAGACGTGTGTCCTGTCATTGATCTCTACCTGGCACCCGATAGAGCCGTAGATAAACCTTGCCCAGGAGATCTCTGATACGCGTGGCGGGCACTCGGGGGCGTTCCCGGCGAGCTTCCTCGCTGTCGTCCACGTCCTGCAAGCGCGGGGGGACATGAGCATCGCACGGAAGGCTTTGTTTGTCTGTGCAAGGTTCGCCAGGTCTAACGGCTTCAGGAGGGAAATAATCTACGTTCGAAGATTCGGTTAAGACCTCGTTATCGCCAGCTGAGTCGACAGAGGGTTTACCTCGAGAACGATGTCTAGCGGGAGCATCAGAAGTACGCTGAGCGTGGAGATCGGGTTGCCAGTATCGCCAGAGCCGCCGTTTCTCGTAATCCGAGCACGCTTGACCGTGGGCCTGTTGGCTTTGCCACTCCTCGATTGTTCACCACGGCTATTAGTGTCCGATGTCCGCTCCGCAGAGTGCAGAAGTCGTTGAGTGGCACGTCGAGTTGTGACTGGCATGTTGTGCAACGGTACACGGGGCTTGTTGGAGGCAGGAAGCTGTAGGCAAACGCACGGGTCACAATGTGCCTGCGTTCTTCACACCTGGTCCGAACTCGGTCGTGCCAAACTGGTCAAATGGATGCGTCAACGTGTATTTCGACAGTGTCTGGATTGACGTACGAGCAGCAGATACTTACAGGGTAGCGTCGAGAGTGCAAGAGCGATGCGTGGTCGTCAGTGTCCGCGCGTTGAGTTGGTGTGTGAACAAGTACGCATCGATAAGTACCGAGCGATGCGGCCAGATAACCACTGTAAACGAGTCCTGTCAGTCTCAGCTTGCATTGACGTCTTGTGACTCACATCACGAGGAGCGAAGGAGCATCCTTGCGCGCCAAGACTGTTCATTACCTGTATATGACATTGCGTCCGCCCGTCAAGAAGTGCTGGGCACAACGGAGACGAGCGGCATGCACACACGTTGGGCTGAGCGGAAGGCGAATAGATAGACCTAGGTACATGCAACAAATTATGGTGTACATATACGCGGACGCGTACACTCATACGTACCCTCTGCGAACATGGAGTGCCTCGCCGAGGGTAGCGTCCGGGAGAGGTATACATGAAGAGAGTGGGAAGGCCGAGCCACGAGCAGAGAGGAAGACAAACGAGAGACAAGAAATATGTATACGGCACCGTGGGCCGTCAGCGTGTTTGTGGATCCAGAGAGCGACCATTCTCGGGGTCATCATCGTCCATGCCGGCACGCGCACGAAACACCGCACCAGCACGATGAATTAATTGCTTGCTTGCAGCTGCTCGCTCAAACGGCCGAGGAGGGCGTCGCGCTCGCCGGCGGGTCGATGCCCATCTTCTTGCGCACCACCTCGAACGTCTTCAGCATCTTCCTCCGCGCCCCCAGGGCCGCGACGCCCTTCGCCTCCAGCGCGGCCTCGTCCATCGCGACCATGTCCTGCCAGTGCACGCCCTCGAAGTTCGGCGTGTACTTGTGCAGGCGCAGGCTGCGAAGCCACGCGGGCACGTCATCCAGGAGCTTCGGGTCCACGTCCTCCTCGTCCTTCTTGTCGCGCACGCTCGGCGACTTGCCCGGCGAACGCGCGCTGCGCAGGCCGCTCCGCGCGCTCGAAGGGCTCTGCTGGTGCATACCCATTCCAAATCCGCCCAGGCCCGCTTGCCCGAGCTGCGCGGCAGCTGTCATCTGTAACGCGAGCAGCTGCTCCGGCGTCATGTTGTTCATCGCGGCGAGGTTCTGCATGTTGAACATGTTCCCGAACGGGCTCAACGGCATCCCGCCGAAGCCCGGCATGCCGGGCATGCCCATGCCCAATCCAGGGCTACCCATCCCCATGCCGAAGCCCGCCATGCCCAATCCATTCATGTTGTTGTTGTTGTCGTCGTTAAGTCGGCTGTTGTTTGAGAGCGCCGGGCTCCGCGAGCCGTTCCATCCACCTTGACCTCCAAATCCGTTGCCAGCCCCGCTGGCGTTCCTCATGCCACCAGAGGTGCTGCGCTGCCCGTGCTGCTGGTTGTTGCCTTGGCTCGTGTTGCTGCCCTCGTCGTCGTTCATCTGAGTGCTGCCCTTGGACAGACGGTTCAGCCTCTTGGGCGGATCGGAGATAAGCGGCACGCCGCCACCGCTGTTAGAACCAGTCCAGTCGTTGAGCTTCGCCGCGGCGGCGTCGAGGCTCTGCTGAGCGTTACGGGTATCCTTGAACATGGGCATGAGGGGCGTGTTCACCATGCTCGCCCAGCTTCCCTCGGCCATCGGCGACATGCCGTCCTCCAGCTTGGCCGACTTCAATGCGTTGGCCGCACCAGTGAAGTCGGTGCTCTTGGGTCTGGACGCATTGGCGTTCGGAGCAGGGATCGTGAGCTCCTGAGAATTCGGAGAGCTCGGGCGCTCGTCGACTTGGCCGAGATGGTTGGAACCAGAGCCCCAGGTCCCGTTGTTCAGACTGGCACTGAGAGCCGGCGCCGAGATACGGTGGGCTGCATTGCTCGCCTTCCTCGCCTCCAGCCTGGCACGTTGCTGGGCTAGAGTAGCAGCCGGGTCGTGACCACCCGCAGAGGGGAGACTCGCGATATCCGGAGACAGGAAACCGTTTTGGTTGGTTTCCAAGCCGATATGGGGACGGTTGCCCGAGAAGTTGCGAGCAGTGGGTGAGGCGGGAAGGCCAGACTTGAGGCTGGGTGACTTCAGGTTCATCTGAGCCAACTTGGCCTCCATCTGACTCTGCATAGAGCCTGGGGCGATGTCAACGTGCGAGAGCGGCCTGAGTGACAACAGACTTACTGCCAAGAGCGGGACTGAGGAGGGCGGTCATAGGGTCCGACCTCGCCATCTGCTGGAGGACGGTGATGAAGAAACGTATCTGGACCTGGGTCGAATGTTGCAAAAGACTGTAAAGAGCGGCTGTGCGCTCGGCTTCCGACAGGACTTTAAACCCTGCAAATGAAACATGAGACGGATGTCGGCGAACACTTGGCTGCCTCGGACGCACATTGCTCGATAGCGCTCAATTCTTCCTTGAAGTTGACGTCCAAAGAGGCAGCAGCCATTTCTTCCTAAACCCGGCATCAAAACACTGGATACACGTCGTTGCCTGGAATGCTTACCAGCGTCACCTCATAGTTTTGGAAGGTCTCAAACCACTGATCAATTGCCTCGGCTGCAAGAGGGGCTTTGTCAGATGGAACAAGGCGAAGTGATAATCCACTGCGCATACCTTCCGGAGTCTGGAACATGCCAGTACTGCCGAGGAGCTCACTTGTGGGCCTGCCAGCACCAGAAACAGCTCCAGGACGAGGAGATGCAGGGGGGAGCCCCGTGCCGACCGCTGAGGGCCGGGGAGAGGGTCCCAAGGAGGCGCGGAAGTTGGGCGAGCGACCGCTGGCGTTACCACCGGGGCCGGGGGAAGGACTGGGGCTGGGAGGGTGAAGAGTAGCCATGTTTACGATCGGAAGAATATGAACAGGTGTGAAACGACGTCGAGTCGGGTTGGATGCTAGAATCAAGCGGCACGCTGCTGGGAACGCGCGGTTGCGTCTAGACAAGACCAGCGGATCCTGCCGGTCTAGGGAATGTCAAAGGCGAGCTCAGCGACGCTGCAGACGACGACGACGACGGTCCGGACGATGGGGGAAGAGTTGAAGGCGGTGCTGCCACTTCACCCATCAAATGCCCCTCCGCCGCCACCCCCAAATACCCACAAACACGGGGTGGCACGTCCCTCGCGGCCGCATCTGCCAGTGCCATGCCTGCGATCACAACATCTCATCGAGTAGAATGGCAGATATCCGTGCGGGTGAGGTCTCCGCCTTCGCGAATGAACACCTCTCACATTCTGTCTCCCACAGACTCACCTCTGGTGGTACGTGCGACTTAGACTCCATTCGAGACACGCACAGGGCCCCAGTGTGGTGAACTTTCTGGTCGGCCGGGACCACAGGGCATCCGGCCGCTGTCATCAAGTTTCGGCGACGCAGTGTCTAGAACTCAAGTACTGCTGTACCCAATGACGCCGCGTCTGCTATACACTTGTTGCCGGGCCCATCACTGAGCGCTGAGCCCAGTGCGCACTGCCAGTCGCGTTCGCGGCGAGCCAGGTGAGCTCTTCCTTTCAAATGGGAGTACAAGAGGCAGTGTAGACGGTCAACATTCCATCATGTGTACGACTATCTGTCCGATACGTACGTGGCACCATCCACGATACTCAATTGTTTCATCCGGATCCTGCTTTGACATGGCATGTAAATCAGATCGTGGCGTACCCTGCAGCTTGACGCCGGAGGAACAATGCGCTGACAACAGTGCGTGGCATGATGATTATCCATTGGCACTGACGCTGTGCTTCAGCGGAATAATCGCACCAAGTCCCCGACATGACCTGCCCAGGTACAACACGTCGGAGAGCCTGGAGAGCCATCCATCAAAGCCTTGAACACAGCATCGTATTGCAAAGATCGTGGCTTATGGCAGGTGGCCAGCAGACTCATCTGTACAGATGGATGACACAGACCCGCACATGCCAGTGAAGAGTCTTGTATCGAGACTATCGAGCACACTTGGTTTGGGGAGCGTTTCTTGCGCGACGCATTGCCAGTGGACGTACCCCGCGACATGTTCCGACCATGGTGCCATGTTCCAACTTAAACCAGACCGCATCACGGTCCAGTTACAGTATAGTGTCGCCGCATGCGCGTTGACCGCCTTCGGAGATAATATCACCGCTCTTGATCTATACAATCGTAGGCCTGTACCATGTCCGAGGGTAGCGTCATCCACTGATGAGTTGATCGCGAAGCAGTAGCAAGAACTGCATTTGTAGTGTCTCGAACATGAATCCGAAGAAATCGAGGCTCCTCGCATCCGGGGCTCCATGGACAAGTACTACGATCTGGGAGTGGAACGGCCAGAGCCAACTCAACAAGCGCTCATGACCGGCCTCGCGACGGAATACGGGGGTATCGCGTTTCACAGATGCGCAACCAGATCACCCTTGCAGCGTTATATTCGCTTGCAATTGGGGGAACTTCCGTGGTGGAAAGATGTGTCTCCATGCAACTTGAAGCGTAGGAGACGGACGCTGTACATAAACTGAAAACCTTAATATTGTCTTTAATTGAATCTGACTCTCAGTTGTGAGATGCACTCTGACTTATAGCAGAGGTGTCTGTGAGCCTGGCGTGTTTGACAGAGTTGTTTGACGATTGTGGTGTCTGTCCATGTCAATGACCGTCCAGTGGCAATGCACTTTTAACGATATGTACCAGCGCACGCACTGTGATTTTCAAACACGACTTAACCAGACCCATCGCACAAGACGTCCTCTAATTACTGTATTTAAGTTCTGGATGGCGAGACCTCTGACGTGTAGTACTGACGAAATTTCTATTTACTTACAGTCGTGGACGAACGCCATCTAACAGCGGAATACTGTCGGGTCGTCGTCACGGGGATGCCCTCGGCAGCTGGGGCTGCATACATTGGAATGTGAATAATCAGATCCTGATGAACTCGGAGACCACAGATACCGGTATGTGATCTTGCGTGCATATGCGCCGGACCTTCCCTCACCAAGCTTCATAGTTCAGGCTGCGGAAGTCTCCACTGTGACTGAAACACGTAAGCTGTTGAGAAGTCAATGAGACCTACTGGATTCCACGTAGAGCACTTACCCGTCATTAGGCTTGGGCCGTTAGGTGCCCTTACACTCGTCGTACATTGTACAGGCCGACTTTCATGGGCAACGAGGGGTTGCTGCTTTCCTTTCCGGCTGTTGGGTACATTATGCCCGCCATGTTCCATACAATGGGTTTGTCGCTTAATTCGAATGTGAATGTTGACACAAGGACAGATAGAACGGTCTCTGCGATCATGGTCAGATCATCGATTCTACGCAAACCGTGCTGACACCTACTCATCTCCATTTCGGCGAATTTGAACCCGCTTGCGTAACGACGTCTCAGAGTGAGCACAAAGTCAGGAAGTCGTACTCGGTATACTTACATGCAAGCCCTCTTCCCGCCGGCGAATGTCATCCTATCCACACACAGAGAGTCAGCAAAACAACTTGAATACGCCGAATATCTTGATAGACCCGTACAAGTGAGAGTAGACGCCAGGGACGCGAGCATCCGCCACCTTAGTCGAGATTTCGGAGAGCCAACGCTCGGGCTTCCACTCGAGGGAGTCTTCGCCCCACAAGCTCTGGCTAATATTACATCCGAGAAACTCGAGAAGGATCTCCGAGCCTTTGGCTATAGGGATTTCACTTATTTGGCGACCATCTGTCAAGGTGATCGGTTTGAATAGAGGAAGGACGGTGTCCTTCGTCGCCCTAAACGAGGTCATCTGTGGAGGTGTTCAATGATGAACTGATAGACATACACTCTAAATATGAAAGTAGCAGGGGGGTGACTGACAGCAATACTGGACGTCAGTAGTTCGAACAAGGAGCTGATCTCATGGCACAGTACTCACAGCCTTAGCGTCTCCCGACAGACGCTGTCCAAGATTGGGAGCTTGTTCAGCTCTTCATATGATAGTCCATCGGCAGCATTGGCCTCAAGAAGCTCATGTCTCAGCTTCTGCTGCACATGGGGATGCTGGGCTAAGAGATGTAGGATGCGCGAGAGCGCGTTCGATGTTGTATCCATCGCCGAAAAGAGGAGCGTGCTGAAGCAGAATTTGTTGTCAATATGCATGCCGCCCGCATAGAAGAAGCCGGCAAACTTACGAAATCTGTCCGACAATCTCCTCTTCCGAAAGCTGATCCTTGACATCCGCTGCGGTGTTAGCGCGTACTTGATTGTTCGTCAAGAACTCAGATCGACGAGTAGTACTAAAGTTCGGGAAGCTCACTGAGGCAGCTCAATAACTCAGGCTCCTTGCGTTCGTCTATCTGCTTCACAACTTCTGGGTCCCCACCAACAACTCTGAGCTTCGTCTCCTGGTATATTGCATTCGCTCTCTCGTGCATCGTTTTGACAACCGTGGTCAGTTGATTGACGGGAGATGCAGTCGGAAATGATTCCACTACTGCCCTGCACAACCATCCGGGAACCAACCTCTTGGAAAGAGGTAGTAGCAGTTTGATGAAAATGGATAGGCGAAACGCGAGCGGACTGTGAGTAGTGTGATATGCAGTCGGATTATGGTTCGCAGCGAGTATGCATTTGGAGTCATCAGCATTCGCGGAGTGACTAAGACAATGAAACGTACGCGAGTGCTTTCAATGCTGCTCCATATGGATCTATCCTATCCTCCACCAATGGATCGAGCGTGCACCCTAGACCGCCTTGACCAATGAGCTCCAGGGCCGTTCGATTCATCCAGCTCAGAACATCGAGCTCTCGTGGCCCGTCCTGTACGCGATATCGGATTGCGTCCCGTAACTTCTCAGGAAAAGTTAGGACATAGTCTATGATACCAACGGTGGACGTCATTTCACCTTATGAGCGATAGAGCAGAACAGCGGTAGCATGCGGCGAATGTGATTCATAGAGAAGACGGGATTCAGTATCTTGCGCTGCTTTGCGTGCTGTTGACCTGTAATGTCTGAGTGACCTCTTCGAAACAACCAACGAATATCTCATACCTAGTGTTGATGTAAGCCCAGGTCCAAAGTACAGAGTATTGGCTCTACATTGAATTAAACACACGAATACACCGTGACCAACGACATCGCTTATAAGAGGCGACGTACAATATGAAATCCTCTGTCTCTTGATACATATGCTCTTCCTCAATCAAGATGTGGTGCAGAGCTTTGGGGTCTGCGACACACAGTATAGGTTGCTGTGAGACAAGATGTGAATGTTGATCAACATCGAAAACATCGGTAAGAAATAAATGGATTCACCCCGAGAAAGCCGTTGATCTTGGTGATAGGTCCATAGCTCGCCAAATGTCGCTGAAAGTCCTCTCCGTCACGAGCAAAGAATTGACTGAGATGGCCTGCAAACACGCGTGAACTGAACGGCATGACAGTCATGAAGGGGCCTAGGATTGCATACCAGTCCAGAAAGATTTCACCGGTGGCCCTGGGATCTTATGCAGAGTTGAGCCCGCAACGCGCATCCATAGATAAGTGACAAATGGCCACAGCGCGAGAGCTGCCAAGAGACAGGCTAGGGCCAGTGAAGTAAGTGCCATGATTATGCGCAGAATTCACGGTTATGCGGTGCCAAGGGAAGCAGTCGCCCCACTGTATATGTATCCGCAAAAATTGACTTCGAGATGGAGTGATAGAACGGTTACAAAGTCTGACTGGCTAGCTGGTCACTGAGTCCGGGTTCTGGAATGCCTGCAGATTGCCTGATTCTGCACACTGAAGACAGAGACAGGAGCACAGAAAAGTTAAAGAACACTCACATAATTGACGAAGGGAAGCCAGTGTCCATAACTCGCATTCAGCTATCTTGCGCTCTCTGAGTCGCGGCCGTTCGTATCAGCCTTCGCTCGTACTGAGGACCTCGTGTCTTATCAGGTGGCACACAATCGCCGCAGATAATCAGTCGGAGGAAGCGGGGTCTCGATACCCGTGGCCCTTTCAAAGGGATTCTGCGTGCCAGGACGGGTGATTGAATAGTGCCTAGTGGGTGTACTAAGGTTCAGAACATCAGTGACCATACCACAGGGTCCGATCGATGCACACGCACCCTTACACGACCGTCCTCCGCTCGTCAAAGAGGTCATATCTTGTGGTCTGCCTACGGGAGACTACGCATGCACGCACGCACATTACAATGGTCGAATTTGTACTCTGTGAGACCAGACGGAAAGTCAGACGCTGAGGGATCCTGCCACATAGGGCACCAAGAGCCTATTGTTCAGTACCAAAGCAATGCATTGAACCAGTCAACACGTCTAGTGGTCTACTTTGCAATGCATGAAGAGAACGTGAAGTCTTGTGGGTCGATGTTCGGGAGCGGCCCAACAAACCACTTCCTTACCGACACTATCCAAGAGGCGCCAGCAAATACGAAGACTGTCATTACAAATCGCGACTGTGTAGTCTGTCGCATCGGAGGATCATGGTCAGTTATGCAGTCAATGGGCTACAAACGTCGAACGCACTCATAGCTTGCTCATTGCCGGTTCTTGACGTGGGAAACCAGAGCAGGGCGACTCGTGATGAACACCACCCAGGCGATCGCAACGAGTCCTACAGGCATGTAAAACGTACCGAGCGAGAAAGGACCCGGGGATCGAGGCCCTGGCGAATGATATGCAAGTTGTCAATACCTCAGCGCTTGAAGACCCAGCGAGCGAAATTAGCGCGGTCGATGAGAACCCGAGCAGACGGCGATTGGCAGCTAGAACCATAACTAACCAGACAGCGTTCACGGGTGTTTGCGCGTGCCGGGCAATTCACTTCCACAACCGCGATCCAGGAAGCGCATTGTCTCTTGCGAAGGCAAAGTTCACGCATGATGTGTCCACTTCCTGGGCGGCGCCACAGAGAAACTGGAGGGAACATCTGGATATGGTTTGAACGTGCTAGCGTTGAAGCTTGAACGTTGAAGTTGGGCATCGCGATACCTGGACAACATAAGTCATACACCAGATGACAAGCATCCATTGCTTCCCGATAATATCCAGGTTCAACTGACCCATGAGCATCGATAGTCGGTTCCGTCGCCAGCAGGTCCGGGACAGATACGATGGCGTACGAAGCTGCAATGCAAAGGATCCATCCGAGCGATGGTGCCATGCCACACTTGCAATAAATACGAGTATAGTAACCGGAGCTGACTTCGCCGCTCCAGATACCTCTTCCAAGACATGCGCAGCAGAGTCATCTAGTAAAAACGTCACGTATGAGACGGGTTCCCCCAACGTTCCTACGGACTCACAGCCAGTGAATGTCCACACCGACACAGTCAACGCAAGCATGAACGCCCAGGCATCTACATAGACAAACGATTACAAGGTATGACACGGTGAAAGAACGAAAGACTCACTGTTCGTCCATCCTGTATGATTTTCGAACGAAGTGAAAGCTTCCTTTGTCGAGACTCTGCTGTCCTCGGCTGCTATCGGCAACGCAAGAATAGTTGCTGCTGTCGTTATTAGTACTGTGGAGGGGACAGAGGGGCCTGCCTCCTCCAATAAGTACATAGACAACTAAGCTTACATAACGTCTCACTCGATGGAGGAGGCCGGACAGATCGCAGAAGGTGTTGCCAGGTATGGCTAGCGTGGCACAAGCCGCAAGCGCTCAAGTCATACTGCTACTGGCAGTGGCAGTCACTTGTCCCAATCGCCGCACGATTCCACAACATGATGTCAATGGCATTGGCAACCCACAGCGCGAAGCAATGTCTTCGGCAATCCGCAGAGCAAGCATCGGACACCGAGGATGCAAGTGGCAGTACAGGCATGAAGATTCGCAGGGACAGCTTGAATGCGAACGACTCGCCGGCGGACATGTCGAACAGTAGATTGGAGAAGGTCATCGGTCTTTTCGACGCAAAAAATGCGCGCCTCGCGCATAGTATGCTTCTTGCGCTCCCTCTGGACGTGATTTTTGAGGTATGTACACTCCCAAGATGACGATGATGATAACTTCTTACGGCGCACTGGCATGTCTCAATTCCACTCCTGTAGATAATCTCATTCCTGAAACCATTAGACTTGGCGAACCTTGCGCAGACGAACAAAGCGTTTCGGGCAATGCTCTCCTCTCTCGCTTCTAACCTATGGACGGCAGCGAGGAAGCTCGCCGGGAACGCGCCTGAGTGCCCGCCACGCGTGTCAGAGATCTCCTGGGCAAGGTTCATCTACGGCTCAACCAAATGCCAGGTAGGGCGTTAACGACGGGACACCCTTGACGCGCGCACTCAGACGACCTGTTTCTACAGAAGTGTCGTGCGGCCAGTGTCCGCAACTTGGACTTCGCCCTCCTGCGGTATATATGCCAGAAATGCAAACATGAGGTGTACGTAAACATTAGCCAACGCCATGATCAACTCACAGCGACCTTGGGGTAGACTCGTCCACGATCGCCTCCCTTCAAACCGCTTCCCAGACGCTAATCCCGCGATTTTGGAATTAATCCCTCATACGCACAGTTGAGTGTCCTTCAATAGTCATGGGCTGAGTTCAGTGCTGATTTATCGCTCAGCCTCGGATGTAAATTCAAGGGACAAATGCTATTGGGACGCCGATATCGTCGCGATGATGAAAAGATACGACGAACTTCAAAATGCTATCGACGTCAGTTCACAGAAAGCCGTTGCGATGGAGGCGCTGGAGCAGTTCAAGAACGAGCGCATCGAGTATGTGCACGCCGTCGTCGAGGTACGTTGTTCAGCCGTCCGTGCGATTTCCTGCCACTCAATCTAACACCCCATGCGACCAGCACGCGGAGAAGTGCACTCGGTGGTTGAGCGACTTCGAAACCTATGTTGACAACGCGCGGCAGGAGCGCGTAGAGCAGTACTACACTCGGTAGGCACGCCGTCCCTGTCGTGCTATATGCATTAGCAACTGATCTCACACAGGATTGTATGGCGTTTCCGGGAGCTAGGATATGAGGATCAAGACATTCATGTCATGCGATCTAGGCCAGAGTCTATGCGTGATCGCGATGTGACTGAACGAGGTCAGTTCTCGCCTCATGTACCCGTGCTGGCTAATCCTCCTCATCTTTCATTTAGTCTGGAAGCGCACCAGGCCTGTGCTCCAACCATACATCGATATCGCACGGTGCAAGCGACTCGACAAGAGCGAAGCAACAATCATCGAGTCTCGGAAGGCCCTGGTCAATCGCGTGTATGACAAGTACAAACGAACTCTTCGGCCAATGGAATCCGTTTATGGGCCACCCTACGAGCTCATTCACGCCATCCCAGCGTTCCGCTCGCTGATCTATACAAGTCTTGATGTCCCGCTCCAGGAGGCGGCGTGCGATGAGACTGCGCAGCGGCTGCCTGAGTACATCGCTGCCTTCAAGGACAGGCTCAAGCGCCGCCTAACACGATGCATGCTTGGCGCGGGCGCATCCACAACGCCGAGGCCCACAGACTCAGAGGGTCGTTTGGGGTTAGCCATCTCGGTATTCGTCTTGAAAACGATGAACAAGTGGCACAACCACGTGTGCTTCGGCCTGAAAGACGTCGCCGTGCATCTGGCTACCTATCCGCATGTAAGCCCGTACCCATATGACACGGCGTTCTGGGTTGCGATGTCCGAATCCGAGGGAATGGAGTCTGGCGACACCATCCTGTATCATTCCAGGCCCGGGTCCACAGTGGTCGAGTGCTTGTTATCGAAAGTCGGCCTTGACCCCAACATCGCGCGGCCGGAAGACTTGGATCGACTTGACAGGCGCTTCCTCTGTGAACGCTGTTCATACTCAAATTGGTCCCCGCGGATGCCTCTGGATTTAGCATACACCTGGCGAAACGCTGTAAGTCTGAGCATTGTCACCAGCGTTCGTCGGACGTGCTGATACACTTTCTTTGACCTGTACGTTCAATTCAGGCCACGCATGGTATACGGATACACACACAAGGCAATGAGAGACCAGCTTGGAGAGTATTGGACGGGGAAGAGCACATTGTTGTACGCCGTGCAGAACAATTCAATGGTCAAAACCGGGATCAGTTATGGAGTTGCAACCATTGTCCCGTTCACAGAGGCTATCCGAGGTCTCGCCAAGCTATCCTGAGGCATGCGCGATCGGAGTGAGTCTGTCCAGCCTTCCGCCTCCCCGGATATATCATGTTACCTTCCGCTCATGGCTTGTGTAGCCACCACATTGCTGAGCCCCAAGAAGACATCGACTTCTTCGATACATATCCGGAAGCCCGTTACGGCGGCTCAACCGTATCGTTGTCGCAATCTTTCGCAGACGCTGCCAATGCCATGCCCGTCTGTATACTACCTGCCCTTGCTGGTTGAGAGCACAGGTCATGGGTCTGGTCTTCGCATACTGTACTATCCCACGGCGTCCTTCCCTCGCGTTGCAATTCAACTTACCAAGTCTGAACGGGCGCCGAAAGGTGTGACCCTCGATGTCAACGTTAACTCAGGTAAGTTACAGGTCCCCCGTACAGTCGAGGCGACGTCGGCATTGTGACGCTCACAGTGACGTATCCCGGTGCCTTAGCCCAGGCCCATCCCTCTGTCAGCTCATTGCAAGGTTTGCTTCGCCTCAATTCAACGGTCGGCGTTAGGTGATAGGCACGGCGCACCGTCAAAGTGTCTGTCGATCGCACTGTGTCAGCCCTCTCAGCCTGAGACGCGAGCGTGGCATGTTCCTGGATTATGTGCCTCCGGATCCCTGAGAACGATCGACACATCAAGAGAAGTGCATCCGTAGTATGTGCATAAACCCCGAGTCTCCCGAGTCCGCGGTGCATCCCCCACCGCGCGAACCTCCCCAAGCGACGAATGAACGGCTCGTATTCTAGCTACGCGATCAGAACATTATAAGTAGAAAGCGAAAACCCAAGTCCGAAAGCGGCGTCCGTGAGCAGTCCATGCTTAACAGTAAAGTGATAGCGATGTGCGTGCGTGTGTCTAATGCGCGGTCATGATGCAAGAGCGTATGTATGCGACCGAGTCTCGAGGCTCGCGGTGTGCGTGGGACGTGCTACAGCGAAATCGTGCAAAACAGCGACAACAACCCAGCAGCGACCCACCACTTCTCCTTCTCGTCTCTAGTCTCCCGTAGGCAGACTCTACACGCGACCTCCATGAGTGGTCGCTCCTTCCCTCCACCCCTTCACACCACCCGGGCCCGCCCAGACATCCGACGACGGGACTCAGAGCACGAGCAGAGTACTGAGAGCGACGCCGAGCGCCGCGAGCACGACGGTCCCCGCGAGGACGGCGACGCGCGGGCGCGCGGCGCTGATGACGGTGTCCTCGCCGGCGACGCCGTACACGCGGACGTACTTCACCTCGAAGTACGCGTTGTCGTACGTGGACGGCGGGCCCGTCACGAAGTCGTCGTAGCACACGCCCGAGCACGTCTCCGCGAAACCTGCTGGTTGCCTGCGAAGTCTGCGCGCTCACATCAGCGTCCGCGAGGTGCACAAGGAAGAGAGGGGAGGGGAAGGGGGAAGGGGGTCGTACCTCCGCAGAGCGTGATGTCGAAGATGAGCGACTGCGGCTGGAAGAATGGCTGACCGCGCAGGTCTGCGAGGTGTAGTTCGCGTGGGGTGCCGAGGTCCGAGAGGGAGATGGTGGACGCGTTGCTCTGCAGCGCGCTCGGCACCGACGAGCGGTTGAAGAACCATATCCTGCGCATACACCGGTCAGCACGCCGCCTCGCTCTGACCCGTCCGCCGACGGTACACTACTCACGAACGCCCTCGTTCGCGAACTCGGTGACGAACACGCCGCCGCCGTCCGCCGCGAACGCCGCGCCGTACGAGCTCGGCGTCGGCGTCGTGACGACGCAGCCCTCGTTGTTGTTCGCGGCCGTGGAGCAGTCCGTCGAGTTGATGAGCTTGCTCGTCTGGAGCGCGTTCGAGGAATGGGTGCACCCGTCGGCCGTGTGCAGCGCCATCTGGTTCATCGTCACCTGGTTCACGCCCTCGAACGTGTCGATCTGCGCGCACCTGGGTCAGCTCCCCACGAGAACACGACGGGGACGACGCACCTCGCCGCCGCTCGGCCAGTCCTGCGCGGACGACCAGAACGCGGGCCAGACAGAGCAGCCGAAGGGGACGTGGAGCATGTCCGTGACCCAGAGGCTGCCGACGGTGAAGTGGTCCTGGGTCTCGATGCGCACGGAGTTGCGGTTCTGGCCGACGGAGACGGAGGACGTGTTGTCGACCTTCATGATCGCGTTCCCGGCGTCGTTGACGTACGCGAGCTGGTCCTTGCCGGCGTTAGTGGAGGACACGAAGAAGACGTTCCCGTTCGTCAGGTCGTCCGCTGCGCGTGCGTGAGCGCGGGCGCGATGGCAGAGGAATAAGCGGGCGCACCGTGGTTGTAGAAATTCCAGTCGTCGAAGAAGGAGTCGCCGGCGTACTCCTTCACCTGGGTGTACTGCGCGTGGATGAGCGCTGGGAGCAGTGCGGCTGCCGCGCCGTATGCGAGGGCGGTTCGGACCATGCTTGCTGGGATCTGAACGAGCGACGGGGACGAGGGCGGGTGGGCGGCGAGGACAGAAAGTGAAAGCAGTGTATACTATAAAAGCGACCGGCGGCTTTGCGGGGCCTTGAATGGAATGACCAACTTCTGTCTTCCCGCGACTTGAGACAGGGAACACCGAGCTAACACCGGCAGACAGAGGCACGCTCTGGGCGCGGCGAAGTGACAGGCCGGGGAGGAGCAGCTGTCGGGGTGGCTCGGAAGGGGAGAACGAGAGGAAGGGAGGTGAAAGTGGGCGATGACAGGGCGATGACCAGCGCCCGACGAGTACCCGACGAGTAATATTCGCGTTACTGCGGGACGCGTGAGAGGTGGAGCATCATCACCGCTGCTCGGCCCGACACGCGCGCGACGACCGCGTCGCCACCGACGCGTCTCCGGCAATCTACCACCCGATCCGATCGTGGCTAGCTCCTCCTGGTGGACAAGCAATCCGGGACGCTGCCCATGCGGATTCCACACACAGTAAGTTGCACGCATTTCGGGGCGAAACCTTGCATGTTTATACGAACTACATATTAATTACTGCAATGCCGACGTACCATCGCATCGGCCGGCTTCCTGCCTCTGGTACTAGTACTATACATACGCTTCCGTACCGGGATGCAACTCTATCTGCGACGAGCCAGCATGCGGTCTTTCATCTCGTGAATAAGTTCAGCGATATCACCTTGATACATCTCTGGCATGGTCACAGAAGGTCGGATCGACGGAGAAGGCACAGGTCCCGAAGCTTAGCAGTAAGCTCATGCGAAGCAGGATCGGAACCAAGGCACCAGGACATCCCATCCGATGGCAGTTTGCCTCCGACAACCTACATCTCAGGGCCTAGCTGGACTTCTGCTCGAGAACGTGAACAGTATGCCAAGACCGCCGTATCACCGCCGTTGACTCGGAATGGGTCGCCCACCAAGTACGTACAGTTCTACGACACCTTCAATGCAGACTTCAATGACAAGATGTCGTTTCACCTTCATCGAGATGGGTCTGCCACACATTAAGGGCTGCGCAGACGATCAACATCTCGGGCGTTATGCTCTGCCTACGAGCCCTGACGATGTGAGTATGGGTGTCACTTCTGGAAGAGTCAACCACTGGCACCATCAAACGCAACCCTTCCGCACACACTCCCCGCTTGCCGATCGGATGCCAGAGCCGTCACAAATGGCCGAGCCGCAAGACTGTCGCAAGGGGAATAATCAAATTGGGGACGATCGTGAGTCGCAACCGGGGCCAATTTCCGGGTCGGAGAACTACTTCACCTAGGCCAACACGGCGAAGACGACTCGGGGTTACCCCGACAGGTCGTCGCGCACGTTGGTCAAAATTGTAGAATAAGATCAAGACGTCCATATTGACACATTGACAGCTGGAATACATCAGCTAATTAGTACACACACTCAACATACGAATGTCTCTCCGTGCCCGGACGCAGGAAGTGCCTTGGTCGCGATTATAATAAGTCTTCGTCATATTCGCTCGCCGGGCACCTCCTTCAGGATTCTCCCCGTCATCTCCGTGCCACGGCTGGGAGTCAGCATCAGCCATGTCCCCTCCGTCCCCCGGAGCCCCTCGTACAACGCCATCGCGCACGGCCTCGGGATCCAGACTCAGCGGAGAGACTGGACCTGATGAGACTGATAAACCGCCGGGCATGCAAGGAAGAAATCCACATCCTCTTCGGGCTCTGCAATGGCGTGGCTGCGCACCATGACCATGACCGTCAGCACATACGGGTCCAACAGGATGTGGACTCAAGCGGACTCACCTCGCTTCGACATGCTCCACCACAGTCGAACGGGGCTGCAGGTTGTCTAGATGGACAGAACAGTGGTTGCAGCTCCACAGGGATGGTTGTGTGGGTGTGGCAGCCTCCTCCGCGCGGCGCACACAGTCCTCTTCATCTTCTTCCAGGATCCTCCATTCCGGCAGGTCCTGGCTGATGACCTTACAGTGGACGTTGATCCAGTGAGCGACCTAGCAGCACCGAAGACCGACGATGGGGGTAGAAGGTAAGTCAAAGTCAGCACTGGCTAGAACACCTAAGCCCAGGGTAAACGCACTCACAGCGCTCCTCCAGGTGTGCGCCCAATCGGACGGCGAATTGGTATACTTCACGGTGTTGCGTCTGCAGAGCCTACAGACGACGCGCAGGTCCAGGCGATCCAGGTCCTCCGGCAGCGCCGTGTCCGGATCAAGGCCGAGTTCCCTGATCAGACTCCCGAGCATCGCGCAAGACCGCATCTCGTAATGGAGCGTGTGCGCCGCGAGCCGCCCCTCCCGCGGCTCCGCGTCGCACAGCGCGGCCCAGAACGCCGTGTCGTACCCCTCCGCGCCGGGATGCGCCAGGTGCGCGGTGACGTCGTCGACGCCGAACAGGAACTTCTCCCGGATGTCGTCTCCGACTTCCGTAGACAGGACGAAGATATTCTCGGCAAGCGCGAGACCGTCGCCCATCGTGTCCCTCTCCACCCACCTCTTCTGCCCGCTCCGCATCGCGTTGCTCCTGACCGGGCACCGCAGCAGCCGCGTTTTGATGTTCGCGGTGTACGCAGAGACGCACTCGGGCAGCCGCCGCGCGGCCTCGTCGCACGCAGCCTGCGAGAGCGTCTCGCGGAGGTTGTGGTAGATGAGCGTGCGGAACGCCGGGACGGCATAGATGTACTCGGGCGGCGGCATGCGGACCCACTCCGTCGGTCGCAGCGTCCGCTTGTACGCGTCGTAGGCGTGCTTGACGAGGGCCTTGCGCGCGGTGATGGTCGGCGATTCGTCCGAGTCGAGTCGGCTGCATCGCGCTGCTTCTATGCGTGCTTGTAGGATGGGCTTGATGGACGTCCACACTGTAGAAATAGAGCTTACGTCAGATACGTCCTACCCTCGTGGACAATGGACAGAATGAAACGACGCGTTCGACGAGTCATGTGAATTGAGGGAGTATACCGACCTTCTTCGGTGACCTCGCGATCACACATGGCCTCTTCCCCGCTCCGTATGGCTGCAATATCCTGAGTCTCGTATCCCAGCTCCTTGAACCGCTGCACGATTCTGGGTTAAATGAGCTACTGAGTGCACAATACTACAGCAGCAACATAACTACGTACTGCTCGTAGTATTTTTCCTTCCGTTCCCATTGTTCGTTCTTGAGATGGTCCCGAAACATCTCCAGCCACGGCTTGCACTTTCTCGCATGCTAGTCGCACATCGTGTCAGGCGGCGTGAGTGACGAAGTATAGATCCTCCGATGAGCGACGGGGTGGCGTACCTCTGAAACGTCACGCACATACTTGACGCGCTCATAAATAAAGTTCAGCAGCGCCTCCTTCGCTCCCGCCACTTGCAAATGGATGTCCATCCGATACTCGCGGAATATGTCCATCATGGCATGCATGTCGGCGCGAACATAATGCTTAGCGTTGGGGTAGTACGACGCTAGATGGTCGGTTGAGCACTAAATTCGTGTTCCAGCAAAACAAAATCAACGACTCAACTGAAAGTGTGAGGCATCAATTTCAGGATCTCTGGTTTGAACTTCCGGTAATTCCTTAGATCAACCTCATGTATGAGCCTACATCATAATATTTCTTAGCACGCCGCGACTCTATGTCGAGCCCACCGACTCACCTATTAAGCTTGCAGTCATCGCACAGGCGCTTCAACAAAATGCAATCCATGTCGTGTATATCAGGCGTGCCACAGTCCTGTCAAAGGCACCAGCACCTCAGCACACATGATGGCTTCGCACTGCCTGAACTCCCTACCTGGCATTCAGGTGGACTGTGGAGGAATCGTGCCCAGATAACCTCGGACACGCCCGGCGGACATCCGGGCGCGTTTAGAGCTCGCTCCCTTGCCTGCCTCCATAACCTTGACGCCTGAGGAGACGTGAGTGTGACATAGAATGCCCTACCCGTCTGTCCGAGGTTCGCCAAGTCCAGATAGGCTAGTAATGAGAATATCTGTGGAGGTGTCAGTATGACGACCGTCCCACCAGAGCATCTCTCCGTCAAGTACCTCAAAGAGAATGTCCAACGGGAGCGTGACAAGCATTCCGCGCCGCGCGGGAGTGTTATTGGTGTCGTCATCCGAGTCGTCGTGTGAGTCGAGTCGAATACGCTTTCCCTGCCAGTGGCTACCGTTCGTGTTCTCTCTCTCTCGTGCTTCAACTTACAACATGATGAGCAATAAACATAGTAAGGAATGGGCACAAGCATACCCTCGTGTTCGCTAGCATCGTCTTCAGGTTCATTTAGAGCCAACGACGGCCCGGGATCACCATCCCGTAAGTCCTCGGTTTTGGCTGAGCTAGTACGAGATGACACAGGCATGCTGTAAGTTAGAATATGACGGCAATAAGCCTTGCGCCTGGAACAAAGAATATGTGAGATTGAGATGCGAATGGCGCAGCACGACGCGAATGCCACGGTTCACGGTAAAGGTAAAGTACAAGCCCACTGGCCGAACACTAAACATGAGGAGTGTGGCTCGAGCGCTCAATTGTGGCTTACCGTCTGATGGCCGGTGAGCCGGTCCGCCATCCCGTGCCCGGACACAGCGACTCTGAGCTGTTACTGTAAGTACGTGATAATGATATTCACCACAGCTACGGACGATCAATTGTCATCCCTTCCTCCGCATTCCCCTTGGCAGCATCCGCGAGGCACTGCGACAACGATATGGGTAAGCCGCCGACACGCGCTGGATACGCGTTCGAAAAGAAGTCGACGTCCTCTTGGGGTTCAGCAATTTCGTGGCTACATGATGCCCGTCAGCGGAAGAGAAGATGATAGGAGGGCTGAATAGACTGACTGCATCTTTACGTGCTCCAGGGCATCTTGACGATGTCGCGGATAATTCCCGAGAACGGGGCAATGATTGCAACTCCATACCCGGTCACGTATTCGACCAGTAGCTTGTTCTGCATGGCGTACAATGGCGTACTCTTCCTTTGTCAATACCCTCCAATCTGGCCCGTCGTCCCTCAATTTGTGCGCCATGATGAAAGCATGCGTCAATGTGTGTATGTAATTGAAACATCCAATGTAAAAGACTTACAGCTTCTCGCCAGGTGTATGCAAAATTCTGTGGCCTCGACCATTCTATGTACTCGCAGTCTTCACAGAGGAAGCGTCTGTCGCGTTCAACAAAGTCTTCCGGCCGTGCAGTGTCTGGGTCGAGGTCCACCTTCGACGCCAGATATCTGACCGTCGCAGACCCACGCGTGTTCAAGTTCAAGGTACTGTTACCCAGCTCCCCACAGTCCAGTTCGTATGCCGCAACCCAGAACGCCGTGTCGCAACCGTGAAACATCGGTTTTTGATAGTGAGCAAGGAATGCGGTGACACCATTAATGCCGAAAAGCCACTTGGTGTTCCAGCTAGGGCCTATTTTCAAGCCGAAGACGGAGGTGGCCAGCCCCAGGCAGCTCCCCGCGCCCTTCGTCAACCGCTCCGATGCTCTGCGATTCTTCTCCAACGCGCCCACATCAGCCAGGCATCGCAGTAGGCGGGACTTGAGCGTGTCCTTGAAGGCGGCGATGTACCCAGGCAAACGCTGCGCGGCCTCGTCGCACGCGGCTTGCTGAAGCGGAACATTGAGATCGGCGTAAATCAACGAGCGAAACGCTGGGATGGCGTGAATGAGCTCGTGGGGTGGAAGATAGACGCATTCGATGGGCCGCAGAGTTGACTTGTATTTGTCATACGCCCGACCGACCAGAGCCTTTCTAGACTCTATGATCTGTGGTTCGCTCGCGTCCAGTCGGTTGCATCGTGCCATCTCAACGTATGGTTGCAGCAGAGGCCTGAGGTGCCTCCAGACTACATGAAGATGAGGAGAGCAAACCAGGGCGAAGACGAGACGGGAACTGACCTCGTTCAGTCACGTCGCGATCGCGTGTAGTCTCTGGCCTCGATCGTATCGCACGAATATCTTGATCCTCATACCCTAGCTCCCGGAACCGCCGTACGAGCCTGTGTGGGTTCAGTTGCTGACACGTACGACACAACAGGAAGGATTTGCGTACCGGTTGTAGTGTAGCTCTAGACGCCCCTGCAGCTCGTGTTCAAGATATATGTCGAAGTCACTGTTATTCAACCACCGAGTGCACTTCTCCGCATGCTAGCCACATGGCGTGTCAGTTTGAGCAGTAGTAGTCGTAAGTACGGAAGACTAAACGGCATACCTCAACAACAGCTTTCACATAGTCCGCCCGCTCATCTCGGAATTGCTGCAGCGCCTTCTCCGCTGCGGCTTTCCGTGAAGTGACATTGATATCCCTCTGGTACTCGTCGTACATGTTTGAATTGCAATGATATCGGCATCCCAATAGAGCTTGTGTTCTGGGTGGTAAGCTGAGCGACAGCCTGAGATGAGCTCTGGACTCAGCCCATGACGAAGATAAGACACTCAACCGTGTGTGTGAGGGATCAACACCAAGACCGCGGGATGCACACTGGGGAAGCGTTCGGGAAGGAAGCGATCGTGTACGAGTCTATGCCAAGGTCATTATATAAGTTCATCGCGGCGTGAATCATGGTTAGTAACGTACTCCTTATACTTGCATGTCTGGCATATACACCGCATGAGGGCGAAATCCAAATTGTGAACGCTGTCCAAACGACACTTCTGTGAAGATAAATCAGTGTGCGTAGACCATGTACTGTCGTAAACACTTTACCATTTAGTTGAGCCGTAGAGGAACCTTGCCCAAGAGACCTCTGACACGCGCGGCGGGCACTCAGGGGCGTTTCCGGCGAACTTTCTCGCTGCTGTCCACGTCTTGGAAGCGAGAGGGGACATGATCATCGCCCGAAATGCTTTGTCGGTCTGCGCAAGGTTTGCCAAGTCCAATGGCTTCAGGAGCGAAATTATCTACATCAGTGGATTCGGGACATACGTCGTAAGTACGTATGGTCGTCACCTTGATAGCAGAGTGCATACCTCCAACATCACTTCCAGCGGCAGCGCAAGAAGCAGACTGAGCCTGAGGCGTGGATTCTCCGTGTCAAAAAGACCGTCGTCATGGGTTCCCGCTATTCGAGAGCGCTTCTCATTAGGCATGTCGTTTAGGGTGTCCTTGCCATGGATCAGCACTTCTACCTCTGTACAACCATCCTTGGTGTCCGACATAGCCGTGCGCTCTGCAGAGTGCAGAAGACGCTGCCTAGAGCCACGAGACGTCGCTGGCATGCTATGGAGCCGTACAGTGAGAGGCAATGTTGAAAGCGGGCCACAGAGAGGAAAGACTCGCCCGCGTCACGGTCGAACGAGTCAGATTGCATGTTCTTCAGTAGTTATGTCAGAGCCAATGATCTAATTTGGATCTAATCCAATGAATAAATCAATCGGTTTCGTTCGATGTTGTCCCCAACGGGAAAAGTTGTGATGAATAAGGACTCACCGAATATGTGAGGACTCGGGAGCACAATGCACGTCTATTATAGGTACCTGTCTGAACGCCAAGTGAACACGTCCGTGCACGTAAGCACCGGTCGATCGCAGAATTCTATATCTGGCAACACCTGCTCTGGGCGATGTCATCAAATGAGACGTAGGTGCATAAATACATGGACCTCGCATGTTATGAGTAGACGCGAGTATTTCCCTTCGACGGACACGATCTGAGGTAGCTGTGTAGTAAGTATCTCTGACTCCGATCGAGTTTCGCGGGTTCAGTACTATTTCGGGCCAGTGCACTGGTGATTACACTTGCACTTAGACTGGCAGGTAACCGTCAGTATGCACATGTGGACGAACCATGAAGAATTAACCTTTGTGTCGATGGGCGGATGCGGCTCGAAAATGACTGCGAACGGTGAACCCCCATGTACGTACAAATTCCGACATGACTCCCCTTCAATGTCTAGTGGTTTTTGTACGTCGCCTCTAACCTCGACTTCACATAATCGCCCGCCGTGACTACCTCGTACTTCGCTGGGTTGTCTTCCGTAACACATCCCGGGAACGGCTGAAGCGGTCGCCAACCATCAGTACCTCAGGCACCCTTAGGAGCAACGAACGCTTACCTCGAGTCTAACATTGTAGTCGCTGCCGAAGAAGAGCGGGATGGAGTATCGCTCGACGCCGGACCGGTTGACAGCACGGTGGACGGTCGACTTGAATACGTCGTCTACATGTCTCAGAGTGTCAATATGTTCATCTGTCGAATTTGGACACAAAACGCACTGGACCAACGAGCGAACTGGTCCCCAATGCTGCGAGGGCATGTCAATTCACAATACAGCGATCAAGTAATATGAACACACTTGATAACGAGCGTCCCAGGAATTGGGACAGCATCAATCCACCTTCCCGCAGCATTGAGCACTTGCAGGGCCTGAACTTTATCTTGCCAGAGGATCGTGAAGCACTGAGAGCCCATCAATATCGACTTGTCCTAGTAGGAAGTAAGGAGTTGTAACCTCATAACTGTGCAATACCCGTTAGTAATCCGTCTCAGACATAGGTTCTGAATGTTCTTACTCGGTATGCGCCCCGATACCCTCTACACGGGCATCCACTGCACCGGTCTGTGGCGGATAGTAGAGCAGGCGCATGATCGCTGCGGGTTTTGTTGTCTATGCATTCCGTGAGTGCCACATCTCGGTATGATACAAGTTTCATGGAGACCTTGTCGTCGAAGAAAGTCTCCGGAAGGTTCAGCGCAAGGGCGAACAGGGGGAAGAGCATCTTGCCCAAGTTCACAGCAGCGTGGCTGTACAACCACCATAAGACTAAGTGCTCCGCAGACAAAGATCAGACACTCACTAATACTCGAGAGAAGCCTCTCTGAATCCAGGTAGACCCTTCGGCCAGACGTTCCCGCCGCCCATGACCCCGTCTTCCTCTGCCGTACGACCCTCGCCGGAGAACTCCTCCCAGCCGAGGTCGAAGCCTTCGTGCAAATCTCCGCGGTTTTCGGGGTTCGTGTTCTCGCCGAGCAGCGCGGTGTAGCCCTTGAAGTTCCCGGTTTTGTGGATGTCCAGCGTTGCCTTGGTGTCGAGCGGGAGGGAGAAGAAGCGCTTGCCGGCGGACACGGCGTCGTGAATCGTGGATTGGGGAATGGTGTGGTTCTTCACTGGTGGAGTATTCTGTATGGTGAACGAGTGTATGACTTCGAATATGCACATACCGTAGAAGAACCCGACATTGATGCAAGCGTCTCGGACTTCGTCAGCCAGAGCGCGTCGGACGGCGGGATCTGTGTTTTGTATGTTCTGAAGATCGCTGTGATCTCATACAAACTCGTAAGTATCCGTGTTTTCCTGTTTCACAAGCTCACGGCTGAGACTCACATGATGGGTATTTCCTCGAACGTGCTGTCAGTCCTCTTCATCGCTGGAACGATAGGAGCATCTTCAGCCATATTGATCGCGGGAAGAGTAATAGGATGAGAGCAAGTCGCCCAATATAAGTGCGCCGGATGCAGTCCATGGCGGCGTTCAGTAAGTGCATAAGTATGTGCCTGGAGTGTGCTAATGGCTATCTCCGTGTCGACCTTCGGAATTCAACGACGTAGGGGTGCATTACCAGTCATGGGCGTACCACCGGCTTGTAATATCCAACCGCAGCTCTGGTCACCCTCAGTTCTACTCAGGTTCTACTTCCTCCACTGTCAGTAGTATCCAGTACTTGAGTGGACACCGGAAAAGACGACGGCTGCCAAAAGCGGAAACCCGGGGGAACTCGGATGTGTTTTCAAAGCTCGATTGACTAATATTTGGAGCTCCGATAACTCAAGCACTCTTGCCTTTACCCCAAGAATATGTAATTTTTCAGACTCCGACACAACCCATTTCACAGGCTCAACCTCGAACCCGGAGTATCACATCATCATTCTCCATAACCACCACCACCTACTCACACGGCGACGACGACGACGACACTGACAGTGACGGCGAACACAACCTCCTGAAGAGCTATCCACTTTTGTGGGATATTCACTAGCATGTCTGTGTCTTACTTGCCCCAAGCTTCGCGCAAGCAGCAAAGCCCTCAGGCTTCAGAAGAGAGCGCCGATGTGCCTCGCGTTGCCGAAGATATGCAGGAGGCGTACATTGGGGCTAAAGAGAGGTGAGCATTCTCATCAGTGACTCAACCCGTCAAGAGATGTGCGGAGAAGTGGGCATAGGCTTCACCAGCAGGGGCGAGGAAGATTGATCCAGGACAGGGTGGTCCCAGTGCCACATCGTCGGAAAGGTTATGTTTTGATATGACAGGCTCAGTCCCTTCCTCGCTCTGCGCAGGGCACGCATGCGAATGGTCTCGAGTGCCCAATGATCCGACCGCAATGACAAGTAGACCTCGCGGTCCTACATGTCTACATGTCCGTTTCTGAGCTATTCACTGACATCCTTGCAGGCTTCTGAACGCCATTGACTCAGCAAAATCACTGCTTGGCGGCCTTCGCGATTTCAATAAGACATCGTGGGTTGTCAGGTACCCTCAATTGCAGGAGCAGCCCGAGGAGAATGCGGAGCAACCCGCATCCCCAAAGAGACGCAAGGGCATGCGCCGTTCGCTTTCCTTCCCAGATGATCCAAACTTCCAGGCGGAGGTCGTTGTCAACCCGACTCGTGCAGGCATGGCCCGTTCCATGACCTTGGCGTCCATTGCAGACGCCGAGGAGGAGCCAGAGGTCGCACCGCAAGAGGAGGCGGAGGGTCTTATCCCTTCTCCAGATTCGGCCGACTTCCATGTCATCCGCCTCGACCTTAAGCTGGGCGCACACGGGTCGACAAGCTCGCCAGCGGCTCTCGTCTCGCAGCTGGAGAAGTCTTCCATTGCCAATCTTTTGGACGAACGGATTAGCAATGCTGTCACTCACATCGACAGGCTCCGTCTGCGTGTGGAGGACACCTCGTCAAAGGTACTCGTTACTGGCGACCTCAATGCTGGCAAGTCGACGTTCGTGAACGCGTTGTTGCGTCGCGAGGTCATGCCGGTTGACCAGCAGCCATGCACTACGGCGTTCTGCGAAGTACATGACGCTGTGTCGGAGAACGACGGCAAGGAGGAAGTGCACATCCTCAAGGACGGCGTATCATACAGCAGGGAGGACGAGTCGACGTTTACACGGGCCGCTCTTTCGGATCTGGAGTCATTTGTGTCCGAGAACGAAAACGAATCGCAGGTGCTCAAGATCTACCTGTCCGACTCGCGTGATCCGGCCAGTTCGCTGCTGAGCAATGGCATCGTCGATATCTCGTTGATCGATGCCCCCGGCCTCAACCGCGACCTCGTCAAGACGACGGGTGTGTTCACTCGCCAGGAGGAGATTGACGTCGTCGTCTTCGTCGTCTCGGCGGAGAACCACTTCACGCTGTCGGCGAAGGAGTTCCTGACGACGGCTAGCAAGGAGAAGGCGTACGTTTTCATTGTCGTGAACAAGTACGACCACATCCGCGACAAGGCCAAGTGCAAGAGGCTTGTGCTCCAGCAGATCAAAGAGCTCAGCCCAGCGACGTACGACGACGCCGAGGACCTCGTGCACTTCGTCGACTCGGCATCGGCCATAGAAAACGGCACTCCAGACTTTGACAACCTCGAGTCGTCGCTCCGCTCGTTCGTCCTCGTCAAGCGCACAAAGTCCAAGCTTGCGCCTGCGTCGACATACCTCCACCACGTCCTTTCTGATGTCGGCTTGCTCATCGGTGCCAACGCCATCGTTGCCGACTCCGAGCTCAAGCGCGCTCGCGAGGACCTCGACAGGTCGCGCCCCGTCCTTGAGAAGATGAAGAACGGCCGTCAGAACCTGGAGGACAGCCTCGAGTCTGTTGAGGAGGAAGGCGCGTCGGCAACGCGTAGCCGAACCAAAGAGCTGCTCTCGACTGCTCTCGACCGCGTTAGCCAAGGCAAGCTCGGCGTCGACCTCGCGTCGCTCAAGATGCCGACTTACCCTGGTCTGCTCAATATCTGGGACTACGCTCGGGACGTCAAGCAAGCTCTGCTCGCGAGCTTGGACATGGCTGTCAAGCTGGCCGAGGACGAGGCTCGCGTCACGACGTCGAACTCGGTCAACAAGATCTCGCGTATGGGCGACGAGCACCTGCCCGAGGGCATCGAACGGCCACGGCGTGTGTTCATGCCCGAAGCGATGTTCTCTGTGCGCGCTGATAAGAACGCGCGGAGGAAGAGCCGGACCGTGTCGAGTGGCGCCGTCGTCGCAGGCGGCATGCTTGGCCTGGGTATCGGGCTCTCACAGCGCTCGGACATGCTGGAGACGAGCTTCTTCGATCTGTTTGACGTGCACCACCAGTTCTGGGTCACGTTCGGCGACAAGAAGGCCGAGGACGAAGAGGAGAGCCCAATGACTGCCCTCAGTGTCGCCTCAGTCGGCATCGGCGCGGTTACGATGGTCGGCGGGCAGGCAATTGGCGCACGCGGGATCATCGAGGGCTTCGTTCGCATTGGCGCGCTGTTCGAAAACGAGAACGCGCGCAAGTGGGCGGCGCCCATTCTCGGTGCTGTCACCATCGGGGCGGCGGTGTACTTTATCCTCGAGCTCCCGAGCACGATCCCTCGGACTATTGGCAGGCGGATCAAGACGACGCTGGCGAAGGAGGCTGAGGAGCGGGGTGCAGAGGGCACGTTCGTTGAACTACACGGGCTTCGAGTGAGCCGAGAGACACGCAAAGTGCTTCGGCTGGCGTCGTGGGACTTGAAGGAGCGTTTCCGCACGGCGATGGACGAGAAGAACAGGGAGGTTCAAGGCGCGGAGGACGTCGAACACAAGGCAAGGAAGGCGCTCGAGTACTTCCTCAGTGTCGAGCGCGAGACCAGGGAAGTGCGCAAGCTCGCAGGATTGGGCCTGACTGCGTGAGGCGCCCTCAATTCGTTTTCGTGTCTGACTGGAACCTTCGACTTCGCGGCGCGCGGCCTGTATGGTTCGCCGTCGATTAGAGCGAGCCTCCTTGGGTGCACTTACTCACTTCGACTAATTCGTACGTTCGGCTCTGTTATTTCGTCCGTCACTCCTTCATGTTCCCTTAAGCTTGTCTTCTGTCTCGACTTACAATACGGATCTCCTTGTATGCTAGATCACTCCCCTATGCAGATGTCTGCTACGTGTACGTCATGACCTGTCTACCAGCCGCGTTGCTACAGTCTGTTGCAATATGATGCTGTGTTACGAACCATGTAGAGAACGTCCTGTGCGGTGGGTCTGGTCAGGCAAATTCACAGTGCGTGCGCTGGTCTCGTTAGAAGTGCATTGCCACTGGACGTAGACCATGGCCAGTGGACGGTCGTTGACATGGACAGACACTACAATCTGTCGTACACGCCAGGGACCAGGGCAGGCTCCTAAAACCAGCCGTCCATGGCGTTCTCGCTCCTACATGTCGATAGCCCACCATATGCTGAATCCGAAAAAGGGAATTGTGTTTAGTGTTATGTAATGTCCGAAGTTTATGCGACTAAGAGGAGGAGAACGCCATAGGACGGCTGGCCAATTTCGTCCCCGAGGCCACCCCGAGGCATGCGCGCTTCGCCCTCAGGCCAGCAGTGCGGTCACAGTAAGTGACCGAGCGCCTTTCAGCGAGTTTCGGGGTCCCGCTTGGCTCGCTTGCCCCGAGTCATCCAAATCAGGACATCGCTCGACGCTCGTGCGTCGAGGCGCGATTCATGATGGTTTTCGGTCTCGCATCCATCCAATGGGAGGATGTGGGACTGACAACACATTTGGGAAATTCAATGAGCATTTCTTTGGTGCCTCGCGTCGCTGCCCCAAAATTTGACAAAATAAATGAGCGGGGACTCGAACCCGTGCACCCGAAAAGGTGATCGGCGGCCATGACCACTGCACCAAAGTACCAACACCGTTTTATCGATGGCACTAAATAAGAGTACCAGCCAGCTCGTGGCACCCATTGCCTGTCAACTCCGAAGTACACGGCCACCCTTGTATAAATGATGGGATAATCATTGTCAGTGCCCCATGTGGCAGATGCGCTGCCCGGCACGTCAGCGAAGCACACGGTCACTGCAGTATGCACGTCGTGATGTGCTACATAGGGGTGGCCATAAATGGGTCCCACGAGCTGGCTGGTACTCTTATTTAGTGCCGTCGATAAAACGGTGTTGGTACTTTGGTGCAGTGGTCATGGCCGCCGATCACCTTTTCGGGTGCACGGGTTCGAGTCCCCGCTCATTTATTTTGTCAAATTTTGGGGCAGCGACGCGAGGCACCAAAGAAATGCTCATTGAATTTCCCAAATGTGTTGTCAGTCCCACATCCTCCCATTGGATGGATGCGAGACCGAAAACCATCATGAATCGCGCCTCGACGCACGAGCGTCGAGCGATGTCCTGATTTGGATGACTCGGGGCAAGCGAGCCAAGCGGGACCCCGAAACTCGCTGAAAGGCGCTCGGTCACTTACTGTGACCGCACTGCTGGCCTGAGGGCGAAGCGCGCATGCCTCGGGTGGCCTCGGGGACGAAATTGGCCAGCCGTCCTATGGCGTTCTCCTCCTCTTAGTCGCATAAACTTCGGACATTACATAACACTAAACACAATTCCCTTTTTCGGATTCAGCATATGGTGGGCTATCGACATGTAGGAGCGAGAACGCCATGGACGGCTGGTTTTAGGAGCCTGGGACCAGGGTCATAGACACCTCTGCTCTAAGTAAAAGTGCGTCTCTCAATACTTAGAGTCAGATTTAATTTGAGACAATGTTTTCAGTCTACATACGTACAGCGTCCGTCTCCTATAGACGCTTGTGGCCTTTTATGGTCTGCAACGGAGACTACCGTCTCCTACGCCTGCTTGAAGACACACTTTCCACTCGAATGTTCCCCCCAACCGCAAGCGAAACGATGTGTTGCGCATCTGTGAAGCGCGATACCCCCGTTGTCTGTCGCGAGGCCGGCCATGAGCACTCTTAAATTGGCTCTGGCCGTTCCACTCCCCTGCAGATCGCGGAGTGTCCATAGAGCCCCGGTGCAAGCAGCCTCTCTCTCTTCGGAATCGCGTTCGAGACACTACGACTCTGGCATCGCTCGGATGGATTCTTTGTATCGCAGCTTCGTATGCCATCGTATCTGTCCCGGACCTGCTGGCGACGGAACTATCCACTCGAATGCCCATGGGTCAGTTGTACTACCTGGATGTTATCAATGGATGCTCGTCATCTGATGTATGACTTGTGTTGTCCAGGTGAGGCTATCGCGATGCCAAACTTCAATGGTAGCACGTTCAAATTAGATTCAAACGTTCCCTCCAATTTCTTTGTGGCGCCGCCCAGGAAGTGGATGCATCACGCGTAATCTTTGCCTTCACAAGACACTTGAATGCGCTTCCTGTATCGCGATTGCGGAATTGGATAAACCGACACGCGCAAACACCCGTGAACGCTGCTGGCTAGTCATGGTTCTAGCTGTCGATCGCGGTTCTCATCGACTACACTAACTTCGCTCGCTGGGTAATTCTGTCATGGTCACCTGTGTCTTCAAGTGCTGAGATATTGACAATATCATTCGCCAGGGCTCCGGTCATTTGTGTGTATATATCATACGCGACGCCCATAGTCCTTCGAATGACATCGGGGAGGCACAAGTTAACCCCGGGCCCTTTCTCGCTCGGTGCGTTTTACATGCCTGTAGGACTCGTTCAAGCGGTCGCTCGGGTGGTGTTCATCATCGTCCTGCTCTGTTTTCCCACGTCAAGAACCGTCAATGATCAGGACATGGGTGCGTTCGACGTTTACAGCCCATTGACTACATAACTGACCATTGTACTTTGATGCGACAGACTGCACTGTCGCGATTGTGAGGGCCGTCTTCGTATTTGCCAGTGCTGGCGGCTCTTGGTAGTGTCGGTAAAAAAAAGTGGTTTATTGGAGCGCTCCCTTCACGTTCTCGCGGCGTCTGACTTTCCGTCTGGTCTCACAGAGTACAGATTCGTCCATCATAATGTGCGTGTGGGCATGCGTAGTCTCCCGTAGGCAGACCACAAGACACGACCTCTTTGACGGGTGGGGACCAGTCGTATAAGGGTGCGTGTGCATTGGCCCTGCGGTATGGTCACTGGTGTGGTGCTGAACCTTAGTGCACCCACAAGGCGCTATTCAATCACCTGGCACGCGGAATCCCTTTGAAACGGGTATCGAGACACCGCTTCCTCGCTGATTATCTGTGGCTATTAATGCGTGGCACCTGATAAGACACCAGGTGCTCAGTACGGGCGAAGGCTGATACGATCGAACGGCCGCGACTCAGAGCGCAAGACACCTGAAGTGAGCTAAAAGCCATTGGATTCCCTTCGTCAATGATGGGAGTGTTCTTTGACTTTTCCGTGCCCCTGTCTCTGTCTTCAGTATGCAGAATTGGGCAATCTGCAGGCATTGCGGAACCCGGACTCGGTGACCAGCTAGCCAGTCAGGCTTTGTAACCGTCCTATCACTCCGCCTCGATGCAGGCTACACCGGCATATTGATACATAATATCCTTGTAGTTAGAGTTACAGAATGATACATGTATCGTTGTAGTCTAGAGACAGTCTCTCAATGCATTACCTTATACATCGCGGTACAGACAGGCGATACATCGGTCAACCGTGCAGCGGCAGGTCGATGTATCACGGTACAGGCAGGCGATACATCAGCCAACCGTGCAGCGGTGGGTCGATGTATCACGGCCCAGGCAGGCAATACATCGCCCAATTCACCGACACCGGTGGATGTATCAGTCTGCAAGTAGCCGTCGGGGGATGTATTTCAGTCCGGCAGGTGATACATCGGCAGACCGCGCTGCGGGCACTGCAATGTATCAATGTCTGTCCATGAAGCCGGCCTCGATGTTGATACATACCGGTCAGTGATACATCCCTCGACATCGTGCGACAAAAATTTATGAATGGCCCGTATAATAAGCAGACATGGCCTTACCGCCATCGCCCTCTCGCCCTCTCGCCCTCTCGCCCTCTCGCACTACTGTCTCTCACGCCCACCCCGCCCCTTTCGAGCCCTCGTCCACTGCCTCGAGTCCCTCTCCGCATCCTCTCGTCGTTGCTTGCTCATCGGTACTTGTCGCTCGCCGCCTCAATAGCCCAAGTCCCCCAAGTCGACTAGCTCCCCGGCTGCCATGGCCGCCTCCTCTTCCACCAATGGCATCCCTGCGAAGCCCTGCGTCACGGTGCAGCCCAACGTCTTCTCGCATTTGACGATGTCCACTGACAGACATAGATGCGCACTGGCAGGCCGGTCCCTCAACGTCATAGTTGCTCCGAGTCATTGACGGGCCTCGATATACTGGCATTGAGGACTTGGTGATTCCGTACCAGTACATACTATATGTAGGCAGTTAGACACCGGATGCGACCTGAGACATTTGTATTGAGGCGAGTCGATCCTATAACTGACAACGATTTTCTTCTACCGCCGCTGGCATGTTGTGACTGAACATGAGACGTACACACTGCCAAGTGCCTCCAGCATACACCCCACACATCACAATCGTGCTGGTATAGGGTGAGTCTATCGACTATATGCATGGCTAGAGTACTCATCACTTATGCATGAGGTCATTGAACGTCACGGTGCGCGTGTCGTAGCCACACCTACATCAATGGTAAGAGGCGTAGATGGTTCCGCGTAGGCTCGCACATGGGTTCTCATACATTAGACGTCGAGTGTATTGTACACTATGAACAAGATAGCTGTCGGCGCAGCACTACACGATGCACTCCCTCAGCCACGACAATGTAATACTAACAAGACGGGAGAAGGCCACAAGATCGCAAGAGATTGTATGAGGTACGTAGGGATGCGGGCATACAAGAACAGCGGGGAATGCGATGCAGGGCAAGATAGCAAGACACAACGGGAAGGCGGCAAGAAGATAGCGACGAGCGAATTATGAAGGAGTCTCAGCTTAGCTCACCTTCCTCTTCTTCGGTGATGCGCCGGCAGCCGCACCGCCTCTCTTCCTTTTTCCATTCAACACCACCCCATCACGGTTCTCCTTCTCCTTCTCCGTGTCTGAGCCACCAGGCAGGTTGTTCGGTCGCGTGCCATCAGGATTAGTAGGTGGGCGACGCATGCGCTGTGGTCGTGCTGCCGTGACACTCCCCAGTGAAGCGTCGGAAGAACGAGACACGCTGCCCTCGACAACTTGAACACCAGTCACTGAGAGAATTTTCTCGCGCGGTGAAATGACACTTGTATGCGTCGTCGATGCTGACCCCGAGCTGACCATGCCAGTAGTGGTCGTCTGCGGCGAAGGAGGTGCATGCGCACCCTGGGCAACCGTTGTCGGCACCGGCTGAGTGGTCGTCGGCGGCGCGATGGCAGGCTGGACGGTCATCGGCGCAGGCTGGACGGTAGTCGGCAGCGGAAGCTGGATGGTAGTCGGCAGCGGAGGCTGAACGGTAGTCGGCAGCGGAGGCTGGACGGTAGTCAGCGGCAGAGGTTGGATGGTAGTCGGCGGCAGAGGCTGGATGGTAGTCGGCGGCGGAGGCTGGACGGTCATCGTCGGCACAGGCTGGACGGTCGTTAGCATCGCGGGCTGGACAGTCGTCGTCGGCAGAGGCTGGGCCGTCGTCGGCATCGCAGGCTGGACAGTCGTCGTCGGCAGAGGCTGGGCCATTGTCGGCATCGCAGGCTGGACAGTCGTCGTCGGCAGAGGCTGGGCCATCGTCGGCATCGCAGGCTGGACCGCCATCGGCATATCCTGGGCAATAGGTTGCGCAGTCAGGAGACACGCAGTCGCAGAGGAGACGATTGAACTCACATTGTAGTAGTAGCTACCTGCTCCAACTTGATTGCCTTGAGCGTGCATCCCATGATTCCAGCCTCCGCGAGGGAAGTACAATGGTGCCATTGCTGTAGGTAGCGACGCATGCATCGCCATGGCCGGAGTGCCTGCGGCAAGCGGGTATGCATAGGACTGTGGCATTGAGGACATGGGGTTCGCAGATGGCGGAAACACGTAGTTCTCGTTGCCCATCAGCGCCATAGTGCGTACGTCGCCACCATCCGACTGATAGCGCAAGTCGTGGCGAACTGGCGGGGTAGCTTCAAACTGAGTCGGGAAAAGTTGAGGAGCAGCAGGGTGAAACTGAGAGTAATCGAGCTGGGAGAAGTGGACGTTGGACGGATAGAGATGGTCAGGATTGGGGCCAAGAAGCAGGTCGAGCATCGACGTCGACGTGGACTCGTCCCAATCGGGGTCAGCAGACAGAGGTATGAAGTTGGCGTCTGACCGCAACACGGCGTTCTCCGCTGAGGAGTCGGGGGCGCTAGCGCTGGCGCTGACAACCGTGTCAGGTGATTTCACAGGGACGGACGGAAGTTCCTCGACGATCTGAGGGTCCTCGACGGCGGTCTGCTCCTCCTCGACGAGCTGCTCCTCCTCGACGGTCTGCTCCTCCTCGACGGTCTGCTCCTCCTCGATGGTCTGCTCCTCCTCGACGGTCTGCTCCTCCTCGACGGTCTGCTCCTCCGACACCGCGGCCGGCAACTCGTGCGCAGAGCCGCTAGGGGTAGAATCACCCGCAACGCTTTCGAGGTCGTCCGCAGGGCCTGTGGCGCTGGGACTCGCGCCAGTTTCCCGCTCGGGTGTCTGGGATTCCTGTTCCTCGGTGCATGCTATAGTGATGATCAGGTCAGTGAGCAGACGTCATTCAAGGTTCAGGTAGTGCGCTCACCCAACTCTTTTTTGACATATTTGATGAATGGCCGAACAAAGCGACCCTTGAAGTCGGGTGTCGACGAGCCAAAGTCATATCCCTGCCCAGGCGGCTCTGAGTGGAATCTTTGAAGAGCCCTGATGAGTACGGCTTGTCCTGCGTCTAGACTACATCACTCACGTTAGGCTCGTGACCTTGTCGCTGCCCGGCTCCTTGCCCACAACAAACACCATGCAGTACATCTTCGTCTTCGCGTGGACAGCGCCGAAGAATTGTCCGAAGGCCGCCGGTAAGTCGTCGATGATACTACACGAATGGATGAGACTTAATGATGCAAACTTCTCATTGACAGGAACAACATACGCTTGACGACAAGCCGGGCTGATATCACCGTCGGCCTGGCTCCCGTCTTCTCCACGAGTCTCCGCTGCGACCTCCTTCGCCGCACGCACCTCGTCCTCGATCTCGGCCTTCACCTCGTCGGACTCGTTCTTGAACGACTCGCCGGTCTCGTACTTGATCAATGCCAGCTTCTCTGCCCTCGAGTACTCCTTCTTCGCAACCTTCGCGGCTTCTATCTTCGCGGTGACTTTGTGTTTGACACGAGTCTTGTAATACTTCCGTGAGTACACCTCATTGACTTGGAGAGAGCGTGTCCCCTTCGGCTTCAGAGAGAATTCACCGCGTGCACTGCGTGAGGTCGCGGCCTTGCGTCCCTTCTGGCCCATCCGATTGTTGTACCAGTTGCACAGTTTCTGCGTCAAGGGATCAGCCACGTTCCGTGCATTTGGGAAGCTCGAGCAAACTCACGCCTTTTCGTCCCTCATTAGCCTTGGCAACGATTGCAAGCTCCTCTTCGGTAAGCGGTTCGACGCGCCCCGGGAACACGACATCCCTCTCCGGGTAAGCTTGGAACCACTCGCGATAGAGTTCAACACGGAAACGCGTTAAGCTTTGCTCAGCCTGATGAGTACGGTAAGACACCACCCTAGCCTCTAGGAATTCGAGCTGCTCTGGGGACGCCCAGGGTTTTGGAGCCATCTGACCAATGAGACGCGGATCGGTAGAGTGTGCACCGTGCCAGCTAGACGCCTATACGGGAGAGCGGTGATACATCCACTGTCTCGCTCGTCCTTATGAAGTTCACATGCCACACAAACCCAAGGCAACGGTAGTATGGCCCACGTCTACATCACCAAGCTCAGCAAGTCCCGAAGGACGATTTCTCATTCATCTCCAAATGGTAAGCATCTCAGTGCACGTCGATCACCGACCAGTCTTACTGATTCGGACGTGGACGGAGGCGTGCCAAAGGCTGTTGGGGCGCGATCGCGCTGGGGCGTATCAGTGGCGAATCAACGGCGTGGCAGCGGCGGTAGCAGCTGCGATAGGTGAGATAGAAGTACGAAGTCTTGAGGGAACCGAACACTGCGGAGGGGTAGCATGGCTGCCATGTCCAGTAAATCCGAGGTCGTGCGACAAGGCATGGTCCAATGGGCACTGGACGTTCGCTCGCCGCGATCCGCGAGACACATAAAGGACTGATCCTTGGCCTTCGCTCTGACCAGGATCCGACCCACCTCCCCTCAAGTTCCCATACTCTTCTTCGCTCGCGATGGCCAACGGGAAGGACACTGGCAAGGACGTCACCACCAACCCCTCGACACCGGCACCTGTTATCAGTGTCGAGCAGCTGCAATTGCTGATCGCGCAGCTTCGCGTTTTTGCGGAGCAGGAGGAGGGTAAGGATTCCCTTTTTCTTTGACATGTATCGTGAGTTGAACAGAAGTTTCCCCCCGAGCAGACCGTCAAATTTGGGAGGCTGTGGACATGCCTGCGCGCGGTATGTAATTCTTTTCATTAATGACTACGCGATACGATCACTGACTACAGTATCTCATAGGAGAGCAGAGGAGTGACCAGACCGCGTCTGACAGGGCCCATCAGGAACCCACGGATGGAAAGGGACCCCCGCCGCATATTGCAGCGCCTCAGCCAACCGCGTTGGCTGCTGGGTGTGGCGTCGGCGGGTCTGGCAGCGGCGGCCCCATCAGCGGCGGCTTCCCGAGCGGTGGTGGTGGCGGCGGTGGCGGCTCCGGTGGCAATCGACCAAGCTGCGGTTGTGGCGTTGGCGTTGGCGGCGGCGGCGAGAGTGGTGTCCGCTGGTACTGTGTGACCAGAGGGCGTGCTGTCGGAGTTTTCGTTGGCTGGTAAGTGTATGGTTCCCTTTTGTGTCCAGCCGTCCTGAACTCGCATCTGCAACAGGCCAAACGTGTCGCCTCTCGTCATCGGCGTACCTAACTCCGTGTACCAGCGTTACCCAATGTTTGCTGTGGCGCTGGCAGCTTTCGTGGAGGCGACGGCCAATGGTACCGTGTTCCTCATTCTGTAGTTGCATGTCTTCGGACCATCCTCGCCTGCCTCGCTGTCTCTTCGCCGGGCTATCTACTCTCGCTGCACCATCACTCCATCGCCTTTCTTGATACCATGTCCGTTGTGTTCGTCGCCCCATCACAGTCACATGCTCCGCTGCTCGCCCGAAGTTGTATTACTGTTACATAATCATGTAACACAACGTCTGCAGTATATTCTTGAGCCTTACACGAAAGCAATCAGTTGTGCCCCTTCATGAGTTGCTCGCCCTCGATCCGCACCATCTATACACCACGCCTCCCAATCGTATCCATGGGCCGACGTGCCAAACATCACACGTTAGAGCAGAGAGTTACCTCGAAACGAAGTCAGCAAGCGAAGTACGCCGACAGTCCTTCGTAAGATATACTCTATGAGGTTCGGAGTTCGTTTTGCTTACAGTAGACTTACAGTGGTCGTGCGAGGCGAGCCAGAGTGAGTCGCGACGCATATGCAGTCAGCGTTGGGCATCGTGCAAGCCCCTTCCACCATCGAATCAAAGCAGTCCCTGCGGCGATCTTTACTCTTGCGCGAACACCTTTCAGCATCTCGGTGGCACGCCGGCGTGGTACCGTGAGGACCGATCTCGGCCTGTACGCTCCTCCATACACCCCGACAATCCCCTCGGAACTGCTTCGAGTCGGAGGGGCTGATCGGGACAAGGGTGAGGGCGATGAACTGTTTGCGCCGGACAAGGGAGATGCCAGTGTGGCAGCACAAGACTTGACCCATGTCTTGAATGGCCAGCAATATCGTCTCTTCACAACGAACGGCGCGCAACGCTTCACGGAATGGAGGTATCAGCCCATCTCGGACACTGTAGCTAAGGTCGAAACGGAGATCGAGGCACGTATTCATAGCTGGGACGCGGGCACAGGCGACGGAGACTCGGAGGGCCTTAGTACGGATAACTTTGAATGCGCAGCCGCACGGGCTGTGGGCATGAATTGGGCCGCAAAGATCATATGTACGCTCGCTCAGGAGTTAGAAGTACTGCAGAACGGCTACTTAGTGTATCAGGCTGCATTCGACGAGATGTTATTACCTTGGCAGTGCATGAACTTGATTGCATAGCCAGCGGGTATAATACATATGTTTCACTCACATGTTGAAACCGATGCAACACTTGGTTCACTATGTACTTCGCGGACTTCGGAGGGTAATCGGCGAGCTCACACAAATTCAGGACCTTGTCCCTTCGACATTGCCTACCTGACTTCAACACATCTCTCTCACGACAAGGGCAGCATGATCGACATGGCTCAGATCAAGTACATGGTCATTGAGTGAGTGCGAATAGCAAGTTGAGTACGCAGGAGCGATGACCGAGGTTAGTGGCAGCATAGTACTTTTGGCGGTTCCTCTAGCCTCAACTTACACATTAACGACAATGTTCGCCTCTGCCCCCCTCACGAACTGCGCTTCCCTCTTAACTAACCAAAACGTTGCTGTGGTTCACTCGTCGCCCTCTTGTGCAATCATTGGCCCTCTCTCGTCTTGAAAGGCCCTTTCTTCATGTAGAACTCTTCGACCTTTGGTTCAGCTGAGCGTTATACCGCCTCTGATTGGTCAAGCGAGCCTCAGGTCAGTAGTGTCCTAATTTTGGCTCCTGTACCGTCGGTGTCACATGCGCTTCGATTGAGTGCGCGTCGGTGAACGCCGTGTTGGCTTCGGCGACCTTGCGGACCTAATTGACCACGATGCGAACCACGAAGCTCCTCCTCCTTCCATTTCCGAACGTCTCTGCCTCCAAAGGTGTGATCAAGGCGTCGAAATGGAGCGAGTTATGGCTGAGAACGGACGTTTTCCAGCTCCATGGACATGGTGAGTTCAATCCGATTCTATAGATCAGACTTTTTGGCTCCGCGGAGAAGATTCCATGTATAGCGCTGCATGAAAGTCGGCGGTCAAGGCAATGGACGGAGCGAGTAGCGGCTGAAAAGAAGTATAAACATTGGTGAGTTTGGTTCGGTTTCAATATATCAGGCTTCTTGGCTCCGCGGAGGAGACTGCATGTGTCGTCCTGCACGAAGATTGAAGACTGATCCTTTGGCCGCATATGTAGGATGCGTGTAATGGAACCATCTGCCGCATTGGAGATAATTACCTGTTGTCCGAGTAAGTGCATATACTGATCTGAATGGACAAATCCAGTAGCTCTAATTCACTCCCCAGATGTCTCATTTCCGAACTGTGGGTGAGTGTCGATTGACTTACGCGGCCTGGATCGAAGCTCAGTGGTGTCCAGGACCCCGCCCGGATCGGTGCATCAATGCGGTGGTCGGCATCGACCAGGGAATGTCGGGGTCAGTCCGATTCTTCCTGTGCCGAGTTCGTGAATCCGCCTGGCTGCTCGCCATGGCCCCCCTTGCAAAGAAGCGACGCCGAGGGCTTGTTGGCGTAACATTTTACGATGCTGATGACGACGACGACAACGACGACAACGAGACTCCCAGACGTCGAACACAAGGGTCTCTCCATCAGCACACATCGTTCGCAACCACCGCCACAGGGATATCCACTCGAACATCCCGCATCTCTGCGGCAGATCCCTCCGCCGCTGACACGAACCCTGTACCTCCGGTCTCTGCCCAGCAGGCAGACGCGATCCTGGACGATGTCCTCGAGCTTCCTGTGCCAGGCCCGGCATCCAATCCAGACTGGGAGAGGGAACTCGGTGAAGATGACGCACATGGCGCGTTGTCGCCTGAATTCTTCACAGATATTGGCGAGTATCTAGAAGCTACCAAAACCCGAAGGCGCACAGCTAGCGTGAGTGTGCGATCTTCATCATTGCAATCACATTAACACTCACTCGCGTACGCTCATCATGATAGGACTATCCTCTACTTGAATGGTCTAGGAACTGCGTCGACGAATGGCTCGCTGAGCTTCTTCGTCACGAGGGACGCGGTGATTTTGCGTACGACACTTGTGCTGGATGCGACGCAGGGGAACTGCAACTCTATCGCTGCGATGATTGTTGGGATCCACGGTTCTACTGCCAAGATTGCACCCTTACTCGCCATCGTCGCAACCCGTTTCATCGACTCAAGGTATGTCACCTCTCAAGTCCCACTCAATGTGCCTTGGCATTCACCAGCTGCACAGATGTGGGACGAGACACGACTGCGTAAGATCACTCTTAAGCAGCTGGGGCTGCGGATCCAGCTGGGTCATGCAGTCGGCGACTTATGCGCAAACCCACAGAGAGCGTTCGGCGACGACTTCGTCGTCCTCGATGTTTCTGGAATTCATGAAGTGGCCCTCGACTACTGTGGTTGCGAGGGTGAAGAAACAAAGCCCACTCAGCTGCTACGGTCGAAGCTCTTTCCTGCGACGAGCGTGGATCCGAAGACGGCGGCAACCTTTCGTCTAATGGAGCACTACCACGTCTTGCACAACCAAACGAAGACGTCCGGTTTTGAGTTCTACAACACTCTCTCGCGGTTGACGGACAACACAGGGACATTGGACCAGAAGGTACGTAGTCGTGCATAGTGTGGCACACAACACTGACAGGTCGTATTGCAACAGGGTCGATATGGCAGTCTCATGCGCATGGCACGCATGTGGATCCATCTCAAAATGCTCAAGCGATTCGGCCGTGGGCACGATCCAGGTGGTGCCAGAGCCACCGAACCTGGCTCCTGTGCGGTCGCCTGTCCCGCCTGCCCGCATCCCGGAATCAATCTCCCGTCGAACTGGGAAGATGCGCCGCCAGAGAAAAGGTACGACTCAGTGGCATATAATGGTGTTAATATTCAAACACGTGCAGCTGGCTCTATCGCCTCTTTGTCGGCATAGACGCAAACTTCCGGCTGAAGCGCAAGGACGTGTCTACAGACGCCGTCGATCCCGGACTTAACAGGGGGTATGCGTACTTTGTCGAGGAGAAGGCGTACAAGGCGTTTTTGGACGTACACGACAAGCACGAGACGATTGAGAAGAGTTCGTGCAACAGTCACGACGCGGTCAAGCTGGCGAATATGAGAGGCAGCCAGGGCACTGCTGCTAGCGGAGTCGCGACAATCGAGTGCGTCCGTCATGACATGAAGCGACCGTGTTCCATAGGAGACCTTCAGAAGGGAGAGCGGTATGTGTTCGCGCCTCTTGTCGTGCCAGCACCATTAAAGTCGGATGATACAGATACGTGAACATGGATTACCTTTTCGCGAGCAGCTTGCGCCAGCACTCCACGACACGCGTCGTTGTCTCGTACGACATCGCCTGCCAATGGAGTGTTAATCTATGGAGCCGGATGATGCAGTACGAGTTCGAATGGAACTTCGAGCGACAAACAATCACGTTCCTCATCCCGAAATTTCATCTTCCAGCTCACCAAGAAAGCTGCCATACGAAATACTCGTACAACTTCATCAAGCACGTCGGCCGTACAGATGGAGAAGCCGTCGAGCGCGGTTGGGCAGCTGTCAACGGATTCTCGGGCAGCACGAAGGAGATGGGGCCAGGATCGCGTCGGGACGTCCTCGATGACGCGTTCGGTGACTACAACTGGCGCAAAGTCATTCAACTACGTACGTGTTGGTTTGAATCTGCTGAATGGGTTGCACTGATTCGGTTATAGCAAAAACATTGCTTACCAGGATCAAGAACGCGGTCGACGAGCGCAGCAAACATGTAGCCGAGTTCCAGGAGTTGACTCAGGTCACGAACTCTGCACATGTAGCTGAGTGGATGCAGCAAGTGGAGGCTTGGGAGAATGGAGCCGATTTCAATCCGTTCGTAGGCACTCGGCACCGTGAGTCCCTTGCATGTATGTACATCGCTTCAGTCGAATCTCACGAACCGTACAGCTGTGACACTCGCGTCTATCCGCCGCACGCTCGCAGAAGAAGAATCAACTGCCATCAACGATGGAACACTTACTATGCTCCATGTCACGGTGTCGCCAAGTGTACTCATCATCGCAGGCCTAGAAATCGAAGACCTTCAGTAAGTTTGTTATCTTCGGGTTCATGCCTTCATTACCACTAAGCTTCGTGTGTAGGCGTCGCCTTCGCAAAGATGCTGCATCTGTCGGCAGCAATGGTACGGATTCGCAGCACGCAGACATTGTCCGCCGTCGCAACAACCTACAGCTTCGGATCAATGCCTGGCGGGAGTTTCAAGATCTCTACATGCCCGGGATCCTCCAGCTACGAACCGTGAATGTGTCCGTGAGGACAGTCCAACCCGAGAACATCCCTCTCTACCTTCCGTCCGCTGTCGTCAATGTGGCCTCCGTTCCCCCTTACCCCGCCCTCAATGACATCGAACGGCGCCTTCGTCATGCCCAGGTTACTGACACTTTGGAGCAGCTGAAGCAGCACCTCCGTGCTCGCTCAAAACTCTACGGCGTGAAGGACCGGGACGTCCGCGGCCAGCGATACAACACTCGCTCTCGTACGTATATCAATACTGTCGATGCGCGCATCGACGCCGACGCCACTCGATACCGTGTTGCCTATGCCGCTCTGCTTTCCCTTGACCCAGCAGATGACCTCAAGTGGCAGAAGTTCCTGCGTCCTCTGAACGACAGCGACGTTCGTGGAATGCAAGATAGTCTTGAAAAGGAATCTGAGGGTAGAAGAACACTGTCTTGGATCTGGCGCACGTCGGGCTTCTCTCGTGATGACGCCTCCGAGGACGACGAGGACGATTTGGAAGGTATGTGTCACCTAAACTACTTGTTCTTTTGCTGATAGCATTGTTCAAGCTGTGCGCATCGAGTGGTGCAAATCGCGTGCGCGCGCCCATCGGTGGAGCGAGGAGTGTGATCTTCTCGAGGAAGAGATGCGGCGTGTTACGGCATTTTTCGAGTGGGAGAGTCAGTTGTGGTCTCGACGTGCCGAGAATGCGGCCTGGACGGATGAGGCAAGCACCCAGTCTCCCGCATTTGCTACCAGCCATGAGCATATCGAAGGTCGCATCGCATATGCTCATCGGCAAGCTGACATACGCACCGCCTTGGTAGAACGCTGTAAGAAGTCTTGGGTGGATGTAGCAGAGTATCTACAGATTGGGACCCAACTGTAATGTATGTCGCGCCATTGCTGCAGTGAGCGCAAATGATACACTCTTTTTGACCACGTAAATACGTACTGCGAGACATATGCTACCACGAGGCAAGCGCGATGTATCACAGGAGACCGGCCGACGCGATGTATCAAGAGGTCCTACCAGAAGACACAATGCATTACGAGGCATCAGTAGACACGATATATGATAATAATCATAAGCTACGGGTGGGTGTGATGTATTACAAGACATTGTGGGACGAAACATGGTACGAGATGGATGTGATACATCGAGGCACACTGACAGACATGATGTATCAAGAGACGTGGCCGGCAGACACGATGTCTCAGCAGACGCGATGTATGAGCAGACACAATGTATTAGCAGACACGAGCAGACACGATGTACATGGGAGACGTATGGTGGACGCGATGTATCACAGACGCGAAAAGCCAAGTCAAACCGACGTCGCATGATGTGCTAGGACAGATGTATCGCATGATGGGTCGGCCGCGATGTCTAAGGGTACTGATACACCTCTGAACTGACGGACACCACGTGCGATAGAGGAGATGTGGTGGATCGCGGGGCATCCCCGATCTTTTTGCAGGATAGAGGCGATGCATGCACGGCGGTTGTGAGGCGCGGAAGAAGTCCATAGTAGGAACACGATGACAGGAAGGGTTGGACAAGATGGACCTCGCGCGCGACAGGGTCGCCGTGCTGCGTGGGAAGGCATACATATCAAGTGTCATGGGGAACAGTTATATTGGCACTCACGGACGGTCATCAAGTGATCCTCCGCCAGCCATGCGTCAGACGTCACACAACAGATGGAAACTCGTGCATGGTGAGAACAACACGGGGCGGAAGAAACCACAAGTGGAAGAGGAGGCGGCCATGGCTGATGAGCTCGTCGACTTGGGACCATGGGGTACTGATGCGAGTGACAAGCAGCAGTGAGCAAGATTCGACGGCATGGCATTAGTGGCAGAGGATGCGGAGAAGGACGGGAGACAGTGGGCGAGGACGAGGACGGGGCAGGGTTACTGTGAGAGGGAGGGCGAGATGGTGATGGCGGTGCCATGTTTGCCTATTATATGGGCCATTCATAAATTTTTGTCGCACGATGTTGAGGGATGTATCACTGACCGGTATGTATCAACGTCGAGGCCGGCTTCATGGACAGACGTTGATACATTGCAGTGCCCGCAGCGCGGTCTGCCGATGTATCACCTGCCGGACTGAAATACATCCCCCGACGGCTGCTTGCAGACTGATACATCCACCGGTGTCGGCGCCGGAATTGGGCGATGTATTGCCTGCCTGGGCCGTGATACATCGACCCACCGCTGCACGGTTGGCTGATGTATCGCCTGCCTGTACCGTGATACATCCACCGGGCTCGGCGACTCAGCGCACTGCCCAGCGATGTATTCGCTCGAGTCGTGAGAAAGCCATCAACGGCCGTCCACCACCTGAACGAGGCCGTGTTCCTGCAGTTGATCGAAAGCTGGATGAGGGTATGAGCAGAGTAGATCGCGGCTGCGACATTGAGTTACATCAGCGAGGGGTTGCACATTGTATGAGTAGGTCACATACCGAAAGGAGACAGCGGACGCTGGAGGTGTCGGTCAGTCCGATTGACATTACGCATGGAAGTGCATCAACGAGCCGGGCGGGTCCGCGACCTGTTGTGTAGTCGGTGTATGCACCGTTAATACTGTACGCAGCCCACTCGCGGTGTGCGTCAGCCCATCTACGCGGCAGGCTGACCTGGAGACCTACTACATGTGTGGTATATAATGAATCAGTACAGACCACAGGGAAAGCTGATGACGTACTAGATCAGGTAGTGGGCGGTGTCCGATGGCTCCGGGAAGCATCCCAGTGCTGGTGGTCTGGGTATGTCGCGCCCGCGTTGGTATATCGGAGGCGCATCAACGCCACCGGCGGCCTTCTGTCACGTATAGGTGCGCGTTCTCCTGGTGAAAGCGCGGGAGAGACCGGTGGTGAGTCTGTTATGTATCAAGCACTCCGAATCGGGCGTAGCGGTACCAGTAATATATACGGAGGAGGAGTGCAACCGTCTGTGATACATCGGTCCAAGGAGCGAGCGGGTGGCTGAATCATCTGAGTCAGCGGCTGCCAAATAGGGTAAGTGAGGTCGGACTCTTATGTATCAACAGCTCTGATACATCGCACTGACGCACTGTTATGTATCGCGTCGTCGGTGGATTGCTTGGTGGTGGGGGGCTCGGTGAGTGAGAGGTAGGATGTATCATTTTGTAACTCTAAGGAGAGAGGACTATATATCAGTCTGCCAGCTCTAGGTGCTCGATGTTGATTTTTGCGGATACATATACAGCGGGGCAACTGCTCCCCTTGGCCCCACATAGCCGTGAATTCTGCGCATAATCATGGCACTTACTTCACTGGCCCTAGCCTGTCTCTTGGCAGCTCTCGCGCTGTGGCCATTTGTCACTTATCTATGGATGCGCATTGCGGGCTCAACTCTGCATAAGATCCCAGGGCCGCCGGTGAAATCTTTCTGGACTGGTATGCGATCCTATGCCTCTTCAGAGCTGTGATGCCATTCAGTTGACACGTATTTACAGGCCATTTCAGTCAATTTTTTGCTCGTGATGGAGAGAACTTTCAGCGACACCTGGCGAGTTACGGGCCTATCACCAAGATCAACGGCTTCCTCGGGGTGAATCCATTTATTGCTTACCGATGTTTTCGATGTTGATCAACGTTCGCATCTTGCCTCGCAGCAACCTATATTGTGTGTCGCAGACCCTAAAGCTCTGCACTACATCTTGGTCAAGGAAGAACACATATATCAGGAGACTGATGATTTCATATCGTACGTCGTCTCTTACAGGTGACATTTTTGGTGCGGATTCGTGTGGCTAATTCATTTTAGGGGCAATATTTTGTACTTTGGACCCGGACTTTTATCAACACTTGGTATGACATGCTTGTTGGTCGTTTCGAAGAGGCCACTCACTGGAATGCAGGTCAACAGCACGCAAATCAGCGCAAGATACTGAATCCCGTATTCTCTATAAATCACATGCGCCATATGCTACCGTTGTTTTACTCTATCGTCCATAAGGTAAGATGACATCCACCGTTGGTATCATAGGTATCATAGACTATGACCTAACCTTTCCTGGACAGTTACGGGATGCAATCCGATATCGTGTACAAGACGGGCCACGGGAACTCGATGTTCTGCATTGGATGGGACGAACGGCTTTGGAGCTCATTGGTCAAGGCGGTCTAGGGTACACGTTTGACCCACTGGTGGAGGATAGGATAGACCCATACGGAGAAGCATTGAAAGCAATCGTGTACGTTTCACAGTCATACTAGTCACTCCGCAAATGCTGACGGCTCCAAATGCATGACTCGCCGCGGACCATAATCCGACTGCACCTCACTGCTCACAGTCCGCTCGCGTTTCGCCTATCGGTTTTCGTCAAGCTAGTACTACCTCTTTCCAAGAGGTTGGTTCCCAGATGGTTGCGCAGGGCAGTAGTGAGATTATTTCCCACTGCATCTACCGTTAATCTATTGGCCGAGGTTGTCAATACAATGCACGAGAGATCGAGTGCGATATACCAGGAGACGAAGCTCAGAGTTGTTGGGGTGGATGCAGAGGTTGTGAAGCAAATAGACGGACGCAAGGACATATTGAGCAGCCTCAGTGAGCTTTCCAAACTTTATTACTCGTCGATCAGAGTTCTTGACGAACAATCAAGTACGCGCTAACACCGCAGCGGATGTCAAGGATCAGCTTTCGGAAGAGGAGATTGTCGGACAGATTTCGTAAGTTTGCCGGCTTCTTCTATGCGGGCGTCATGTACGTTGACAACGGTCTCTGCTTTAGCACGCTCCTCTTTGCGGCGACGGATACGACGTCGACTGCGCTCTCGCGCATCCTGCATCTCTTAGCCCAGCATCCCCATGTGCAGCAGAAGCTGAGACATGAGCTCCTTGAGGCCAATGCTGCCGATGAAGTATCATATGAAGAGCTGAACAAGCTCCCGATCTTGGACAGTGTCTGTCGGGAGACGCTAAGGCTGTGAGTACCGTGCGTGATTTCAGCTCCTTGTTCGAACTACTGATGTCCAGTATCGCTGTCAGTCACCCCCTGGTAGTTTCATATTCAGAGTGTATGTCTATCAGTTCATCATTGAACACCTCCACAGATGACCTCGTTTAGGGCGACGAAGGACACCGTCCTTCCTCTATTCAAACCGATCACCTTGACAGATGGTCGCCAAACAAGTGAAATCCCTATAGCCAAAGGCTCGGAGATCCTTCTCGAGTATCTCGGATGCAATGTCAGCAAGAGCTTGTGGGGCGAAGACTCCCTCGAGTGGAAGCCCGAGCGTTGGCTCTCGGGAATTTCGACTAAGGTGGCGGATGCTCGTGTCCCTGGCGTCTACTCTCACTTGTACGGGTCTATCAGGATATCCGGCGTGCTCAAGCTGTTTCACTGACTCTCTATGTGGATAGGATGTCATTCGCCGGCGGGAAGAGGGCTTGCATGTAAGTGTACCGAGTACGACTGCCTGACTTTGTGCTCACTCTGAGACTTCGTTACGCAAGCGGGTTCAAATTCGCCGAAATGGAGATGAGTAAGTGTCAGCACGGTTCGCGTAGAATCGATGATCTGACCATGATCGCAGAGACCGTTCTATCTGTCCTTGTGTCAACATTCACCTTCGAATTAAGCGACAAACCCATTGCATGGAACATGGCGGGCATAATGTACCCAACAGCCGGAAAGGAAAGCAGCAACCCCTCGTTGCCCATGAAAGTCGGGCTCTACAACTTGAATGTACCGCGAGTTTAAGGGGGCTTAACGGCACAAGTGACGGGCAAGTGCTCTATGGGAATCTAGTAGGTCTCATCGAATTCTCAACAGGTTACAATTTTTAGCCACGGTGGACTCGGAGACGTCCGCAGCCTGAACTATGAAGCTTGGTGAGGGAAGGTCCGGCACATATGCACGCAAGATCACATATCTGTGGTCTCCGAGTTCATCAGGATTTGATTATTTCCATTCCAATGTATGCAGTCCCAGCTGCCGAGGGCATCCCCGTGACGACGAGCCCGACAGTATTCCGCTGTTAGATGGCGTTCGTCCACGACTGTGATTAAATAGAAATCTTGTCAGTACTACTCGTTCGAAGCCTCGCGATCCAGAACTGTAATACAGTAAGTCAGTTCCTGATATAACTTGAACAGTATTGGCACCGCAAAGTCGCATCGTGTCACTGCAATAATACCTGGGCCTCCCCACTGACATGATTTATAATGATCTGCTCTACACATACAGTCACATACAACTAAAGCTGTACAAATTAGACGACCATCAGGTTGAAGTTCTCGGAATGATCTTGTTGACATGTACACGACTCCTCTAAGCATCTCGGCGACATCCGTCGCCTTACCCCGTAAGCTTGAGGCACCGCGCGAGGGATTTGGTCATAGCACGAGGACGGAGAGATGGATATGCGTGGAAGAAGTCGACACACTCTTTAGGCTCGACCACGTCGTGGCTTCATACACCACGGCCATTAGTGCACGGGGGTCTCGATGATATCCAAGTATGCAGACTCACGTCTGCTGCACGTGTTCTAGGACACTTTGGTAGTCCCGCCAATCGTTCAGGTGTGTAGTGCAGTGATTGCAGCTCCACACACGGTGGAACGTGGTGGTGGTCGTATCGACCTGTTCGAGGTGACGTATCGCATTGATGTATTCTTCATCGTGCAATACACTTCAACTTGCCTGTGGCCCGTCGTATTGCAACGCATCACTGTGAGCCGACAAATCATGCAAGACCTGTAGTATCGTTCCGACAGAGATCGGCGGAAACAAACGACTTTAGTACGCAGGAAAGATGCTACGCTCAGAGCGAACAGTGGACTTACGGCGAACCGCCAGCAGCATGCGAAGTCGCTCGCCGGCACGGTGCCCAGAGATGGTCCCCGGGCTGTGAATGGGCATCGCTCGCAGAGAAAGCGCCTATCCAACCGGTCCAAGTCCTCCGCCCGCACTGTCTCCGGATCGAGACCCGCTCTCGAGATCAGATACTTGACTATCATGGAGCAAAGCACATTATAACTCAAGGTGCAGTGATCAATCTCCCGTCCCTGTGTCTCGCACAATGCTACCCAGAACGCCACGTCGTACCTGTCGAGGGGCCTTCCATTGCAAGCGAGGCACTCGACGACCTCGTTGATTCCGAAGAACCACTTGTTCCCATTGTGTCTTTGTGAGAGGACGAAGACCGAGGTGGCTAGCGCGAGACGGCCACCTCCGCCCACCGACGTTGGTTGGTTGGTAATCCCGTTTATGGTCATTTGAGGGCGAAGCCCTATGTAGACTCTAACTATACACATGTACTATACTACTAAGTTCGAAGCGATTGTGTCTAACTAGTCATTGGCTCGGTGTATCTCCGTAGAGACCACTCTGCCGGTTGGGATGGATTATCGTAAGGGGCTATGATGTATGTACAGTAGAGTGATTAGTCCTTGTTGTATAGTCCATGTACAATGTATAGTGTTCGTTTGCGATGGTTCATAGTGGGGTATCGTGGATGCGCGCGTGTGAGGGGTAGTGGGTCATCAGTCGTCGTCCTCCTCGGCTGGTAGGTCAAGTCCTCCGAAGGTGCGGTCAAAGCGGCCAGTGGCATGTATGAAGCGGAAAAGTGGGCGGATGGTGTCGGCCTGCGAGAGCAGGTGTTTGAGCGAGTGGGCTTTGCTTCCAATCTCGCGTCGTAACCAGTCGCGTTGTGGCTTGTATTCCGGGCACTCAAGGAGGAAGTGGCGCACGGTCTCTCGGTGGGCTCGGCATGCGGGGCATCGTGCGGTGTCGGATCGGCGAATGCGATGGAGGTGGTAGTTGAGCGGCGCGTGTCCAGTACGTAGCTGGATGAGGAGGCTCGCATGGCGGCGAGGTAGAGGTGCGACAAGTTTGGAGAACTTTTTCGATGGCATGTCGGGGTCGATACGGGCCAGGGCCTCGAAACGAGGTGAGTCTTTCCATCTTTGGACAGCGGCTGCTTTGATTTGCTCGAGGAGATGTCTGCGGATCGCGGATATGCTGGACGGGAGTGTGGAGCGGAGGAACTCGGGGAGATCGCCTGGCGGGCTACTGTCGCCCCTTGCGGCTTTCTTGGCTTCCTCGTCTGCGCATTCATTGCCGTCAATTCCGCGGTGTCCTGGGACCCAGCGAAGTGTGAGCCGCGCGTCAGGGTGTGCATCATAGAAGGCACTGATAGATTGGTGTAGGGCGTCGAGGAGGTAGTGGCCGGGCTGGCGGGAGCGCGTTCGCGAGGCTCGGAGGCATGGCGTGTTGTCGGCAGCGCAGGATGTTTGGACGAGACGGTGTGCGAGTTGTGTGAGGAGTTCCATTCCCATGATGATCCCGACGATTTCGGCTTCGTACACTGTGTGTCGTGTCGCTGACCCGAGGTAGTATCTGAGGATGTGTAGTCGTGGGTCATTGGGGATGTAGAGGACTGCTGAGGCTCCTACTCCGCCGTCGATTTCAGAGCCGTCTGTGTAGACTGCCGGGATGTCCTTCGCCTGCCAGGTACGGTCCTCTTCTTCTGCCACATCTTTGTTGTCCGCAATCTCCGTTGCATGCCTCGGCATCCAGCCTGGAGGCTGCCGAGTCGCCTGGATGTGTTCGACATTTCGGCATCTGTCGAGCCGAAGGGCTTGAGTGAGCTCGTGGAGGGGGGACTTATGATGATTCACGGGGGTGCGCGCATCCTGGATTCTATCGTATAGTGGGTGGGAAGGTGGTAATGTAAGTAACCTAGTAGCAGCCTGTATCGTAACACGGTCAACAAGAAGGTCAAAGGGAAGTAGGTTCGCATGCACGTCGAGTACGTCTGATGCCGTAGTTCGCATCGCACCTGTGATCAATAGCGCGGCTTGTCTCTGGACCCGTGATAGGCGTTGGACTGCGCCAACCGAGCCATGACGGCGTGATTTGCCTGGGATGTCGTAGGTGGGAGTGAGCCATATTTCCGCAGCATAGAGCATCCGTGGGACGAGGATAGAGAGGTAGAGTTGCTTGATGTACCGGAAAACAACGCCTTGGGTAGGTTTGGCGATGCGTCTGAAGAGGTTGAGCCACGTCGTCCCTTTGGCGAGTGCACGGGCAGTGTGTTCTTTCCATCGCAATTGTCGGTCGACGATGACACCGAGGTATTTGGTGAAGTTCGAGGCTGGGATGGTCTGCTGCGACAGTCGGAGGGCGGGACCCTCGTCGTCGCCTGCCGGGTCATGATTGAGCAGTGCGAGTTTGTTCATCTCGAACGCAGAGTGTCGGGTTGCTGACCAGTGGAGTGCGCTCTGGCCAGGGCGTTTGTCTTCCATGTATTGCCGAAGAAGCTGGTGCGTGCGACGGAAGGTCTTTCCTACTGCAGTGACAGCGACATCGTCGATGAAGCCGGAGGTCGTGACCCTCTTGATGTCTGATCGTAGGAGCGGCGAGTTGTAGATGTTGTACAGGTCACCCGAGTCGGCATCACCTTGGTTGATCCCTCTACGGAGGATGAATGGCTTGGACTGGTAATCATCAAAGAGGAGGACGGTAGTCCGTCCATCCATTTTACGTCGGTACCAGTCTACGAGGTCGTCTGGGATTCCCAAGTCACGCATATCGTGAAACAGTTGTTCTGGGCTCGCGCTGGGGAAGGCAGCTTTGACGTCGAGGAAGAGGGTGGAGGCTTTGAGGCCGTTCCGCCATGCGTCTTTGATGGTGGTGACTAGGAGCATGATCGCATCGGTGGCGCTACGGCCGGGACGGCCACCAAAGTGGGTATTAGGGAGTAGGGATCTCGTCTCGAGTTCGAACTTCAGGGACTCGATGACACACGCAGATAAGATCTTCCCCATGCAGTTCATGAGGGCTATAGGGCGGTAGGATCCTGGGAGTTGGTAGTCATCTCGACCAGGTTTGCGAAGGACCACTGTCTTCGCTTCCTTCCAGGCAGCCGGGAAGTATTTCAATTCGAAGGTCGCGCAATAGAGTGGGCCAAGCAGCGGGATGAGGAGGTCGGCACAGTGGCGGTAGACGTCATTGGGTATACCATCTGGGCCTGGTGCGCGCCACGGCTTGAGTCTCTGAATAACATCGCGGATCTGTGCATCGGAGACAGGGCGAGTGGGGAAGTGAGGTGGAGGGTATTCGTGGGTAGGAGGGATGTCTGGAGGGGGGCATTCGGGAGGAAAGAAGGCGCCATAGAGGATTTGGCTCTTCTCTACATTTCCGGACACAGTGCCCGTACCATCTGGTTTCTTGAGATCTGGAATACGTGCCTGTCCACCGTCAGTAGCACCCATCTGTATGTATTTCCCTATCGTCCAGACTGTCTGCGACGTGGCAGACTCTAGCCAGGTTTCCCAGTGCTCCTTCTTTGTCGCTCGAATCACATCGATATATCGATTGCGTGCGGTTTTGTACTCTGCATGTGCAGGATGGGCAGGGTACTCACGGAGTATGAATGACTGTTTGTTGAGTCGTTGGACTTCTACGCGCTGCTTCTCGAGATCTTTCGTCCACCATCGCTTCGCATACCGTGACGGTTTAGTCTCTGGGATCTCTTGGCGCATGGTCTGTTGGATTGCATCTGTTAGGTCTTGGAGACGCTGGTCGAAGTCTTCAACTGTTGCGATTCGGGTGCAGGGAATGCTCCGCCTCGCTATCTCATGTTCAAGTGCTTTCCTAAAGGTATCCCAGTCAGTCATGCGAATATTGTACTTACTCGGTAGCACTGTCGCTGGCGTAGATAGGTCGAGGTGCAACTCGATAGGGAAGTGGTCAGTCAATGGTGGACGTAGGTCGGGGAAGACTGAACATGACAATACGGTGTTACCTAATTCGTGCGAGCCGAAGACGTTGTCCGGTCGAGTGAAGTTCTTGCTGTTGTTGGCTTGTAGGGTTGGCGTGCCAGCTGGGAGGAGCATCTCCATCTCGTGTTCGCCTAGCGAGTCGAGTAGGTGTTGCGCCGCATTGAGGTAGTGCTCTTCGAAGAGGTGGACGTTGCGTGGTTCATCCCATAGGGGGTGGTGTCGGTTGAAGTCCCCTATCCATAGTGCATGGCTGCCTGGGTGTCTGCGGTTGAGCGTCGTGGTGAGACGGGTGAGCATTCGTGTGTTGTTGTCGTGGGTCTGATCATTGTATACATTGAAAATATGGACTTTACCTTTCGACGTGTCGAGGGTTATCGCAGTTACATCTGGGTTGTCGGTGGGGATGCTTGTCCAAGCGTCAGTCGCAACCTTGCGATTGACAAGGATGACAGAGCGGGTTCGCCGAGTGGTGTCATGGTGGCATGATGGGTATATGACTCGCCAGTCTGGCGTCGCTCGTGTAAGTCGTAAGCCGTTTACGTTCGGTAGGCAAGGTTCCTGTATAAGAATGAGGTCATAGTGGTGAGTAGCAGAACGGATATTGCTGAGAAGGGCTAGTTGTCCGTCGAGTGATTTGTTGCAGTTGATGGAGAGTAGTCGCAAGTCGTGGAGCATTGGTCGCCGTATGTTAGTCATGATCGTCAGCCCAGTTTGTCCCCCGAATGTTTTGCGCGGACGCAGGACGCGAGCCGAAGCGCATGTCGTCTAGGGTGGTCTGGCGAGCAGGATTCTGAGCCCGGGAATGAGCAGCGCGGGCCGCTTGGCTTGGGCGTCCGACTGGTGTGGTGTTCGCGTTGTTTGTGGGCTGCTCTGGACGTTGGCGTGAGGAGTTGCGGTCGCCTGAGTGGTGTCCATGGCGGCCCGTCGGGCGCCAGGGCTCATGGTCCCATCGGTCAGGTTGTGTCTGACGCTGGTACATCGGTGGGTATGCGGGATTCGGGTTGGTTGCCGGGGTTTCTTGGACGAGCTCCCAGGACGAGGGGTCGTCAGCAGTCGGGTAGTACCTGTACAGGCTCTCCTTGGAGCGTTCGAGCCTGCGTTTCCTCGCCGTCTCGAAGTGGGGGCACTTCCGGGACCACGCAGCGTGTCCATCCACGTCGCAGTTTACGCAGTGGAAGGACTTCGGGTCCTCGACTGTGCAGTCACGGGAGTCGTGCCCTAGGCCGCAGGTACCGCATACCTGCGGTTTCTTGCAGTCCTTAGCGTTGTGATCAGCTCCGACCTTCTGGCAACGGTGACAGCGACGGGGTTCTTGTTCCGGTTTTCGGGCATATACCTTTTTTCCTCGTATGATCATCCCATGCCGGATGGCATGGTTGGCAGCTCGCGGACAGTTGAACTTGAAGATCGCATGAGCAACTGTTTGGCGTTCGGTTCGACGTGCTTCGGGTTTGATCCATTTGGCACTGGTGAGTGCTCCACTCTCTATGTTACTGGCATTCGCATACTCGATGAGCGCGTAGGGGTCAGTAAGGTCACAATGGATAGGTACGAATTCGACGAAGACCGGGTACGATCGTTCTCGTACGGTGACGTTTTCGCCGCCCATGGTGGCAGCGAACATTTCTGCGGTGGTGATACGCCTGAGCCACCGTGCAGATTCGGCGGAGTTCATCTCGTAGATGACTCCTCCGTTGGGCATGATACGCGACGACTTGAAGTGCAGTCCCTCTGGGATTATGATGTCGCGCTCGCGCATCAGGTCTATGGCCACCTTGGCCTTCTCGAGTAGATCTCCCTCGGAGAGTGTGAGTCCCTCTGCATGTCGCGTGATAATTCCGTCCACTAAAACTTGCTTTTCTCGCAGTGTCTGCGTAGCAAGCGTCGACGCATGCGAGGTTGGGAGGGCATGGTTGATGACAGTGGCATATGTAGGGTTCCTGATCTCGCCAGGTTCTAGTATTCCCTCTGCGGCACGCTCGTCGGGACGACGTTCAGCGGCGTTCGATACACTGGTCTGCGCGGATGCGATGGTCTCGTCCGCCTTCTTAACTGTTTCCTCGAGCTTCGCTCGTAGACGCGAGGCGTCTTCAACAGTCTTAGATAGTTTGCTCACCTCGTTTACGATCCTGTTCGCCGTTCCAAACATCTCCTGTCCTGATTGCTCGCATCGCTCCACTAGGTCGTCGAGCCGTGAGTGTTGGTTTTCGTTCGCCTTCAGCGTGACGAGGAGGTCGTCTCGCACTTTACTTGCAATTTCGTTCGCAGTGATCAGCCGTGCGTAGGTTGCGAGAGCACGGAGGCCGTCGGTGACGAACGTTGAGTTGCTCTTGTGCGCTAGCAAAAGCAGTCCATTAGCAAGTGTTTCCGTATTCGGTTCTACTTCGTCAGGTACGAGAGACCATTGCGACAGGTATTTGATGGCCTGTTCGGTGTCAAACGGTCGTACGGTAGGATTGTCGCTCGCTGCTACTTGAGAGCTTCTGGTCGACATGCTGGGTGCCTTGGACGCCGGAGGCCGCGTCGTACTCGTTCTGTCTGTCGTCTTTGGTGTTGACTTCTTTCCATTGTCAGCCATGAGCAAGTAGGTCAATACGGAGTATGGATTGTTGAAAGTTGGGCAGTGTATGCCCTGCTAGAAGTCCACTTGTCTTCGGTCGTGCTTCCCGGTTGGCCTAATCGACCGTGGGAAAATCGCCGAAGGTGGTGGTACGAAGCCAAGGAGAGTCCAACTGCAGGTCGCCCACCGACGTGGACGGCTGCTTCCCCTTCCTGCCCGTCTTCTGCAACGCGCCAGCGTCAGCCATGCATTGCAGCAGGCGTGCCTCAAGGTTGTCCCTGAAGGCCGATATATACTCGGGCAGCCACCGCACGACCTCCACACATGCAGTCTGCTTGAGCGGGACGTCCAAATTGCTGTAGATAAGCGAGCGGAACATTGGAGTGACGTAGATGAATTCAGGAGGTGGAAAGTGGATCCACTCGATCGGCCGCAGAGCCCGTTTGTAGTCATCGTACACCTGTCTGACCAGGGCCTTCCGTGGATCGACGATGCGGGCCTTCTCCCGGTCGAGTCGCCTGCATAGAGTCATCTCGATGCGTGTCTGGAGCTGAGGTCTGATGTGCCCCCACACTGCAGTCGATTGTGTTAGGTACGGCTGGCGGGGAAAGAGGGAACAGGAACAGACCACGCTCGCTCAGTTCGCAATCACTCTGAGCCGACGTGAGCGTCGCGCGAAACGCTCTATCCGTTTGTGCAAGATTTGCCAGATCCTATGGTGCCAATAATGACAGTATCTGCGGTCGGTACATTCATGAGAAAGTGGATGAACGTGTTGTGTGACGTGATAGTTACCTCGAAGACAATGTCTAGCGGAAGTTCACCGAAGACGTTGAGCCGAGAGGGAGAGTCTTCGGCGCCCGAAGCTTCTGCTTTTTGCGCGCGCATTTCCTCGGAGCCGGAGCAGCTCTTCGGTTCTTCTTTGCGATTGCTGCCCGTCTTCGAAGTGTGGCCCACAGACCGCAGACGGTGAGTCGCTCCGCGAGATGTCACTGGCATGTCCTGAAGCTGCGTGTATGTGTGCGTGGGGAGGGGGGAAGTGGGTGAAAGGCGCCTGAACGATAGCACTGCAGCCCAAGACGACGTCGGATGAGTTTCAATGATGTTCTGAAGTGCTGAGGCTAGTGCGGCAACAATGTGGCCACAAGTTCCCGGCAAAGTCTGAGGCGACTCCGCGAATTGCTAGACAGTATTACCGTGTGCGACCCTTCGAGCTGTACAATCGTTAGCTGCAAGATAGAGGCGTCTTGTACCGTTGTCTGTTGTTGGATGTAACAATAAGAGCGCTAGATGTCGAACTTCTTGAACGCGTTGTGTGGCTGGGCGCTAAACGTTAACGCATCGGGCCGGGATCTTGGCCAACGATACCTGGTCATCTGAACGATGTTGGGCAGCCTGTGAACACGTTGATAAAGACCCATATGTTAAAGCTTCGACTCAACATACTGGTTTGCTGTCTTGTTGAAAGTCAGAGGACTCGTGATACTCGACCATACCGAGGACTGATTCAAGCTGGCTACAGTGAGTGTCCACATCAATGCCTTGGGGCCCCTTCAAGTTGCGGAGGCCATGCTCGTTCGTCATTTATTGGTAGCCTTCCCGTCTAGTCGTCACAGCATTGGTGCTAGGCACCCATAAGATGAGATCGATTCGAACGATACATTGCTGTGATACACCACGCGCAGTAATGAATTAGTGCTGGGACGGACTTCAACGCTGGTCAGCCATATGTTCAATATTCATCGTACCTGACACACCTCGATATCGCCTATGACACAACGCACGTAACGCTCCTCTCGGCCTCATCGTCGTCGCCGTCGTCTACCTGTCCTGTGGTGCCCTGCCTTGCTAGCCTAAGACTTCTAGAGAGAGATTGCGGCTGTGGATTCCAGCGGACCGTCGGATGCGCGTGGAAAAAATCAACGTCCTCTTCAGGCTCAGCGATATTATGTCTGCGCGTGAATGTCAGCGTACCGGTACGAGAGTGTTACAGGCAGATTAGACTCACTCCTCTCGCACGTGCGACTGGACGGCCGAGTGCGACAGCAACTGCTCCGCATAGGCAATGCAGTGGTTGCAACTCCACATGGATTGAAGGGCCGGCTTCTGGGCGTCTTCCGCGCGGCGCACGATGTCGCATTCGTCTGGGGTCAAGATCCTCCAGGTCTGTGCCTCAAGCGCAGCATTGTGTATATGCGCATAATGCAAGATCTATTAGACGAAGAAGCCCGAGGGTATGGCAGCATACATCAGCATGGGTGAAGGACACGGGGCACAGCATGAAGAGACTCACGGCGCTTCGCCAGCTGTATGCCTGATCCGTTAGTTGTGCGAGCCCGGGCCAATCCATGGATTGGCAGCTTCCACAGAGAACGCGTTTTTCCAATCGATCCAGGTCTTCTGGCCGTGCGGTTTCAGGATCAAGGCCAAGTGCCGCTATCAGAGATTCGACTGTCTTCGATACACGCAAATCGTAGCTCAGGCCGTGGCCAGTAATATCTCCTCCCTCAGAGTCGTGCACCACGACCCAGAAGGCCGTACTTTGTATACCGACCTCGCCACGATAAGCCAGTTGCGCAGTGAGGTCGTCGAAGCCGAAGCATCGTTCCAGATACGAGCCTGAACTCGTAGTCAGCGTGAAGACGGAGGTGGCTAGCGAGAGACGGGCATCGCCCCTGAGCGGTCGCGTCGACGTCCTTGCTGCCGTTGTCGAACCACGACGGCTGTCGGTCATGCTTCGCAAGAGGCGCGCCTTGAGGGTGTTGCGGAAGGCTGAGATGTACTCGGGTAGGCGTCGCGCAGCCTCGTCGCACGCAGCCTCTTCCAGCGGGACGTCGATGTGGGTGTAGATCAGCGAGCGGAACACCGGGATCACATAAACATAATCAGCCGGTGGAAGATGTATCCACTCTATGGGCCGTAGTGTTTGCCTGTATGCGTAGTATACGCGCTTGACTAGGGCCTTTCGTGCTCTGATTGTGCGCGCCTCAAACCTGTCCAACCGTTTACACCGTGCGATCTCGATGTCTAGTTGGAGCACGGGCCGGATGCGCTTCCAAACTGGGTCGAAGCAGTGTTACATTGGCCGACAGAGGAGATGGCGCAACAACTAACCTTGTTCGGACAAAGTCCCATCGTGCTTGGACTCCGGTCTGTCCCGCATAGCATGGATGTCGGGCCACTCATATCCTAGCTCCACGAAGCGCTTTGCGATCCTGTGTGGAGACAATCACCAAACGACCATAACATGAAACGAACTGGCCACCTACAGCTGGTAGCGCTGTTCACTACGTTCATCTAATTCGTCATGGAGAGCAAATTCAAACTCTTTTAACCATGCTTGACACTTCTTTGCATGCTAGTTTTCGGCGTGTCAGTCAGGCATTCGAGGAGAACCGGCCGTATATATTGTGAAAACAAACCTCAAGGACTTCCTGGACATGTTTCCTGCGCTCCTTTCTGTATTCTTGTAGCATTTTCTTCGCACCTGCCATTTGTGACTCGACATTCCTCTTATATCCACCGTATATCTTCGCGATCGCCCTAACATCAGCTGGCCAGTAAAATCTCAGGTCAAAGACTAGACGGTCACATGAGCATCCTACGCATAAGACGAGACGAGAGGAAAGCTTCACAGGTCGTATGAGGAAGTAGCTCCAGAACCACTGGATCGACACTCGGCATCTCTTTGCGAAGGGTCCGTGCGTCGACGAGTCTGCACCAGGCAACTTGTAAGTCTACGGGGGCATCATCTGTGTTTTCCACTCGCCTTCCTTTGCATACACCGCATACATGCCGCATGAGAGCGAAGTCCAGATTACGGATACCAGGCCTGCCGCATTTCTAATTCCAGAACAATCATCGGCTCGATGTAGATATCTTCCGCATTCACGCACTTACCAGGCATTCGAATGAGCCATATATGAACCTGGCCCAGGGAACCTCTGACACGAGCGGTGGACAATCAGGAGCATTTGCTGTGCGCTTCCTCGCTGCCTTCCACACGATGGAAGCCTGAGGTGATGTGAGCGTTGCACGGAAAGCTCCGTTCGTCTGTGCAAGATTCGCCAGGTCCACGGGCTTCAGAGAGGCGAATAACTGTGAACAGACCGAGATTCAATACAAAGAAAGCTGATTGTCGTCAAATGTCAAGTACACACCTCGAAGATTATTTCCAAGGGGAGCGCAGGAAGCCCGCTGAGTAGAGGGGCATTTTCGGTGTCACTCGAACCCATGGGTTTTGCCGCTCGAGTACGCCTCCGCCTTTTAGACTTGTGCGATTTGCCTGCGTCATCCTTGTCTGGAGTGTGTTTCACAGACAGCTGTGGACGTTGCTTGGCGCTACGAGTTGTCACCGGCATGTTCCAGAGCAATACGCTGCACCGTATCAAAACGGAAGGTAGGCCTACACCTTGATGCACCCCTGTGTCAGTGTTGTGATGACGCCGCAGAAAGGACGAGCACATACTGGTGCAAAGAAGTCAGAGACTTCACGTGCATGTACCAAACGCCACACAACGATAGCAAGTGATCAATGTCGTGGCGTCTGCTCCAGCCTGAGTCGGAATCACAGCGTTGTCGTAGTCTCTGTTGCTGACCAAAAGGAGGTACTCGTTGCGCCGTTGTCGAGACTCGATCGGGCGGTCACGGTGTCAAGCCCTCCAAAAAGAGTATCACCGAGACATTCGGTGTCGCGTCGGCATCACAATCCCGGCCCATGGGGAGGGGTGTACAGTATGCATCATCATTGCATGTAACCGAAGTTCGAACATACCAAGCAACGTCTGACTCGCTATCGCTCTGCAGTATACTCGAAGCCTAGTGGAACTCGACAAGAGCGAGCACCGAAGCAGGCCCGATACAAGTTGAGGAGGCTTCCTCCGTTGGATTGGTAGTTCCACCCATCCTCAGTTCTACTTCTTCCCGTCTGCTCGTCACAGTACTAGTCGCATGCACCCATCGAATAAGATCAATATTGAATAATGTATTGTGATGATACAACATGCACAGTAAAGAATTGGTGCGTTGGGTCGCGCTCTGACATTGGTCAGCCAATGCTCAATCGATAATCATCGTATCAGACACACCTCGGTATAGCCTACGACACGATGCACGCGCCGCTCCTATTGGCGGCGTCGCCACCGCCGTTGTCTGCCTGTCCCGTGGCGTCCGGTGTTTGCCCTGCACGCCTAAGGCTGCGCGAGAGAGACTGAGGCCGCGGGTTCCAGCGAACCGTCGGATGTGCGTGGAAGAAATCAACGTCCTCCTCGGGTTCGGCGATGTCGTGTCTGCGCATGTTCGTCAGCGTACGAGAGAATACCAAACCTAAACTCAGAAGACTCACTCCTCTCGCACGTGTGACTGGACGGCCGAGCGCGACAGCAGTATCTCCGCATAGTCAGTGCAGTGGTTGCAGCTCCACATAAATCGCAGGGCTGGGTCATGAGTGTCCTCTGCGCGACGCACGATTTTGCGCTCGTCTGGGGTCAAGATCCTCCAGGTCTGTGCCTCTGGAGCCGCATCGTGTACCTGCACGCAGTGCAAAACCTAGAAGAAGTCGCCCGAAACGCCGGCAGCGTACATCAGTTATGCGCGGAGAACACGGACTCAGCGTAAGGATGCTCACGGCGCCTCGCCAGTTGAATGCATGGTCGGTCAGTCGTGCGAGCCACCCCATGGACTGGCAGTTCCCACAGAGGAAGCGTGTGCCCATTCGATCCAGGTCTTCCGCCTGAGCAGTTTCAGGATCAAGACCGAGTACTGCTATCAGCGCTTCGACCGTTTTCGATCCAAGCACATCGTGCTTCAGGGTGTGGCCGGCAATCTCCCCTTCCTCGGAGTCGTGCATCGTTACCCAGAACGATGTACTTAGAAGGCCGGCCTGGTCGCGATAAGCCAGTTGCGCAGTGAGGTCGTCGAAGCCGAAGGATCGTTCCAAACACGCAGTGGTCGAAGTCAGGCTGAAAACGGAGGTGGCCAGCGAGAGAAGGGTATCTGTGTCCCCGAGCGGCCGCGTCGACGTCCTTGCTCCCGTTGTCGAGGCATGGCTGTCGGCCATGCTTCGCAGGAGGCGAGCCTTGAGGCTGTCGTGGAAGGCCGAGATATACTCGGGTAGCCGTTGCGCAGCCTCTTTGCACGCAGCCGCTTCCAGCGGGACGTCGAGGTTGGTGTAGATCAACGAGCGGAATGCCGGGATGGTGTAGACGAACCCGGGAGGCGGCAGGTGGACCCACTCAATGGGCCGTAGTGTTAGCTTGTAACCATAGTATAGGTTCTCAACTAGGGCTTTCCGTGCTTTGATCGTGCTGGCCTCGACCTTGTCCAGCCGCTTACACCGTGCAATCTCGATGTCGAGCTGGAGAACGGGCCCGATGCGCTCCCACACTGTGTCGGAATGGTGTCAAATTGGCCGACAGAGGATAGCGAAAGAACTAACCTTGCTCGGTCAAAGTTCCATCATACTTAGACTCTGGCCTGTCCTGCATAACATGGATATCTCGCCACTCGTACCCTAGGTCGAGGAAACGCTGCGCTATTCTGAGTGGAGACTGTCACCATCGCATCGTAACGCGGGATCAATGTATCGCTTACAAATTGTAGCGCTGGTTCCTGCGTTCCTCTATTTCGTCGCCGAGATGGGATTCAAACCCGTTCAACCATGTTCTACACTTCTTCTCGTACTGGATGTTTGGCGCGTTAAAGAGACACTCACGGAGCTCAGACCATATGCATGTTTGATAACGAACCTTGATGACCTCCTGGACATGTTCTACGCGCTGGTCTCTGTATTTCTGCAGCGCTGTCTTCGCGTTTGCCTTTCGTAAGTCGATATTCCTCTTATAATCGCCGTATATCTTCGCCATTGCCTTGATATCAGCGTCCCAGTAATATTTCTTTCCGGGCAGTACATGATCTACAGGGCCAGATGAGCGCCCTGATCATGAGATATGAGAACAACTTAACCAGTCGTATAAGGGATTAGCTCCAAAACCACCGGACGGACGCTAGGGAAGCGTCTGTGTAGGTTTCCTATCTCGACGAGTCTGCACCAAGGTATTTGTGAGTCTACAGGGGCAGCGCCTGAGTGGTTCACTCACTTCCTCTTGCATGGTACACATACATGTCGCATGAGAGCGAAGTCTAGATTGAGTACGTTGGACGTGTCGCATTTCTGGTCGCGTTATGATCATCGGCTCGATGCGACTTTTGACTAACTATTGCTCACCAGACATTTAGATGGGCCATAAATGAACTTTGCCCATGACACCTCGGACACGAGCGATGGGCACCCGGGGGCATTTGCAGCGCGCTTTCGAGCTGCCTTCCACGTCGTGGAAGCCTGAGGTGATGCGAGGGTTGTACGGAATTCCGTATTTGTCTGCGCAAGGTTTGCCAGATCGACCGGCTTTAAGTAGGTGAATATCTGTCAATGCGATCCAGGACTCAATCGAAAAAGGCAGATTATCGTCAAATGGCAAGGGCGTACCTCGAAGATTATATCCAGCGGGAGCTTACGAAACACGCTGGGCTGGGGGCGAGCGTCTTCAATTTCGTAGGAACCGTCCGATTTCGCCGTCCGAGCACGCTTCCTCTCGTTGGGCTTTTCACGCGTCTTGCCCGCGATAGACATGTCTAGTGCGTTCGACGTGGACGACGATGGTCGTGGCTTGGCGCTACGAGGTGCCTTCGGCATGTCTCAGAATGCTGCAATATGGGTGAGGTCAATCCAACAGGCAGCAACAGACGTCAAGCGAGGAGAATGTGGATTGCACACCTTACAATAATATTAATGCGCTCCTGCTATGTGGTTTTGATGGTACAGTACTATGTAGTCTGTTACAGAGTAGTCGGCGTATGGGTATCGCAGATCAGTCGTTCTTTCTGCACCAGAATACAGCATGTACAAGGGGAGAGACTGCGTGGTATCCAAGTGGTATCGTCGCAAGTTCGCTCGAGTGGCGTTGGTCGCATTGCGACAATAGCGACAAGCCTGCCATAAATGGAATGACCGAGACATTCGGTGTCGGTTCGGCATGACGATCGGCCCGTCCGGTGACGGTGCCTTGAGGAGGTGAGCACGAACGAACACATTCCTCGACGCGGCATCGATCCCTACGTTTGTCTATCTGCTCGGAGTCGACGTCTTTTTCTTCACGAAACGGGCACACACGGCACAATTATACTTGTCTCCACACCAGGTCATAATGCTGCGTCGACCCGGAGCCCTTGGATTCCCTTGGATTCGCTGTTATCACTTCAAGAGCTTTGTCAGGACTCGACTTGCGCCATCCACTGTCCGCCGGTGTGCCGGCGCGATGTCATTCGTAACAGGAAATCGCGATGACCAAGATAACTGCAAGATAAGCTTACTAGTAGGATAAGTAGTTGCCAGTGGCGCCGGCGCAGGGTGACGGTGCATATATTGGGATGGCGTGAACGATATACACCTACTTACCCACGTCGACGACTCGGACGCGACTCGGACAGGCTACTCTGCATATACCCCAAACTCGTCGCAAGTCAATTCGGAAGTTACGGCGATGGCCACACTAAGCGATACTACGACCTTGTTCAGTGTGCAGGGACAGGTGGCAGTTGTCACGGGCGGCGCTACAGGTGCGTACCAGATCCATGACCATGTACCGCATGCAATTGTGTGTCGTCGGTTACACGAGTCGAGACTCACCCGAGATATTCGATGATGTAGGGATCGGGCTGATGATTGCCGCCGCTCTGGAGAACAACGGTGCGATTGTGTACATCGTTGGGCGTAGGAAGGAAGCTCTCGAGAAGGCGGCCAAGGAGCGTTCCGTACGTGCACCATTGATTGTCTGCCAAGCGACTGTCTAATTACTCTCAAACATCATTCAGAAACACGGGAATATCATCCCCATTCAGGGCGACATCTCCTCTAAGGACTCTCTGAAGTCGGTCGCGGAGACGATCAAGCAGAAGCACGGCTACATCAACCTGCTCGTCAACAACGCAGGCGTGCTCCTCGCGCCGCAGCCCAAACTGCCGACGCCCGCCGACACCGGGAACGACATCACCAAACTCCAAGAGATCCTTTGGAACACGGAGACGCCCGAGACGTTCCGCACGACGTTCGACGTGAACGTTGCGGGCGTGTGGTTCACGACGCTCGCGTTCCTCGAGCTCCTGCATGAGGGCAACAAGCGCTCGCTCGCGCCGGGCGGGTCGGGCGTGAGCTCCCAGGTCATCACGATCAGCAGCCTCGCGGCCCTGAGGAGGGACAGCGGAATCTTCAGCCTGAGCTATACGGTCAGCAAGGCAGCGGTGCTGCACTTGGGCAAGTTGATGGCACACTACTTGAAAGACTGGAAGATCAGGAGCAACATCATCAACCCGGGACTCTACCCCTCAGGTTCGTGGCCATCCTTCAAGCCGAGGCGCTGGTTTATCCATGCTGAGTGTGATGTGCATGCAGAGATGGCAGATGGTTTCATTAGCGAGGACGCAATCAAGGCGACCATCCCGGTTGGTCGTGCGGGATCGACGGACGATATGGCAGGCCTCGTCATCTTCCTTGCGAGCAAGGTGCGTCTGGTGGACCTGTGTGTGATTTCCGGTGAACTTATGACCGATTATCTATAGGCCGGGTCTTACATCGACGGAGGCGTCCATCTCACTGACGGAGGCAGGCTCTTAAGCATGCCCTCCGTATTTTAGTCACTGCAAATGTAATAATGTGTAAGTACAAATCGCCGTTATCGCCAGCTCGTCCGCTTCTGATGGCGGTTCCGATAGCAGATCACAGTAGACACATTCTGTCATCGGTGTTCAGTAGAGCAAATTGACGCGGTGGAGACGCATTGCCCGCTGACTGCTCGGCACCGTTGATTCCATCGATCGCCATGGTAGGCTTCTGTGCCTACCTATACTAACGCAGTGTTCATCGCACACGGTTCCGTGAGCCAAGCAGTTCCCAGCCTTGTCTCATGAATGACGCGTAGGGTGAGCTTGGACTGATTTTGGCACTACTTGCTGCGATACACTGGGCCCTGGGCTGAGTAAGCATCCGATACTCTCAGTCGTTGTTCTCGTTACTCACATGTCCTCCGTTATCGGCTTTATCATTGGACGGTCCGTATATATATGTAGGCCTACAGCACTCGTTGTAAGAAGTCGGTACAGATCAGCCATGACGCCAGCAGTCCTGAGCGATCCCGCGCAATTATTCAGCGTAAAAGGCTTGGTCGCTGTAGTCACGGGCGGAGCCACAGGTGCGTGGGTTCAGTCCGGCACGGAGCGCCAGACCTGCGAAGATTCGAGTTCTGCGATTGCATTGTGTCTTCTGTCATTGGGCCGGGCTCTTAACCAAATCTCCCTCAATGTAGGAATCGGGCTCATGCTGGCTACCGCACTCGAGACCAACGGTGCGACTGTATACATCGTAGGCCGACGTACGGAAGCGCTCGAAAAAGCTGTTAAGGAACACAGTGTGCGTACCTTTCCTCGGCATCATATTGCTATAGGAGTAATTCTGACCCTCGAATACCTTCGCAGAATCATGGCAATCTGATACCACTTCAAGGCGACGTCTCGTCAAAGGAATCCTTGAGGGCCATGGCTGACATCGTCAAGGCAAGAAGCGGCTACGTCAATCTCCTCATCAACAACGCAGGAGTGAGCCTCGCGCACCAGCCGAAGCTGCCCACGCCCTCTGAGGCGCACGGCGACATCACGCAGCTGCAGACGCCGCTGTGGGAGACAGAGACGCTGGACAGCTTCCGGAAGACGATCGATGTGAACGTGGCGGCCGTGTGGTTCGGCACGGTCGCATTCATGGAGCTGCTCCATGAAGGGAACAAGCGCACGTTGGCTGCGGGCGGCACTGGCGTGAGTAGCCAGGTGCTCACCATTAGCAGCATCGCGGCGTACAGGAAGGACAGCGCCGTGTTCAGCCTGAGCTATACCGTGAGCAAGGCCGCCGTGACGCACCTCGGGAAGATGATGGCGCACTACTTGAAGGACTGGAAGATACGGAGCAACGTCATATGTCCGGGACTCTTCCCGTCAGGTGCGTCCCCTTATCCTCTGTCGGTCGGCTCCTGAACTCGCGGCGACACAGAGATGATTGACGAGATGGATGAGGCAGTGAAGAAGGTACTGGAAGCGTCGATTGTCCTGAAGCGTGTGGGAACGACGGATGATATGACCGGTCTTGTGCTCTTCCTCGCAAGCAAGGTTTGTTACGACCCACTTCCTCCCCGCGCCCATCGATAACCATCAGTCATGCAGGCGGGGTCATACATCGACGGAGGCGTACTCTCTATAGACGGAGGAAGGCTAGTGCAGATACCTACCACCGCTTGAGGATGGCTATGAAGACAATGGCCGGATACTACGCGAGCCTTAGGTATCACCACTGGCATGCATCGCAGATGTGTACAATTCAAGAGGGTCCTGCCAATGCGACCCTTATTATTCTTTCGCTCTTCTAACTGCGAAGATTCCCATGCAACATTCTCTTCTGCTGACTATTATAGGTGCCAGTGTGCCAACGCCGGGCATGGGACGTATCAGATTGAAGTGGAGAGGACGGTGTGGCACCATTTGAATAACCGAACCTTGTATTTGTATAATTCGTTGCGTTTGTCCTCACAAGGAGATGACAAGGAGATGATATAGCAGCTTGATTATTAGGGAGAGGAACGGATGACTGACACAGGTGGCAGCTTTTCTTCGACGTCATCAACGAAGTCGAGGTGATAGGCAGTACATATTAAGCTTATTGCCTTCGTTTCATGAGTTTGAATCCAATCCAATCAGAATCAATGACTATCAGACATACACTCATATACTTATGTAGTTATGCAACAGGAGCAGAGACCACCGTCGGGCGATCGTAGTTGGAGTCATGATGGCGGCGTTCAGTATCAAATCCATAAATGGTAAGCCCGATCACCACGTCCTGCCGGTGGCGCTCCGCTGCCGGCGCTCGGTCCCCATACGCCACTGGCAGCAGCGACTCAACGACACATCTATACTGCATTCATACAGACTTGTCGACTAATCTTCAATGTTATAACTCTGATTCTATTGCCTTCATACTCTCCTCCTCATCTCGTACGGTGACTGCGGCAGTGCGGCAGTCTATCCTGATCTATCCTGATTCCTGAATGATAGCGACGACGACTCCCTTGCATAGCTCGAGACGTACTACGTAGCAAGGTCGCACTCTGGATGCATGGTCAATTCATGTCGCTTCTAACGTGCGTCGCATGTTGGTTGATGAGAGCCTTTACCTCGTCGGAAGTCGGAACACGTCGCGCAACCGACGGTGCCCCGAGACTCTGACCTGTCGGATGGTATCTACAGAGCGTCTCTGAACGCCCCAAGGTGCGAGTAGTGTGGCAACATAGGACCACGCGTAGGGCTCCAAAGCATCGTTCTCAGCTTATCATTTGCGCCAAGAGACGGACGACCTCGGACGACATGGCCGGGTATGAAAGTTCAACTCTAATCTTGGTTCGTGCATTCCTGCCTCAGCTTGAGCCAGTATCACTGAGTTTACCACAGGTGGTCACCGACGATGGGCTCCATGCGAGCTCGGTTGAGTACGGCCGGCATGACTGTTGGTGTCCCGAAGTTGTCGATTATGAATGAAGGTTTGCCCGTCAATCCCGGCAGATTTCTTCGCGAAGACACCTTATCTTAGACTCTTCCCAGGATTGCCAATCCTTTCGGGTTGGAGTTTGCCCTCTCTGCAATGTCCGGAGAGGATGGGGCGATGCGCAAGCGTTCTTACTGTTCACAGCCCTCTGGCCCCATCTTTACCTGGTACCACCAACTCACCTAGCGTGCTTGCAAACCTTCTAGGTCATGGCAGGCGGGGACAACAAAGGACGTGTGGAGACATCCGTGCATACTCTAAGTGTCGATGATGCTGAGTCTGCAGAAAATGCGGCAAAGTATCTCGATCCGAGGGACAACGTTCGCCTTGCTCAACTGGGCTACAAAGCAGAATTTAAGCGCGAGTTCTCGGTAGAATCTCGACATGCTCCCTATGTTTCAGTCGTTAACCGTCACAATCTGCAGATGATTGAGACCGTAGCCTTTGCGTTTGCAATTATGGCGGTCATTCCGGGCATATCCACGACATTCTCTATCTCGCTCCCATCTGGTCAGTCCGTACGAATTGTCCGTCGTTCTCGATACTGAATCACTTCTAGGCGGACACGTCGGTCTAGTCTGGGGTTGGTTCATACCGTGTTCGTTCGTCATGTGTGTAGCAGCATCCATGGCGGAGCTTGCGTCCTCTATGCCGTGCGTGAGAGAACAATGTTCGCATGAGCAGGTGCAACTTACTGATGGCTGAACCCTACAGTACGAGTGCTGGTCTATACTATTTCTCAGCAAAATTGGCACCTGAGAAATATTCAGCCCTAGCTGGCTGGATTACAGGCTGGGCCAACATAACGGGCCAAGTCACTCTGGTTACTTCTATCGATTACACGTTGTATGTAACAACGCGCATGAAAGCTGTCGTACAACTAATCCTTGATCGCAGGGCCCAGATGATCACGACCGCGATCGCCGTCGGAACTGATGGCGCAGTCAATCTCGGTGCTGGGCCGACGTACGGAATTCTGCTCGGTCTGCTCTTTGTGCATGGTTGCATATGTTCTGCAGCCACTCGAGTACTAGCTCGGCTCAATCTGTTCTATGCTCTAGTGACAAGTGCGTCCATTTCGTCTCGGCGATCTCCTGGGCACATGCTCATCTAGACAAACAGTTGGAACGACGGCAGCAGCTATTCTTGCGTTGCCGATAGCAGCCGGGGACAGCAGAGTCTCGACCAAGGAGGCTTTTGCTTCGTTCGAGAACCATACAGGATGGACGAACAGTGAGCCCTTCGTTCTTTCACCGTGTTGACTTTTGGTAATCGTTTGTCTATGTAGATGCCTGGGCGTTCATGCTTGCGTTCACTGTGCCGATGTGGACATTTACTGGCTGTGAGCCCGTAGGAACGTTAGGGAACCCGTCTGATACATGACGCGTTTACTAGATGACTCTGCTGCGCATATTTCGGAAGAGGTCTCTGGCGCGGCGAAGGCAGCTCCGGTTGCTATACTTGTATCTGTTGCAAGCGTGGCATCACTCGGATGGCTTCTGTGCATCGCAGCTTCGTATGCCATCGTATCTGTCCCGGACCTGCTGGCGACGGAACTGTCGATGCCCATGGGTCAGTTGTACCTGGATGTTATCGGGAAGCGATGGATGCTTGTCATCTGGTGTATGACCTGTGTCGTACAAGTAAGGCTATCGTTATGAACTGTAATTCTAGCACGCTCATCTGTTCGTTCCAGTTCCTTTGTGGCGCCGCCCAGGGCGTGGATGCGTCCCGCGTGATCTTTGCCTTCGCAAGGGATAACGCGCTTCCTGGATCACGACTATGGAAGAGAATCAACCGGCGTACGCAAACACCTGTGAATGCTGTCTGGCTAGTCATGGTTCTGGCCGCGATTTGCGGTCTGCTCGGGTTCTCATCGACCGCACTAACTTCGCTTGCTGGGTAATTCACGGTCACCTGTGTCTTCAGGAACGCGGAGTTATTGACGGTATGATCTGCTAGGGCCTCGGTCATTGGGATGTATACATCATACGCGACACCCATATTCCTTCGAATCACTTCGGGGAGGCACAAGTTAACCCGTGGTCCTTTCTCGCTCGGTGCATTATACATCCCTGTAGGGATCATTGCGGTCGCCTGGGTGGTGTTCATCATCGTCCTTCTCTGCTTTCCCACGTCAAGAACCGTCAATGATCAAGACATGAGTGCGTTCAATGTTCGTAGCCTATTGCCTGCGCAACTAATTATTGCACGTTGATGTGACAGACTACACTGTCGTGATTGTAATGGCAGTATTCGTATTTTCCGGCGGCTCTTGGTTAGTGTCGGCAAGGAAGTGGTTTGTTGGGCCGCTCCCGAACATCGACTCACAAGGCTTGACGTTCTCTTCCTCTGATTCAAAGTAGACCACTAGACATGTTTCAATGCATTGCTTCCGCACTGAACAATAGGCTCTTGCTAATATATGGCAGGATGCCTCAAAGCCTGCCTTTTCGTCAGAATAGAATGGTTTCACAGAGTACGGATTTGATGTTCGTTATGATGTGCGTGCGTACGCACCAATGTTGTGGTGTGGTGCTGAACCTTATACACCCAACAGGCACTTCACTGTACAAAACCCTTCCTGGTGCGAGAATCCTTCGAAACGGTGACAAGATCCCGCTTCCTCGCCGATTCTCTGCGGCAATTATGTCCCATCTGATAGGGCATGAGGTCCTCAGTACCAGCGAAGGTTGATGTGAACGGCCGCGGGTACAATGCACCTCAAACGAGTTATAGCCCGTACAGTTCCCCTTCGTCAACTGTGGGAGCGTTTGTTGAGTGTTCCGTGTTCCTGCTCCTATCTTTAGTGTGCAGATGAATGCAACCTTCGGATGTGGTTTTCGTGGAACCTGGGCTCAGTAACCAGCCAACCAATCGGGCATTGGAAGTGTTCTATTATTCCATCCCATAGGTTGTGGTTCCGGGTTTATATACAGCGGGGCGATCGCTTTCCTTGGCCCCACGTAGCCATGAATCTTGCGCATGATCATGGCACTGACTTCACTGGTCCTAGCATGTCTCTTGGCAGCTCTCGCACTGTGGTCATTTGTCACCTATCTATATACGCGCTTTGCGGCCTCAATTCTGCATAAGATCTCAGGGCCGCCGGTGAAGTCTTTCTGGACTGGTATGTGATCCTATGCCTCTTCAGGTCTGCGATGCCATTCAGTTGACACGTATTTGCAGGCCATTTCAATCAATTCTTTGCTCGTGACGGAGAGAACTTTCAGCGACGCCTGGCGAGTTACGGACCTATCACCAAGATCAACGGCTTCCTCGGGGTGGATTCATTTATTTCTTGGCGATATTTGAGATGTTGATCAACATTCACATCTTGTCTCACAGCGACCTATACTGTGTGTCGCAGACCCCAAAGCTCTGCACTACATCTTGGTCAAGGAAGAACACATATATCAGGTGACTGAGGATTTCATATCGTACGTCGTCTCTTACAGGTGACATTTTTGGTGCGGATTTGTGTGGCTAATTCATTGTAGGGGCAATATTTTGTACTTTGGACCTGGACTTCTATCAACACTTGGTATGACATGTTTGTTGGTTGTTTCGAAGAGGCCACTCACTGCAATGCAGGTCAACAGCACGCAAAGCAGCGCAAGATACTGAATCCCGTCTTCTCTATCAATCACATGCGCCATATGCTACCGCTGTTCTACTCAATCATCCATAAGGTAAGATGACGGCCGCCGTTGGTATCATAGACTATGACCTAACTTTTCCTGGACAGTTACGGGATGCAATCCGATATCGTGTACAGGATGGGCCACGGGAACTCGATGTTCTGCATTGGATGGGACGAACGGCTTTGGAGCTTATTGGTCAAGGCGGCCTAGGGTGCACGTTCGACCCACTGGTTGAGGATAGGATAGACCCATACGGAGAAGCATTGAAAGCACTCGCGTACGTTTCACAGTTGTACTACTCCGCAAATGCTGACGGCTCCAAATGCATGACTCACCGCGGACCATAATCCGATTCCATATCGCACTTTTAACAGTCCGCTCATATTTCGCCTATCGGTTTTCATCAAACTACTACTACCTCTTTCCAAGAGGTTGGTTCCCGGATGGTTGTGCAGGGCAGTAGTGGAATCATTTCCGACTGCATCTCCCGTCAATCAACTGACCACGGTTGCCAAAACAATGCACGAGAGAGCGAATGCGATATACCAGGAGACGAAGCTCAGGATTTTTGGGGGACGTAGAAGCCGTGAAGCAGATAGACGGGCGCAAAGACATACTGAGCAGCCTCAGTGAGCTTCCTAAACTTCATTATACTCATCGATCCGAGCTCTTGCTGACGAAAATTCCAGTACGTGCAAACACAGCAGCTGATGTCAAGGATCAACTTTCGGAGGACGAGATTGTCGGGCAGATGTCGTAAGTTTTCCGGCTTCTACTATGCGGGCGGCACTTAATAAGATTGGCAATAAACTCTGGGTCAGCACGCTCCTCTTTGCAGCGATGGATACGACGTCGAACGCACTCTCGCGCATCCTACATCTCTTAGCCCAGCATCCTCATATGCAGCAGAAGCTGAGACATGAGCTCCTTGAGGCCAATGCTGCCGATGAACTATCATATGAAGAGCTGAACAAGCTCCCGATCTTGGACAGCGTCTGTCGGGAGACGCTAAGGCTGTGAGTACTGTGCTATGATTTCAGCTCCTTGTTCGGGCTACTGATTTCCAGTATCGCTGTCAGTCACCCCCCTGCTACTACGCTATTCAGAGTGTACGTCTATCAGTTCATGAACGAACGCTTCCACCGACGATTTCGTTTAGGGCGACGAAGGACACCGTGCTTCCTCTATCCCAACCGATAACCCTGACAGATGGTCGCCAAATAAGTGAAATACCTGTACCCAAAGGCTCGGAGATCTTTCTCGAGTTTCTTGGATGCAATGTCAGCAAGAGCTTGTGGGGCGAGGACTCCCTCGAGTGGAAGCCCGAGCGCTGGCTCTCCGGATTCTCGACTAAGATGGCGGATGCTCGCGTCCCTGGCGTCTACTCCCATTTGTACGAGCTTCGCAAAACATTCAGTGTGTCGATTCTCTGACACTTTGAATGCATAGGATGACATTCTCCGGCGGGAAGAGAGCTTGTATGTAAGTGTACTACGCACGACGTCCTGACTGTGCGCTCACTCTGAGACTTCGTTACGCAAGCGGATTCAAATTCGCCGAAATGGAGATGAGTAAGTGTTAGCAAGGTTAACGTCGGATCGATAATCTGACCATGACCGCAGAGACCGTTCTATCTGTCCTTGTGTCAACATTCACGTTCGAAGTAAGCGACAAGCCCATTGAATGGAACATGGCGGGCGTGATGTACCCGACGGCCGGAAAGGAAAGCAGCGACCCCTCGCTCCCTCTGAAAGTCGGTCTCTACAGTGCAGCGCAGGTTTGAGGCCTGACGGCCCAAGTGGTGGGTAAGTGCTGTATGGAAAGCCAAGACAGCAGGTCTCATCGAGTTCTCACAAGCTCCGTAGACCTCTTGTTTTCTCTCAGGATTGGCGAAGCTTGGTGTGGGACAGTTTGGTGTATACACGCGCACGACCACATACATCTCATCATGGCTTGAATATATGTATTCTCATTTATACTGTCCATCGCCAGGGCATCCCTGATGACGGGCTCCGAGTCGATAGTTTTTTGCTGTTAGACAGTGGTGATCGTAAGTAGCTGTCGATTCGTAAGGAGAGCCGACGACTGGAAGTAGATATGAATATCGTGCTTTCGCCCTCCCGTGAAAGAGATCTTCCTTGTAGCCTGCGTAGGGGAGACAAAGACTTATCGAAACTGCTTGAACTTCCCCGTGTAAGCACTGCCAACGCATTGACTGGCGAATATTCCCCACAATTATGTCTACTTGTGTGGCTGATGCATTGCTTCATTGAAGATTTCATTTTAGCGTCTCGTGAATTTGCATCCTGCGATACACAAACTAATTAGACGAGCTTGAGTACTCAGTACTCAGTTCTCTAATGTCACGTACGAACTTCTGTCGCATCGACGTTGGAGGAGCCGCTCTCAGTCGTAGGCGCCTGTGTCGTCGTCGCGTCGATCCAACCTCGATCCACTACGTCATCAATACTATACTTACTCCATGGTCTGGTGTCTGCGGGGCAGATCAGACGAATTGCCCGTTGTCAGTAACTTGGTGCATAATTTACTCTGTTATTCAGGACACGTACTGAACAGACTGGTAGGGTGTACGGTGCAGGCCAGAAGACGCAGCGGCAGCAGAAGTATCGCAGCAACTTCAACTTCGCAGTCGATGTCACTGTGCGCTCGAGCGCAGCGCGATCCAGGAGGGTCTATGGATCACCGCCCTCGTTATTGGCTAGCCCGGGCTGTGCCTCGTCATACCTTCAAGTTGGCTGAGTCCGCTGCCAGCGGTGGAGCTCTGGAGAGTCGGAGTCGCCCCACTGTTATAACCTCCTCCCCTCTTGGCAGCGCACCCAAGATTTCTCTACTGTTTAGCCATGGTCTCTGAACGAGTTCACAACCTTACTCATTCCGACAAGACCCTTACCTCTGCACTCGCCGCCAATCCCAAGGAGTCGCCTGGTGAGCTCGGGAAGAAACTATACGAGGAGCACCATCATGGCATCCACAATCCAAACGCGACCGGTGGCATATTTGCCACTGTGAAGAGCATGCTGAAGACTGGATCGACACCCGAGGATGCCAAGGAAGCTACGGCGGAGGACGAGCCATCCAAGGAGGATCTAGATAGGGCAGCAGAGTGCGGACAGTTCGGCACGAGGCCAAGTGACTTGTTCTTGAAGGTGTGTGGCGAATCTCCTTTCCTTCGTCGGTTCGGAGAATTGTCTGTGCCCGTTGGGTGGATCGCCCGCCAAACCGCACGACGTACATTGCAGCGGCTGTAGCAATGTGTACGGGGTCGCGGGCACGATCGAAAACGTCTGCAAGTCTAGTTTGCCATGCTACGTTGCACGGTATTCAGTCTCATTGACTATATGCGCATGGGCAAATGCTTTGAACAGCTTCACCGTTTCGTCGCACGCACATGTATGCGGCTACGAATTCACTTCGCTTCCACCAATGTATGATCATGCATCTTCAATTAACATGTATTTGCTTCGCAGATCTACCATGATGTACTCAAGACGCTTGACGTTGACCCTTGGGCGGGCTATGTTTCGCCCCCTCTGCTTGGCTCCCGGGCGTAATGCCGCTCACGATCATATCCTGGTGAGTGTAACGACTGCTGGAAGCCTCGCTTGTGATTGAGAACGCCCTCTGCGACGCATATATCCCTTAATTGCTGTCAGGGAGCGCATATATGCTGCTGCTAGTCCGCGAAGAGCACATCGGTACCATGATGTAGCGTTAGCGCGCAATATACCTGCGTACCTCATTGTAGACGCATATATGCGCTGTCTGCCGTGTAGAGCGACCTACCATCCTCTTCCGCATGCCTAGAACCCAACTGATCTCCAAGACAGCATCCCCGACATCATCCAACACCACTACGACTGCATCATCCGCGCCGAGCACGAGGTCTTCCTCGCGACCAACTACTGGCAGGCGTCCAAGTCCGCGACGAAGATAAGCGACGCGTTCATCGAGCTCTCCAAGCGCGCGGAGAACGCGGCAAGAGGGTGTCGTGAAGATGATGTACGACCGCGCGAACCTGAAGATGCTCACGGAGAGCCACCTGTTCGTGGACGAGGCCGAGTGGACGTCGGACGCGGTGAAGATCCCAAGCGGGAGGAGATGCCGTGGGTGGACTTCCAGCTGGTCAACTTCCATCAGTGCGTCTTTTTCTTCAGTTGATGCGCATGCGGATGAGCTGACATGCGTGTGCAGGCCGGTGCTCGGGACGTTCCACTGCAAGTTCATGATCGTCGACCGCAAAATGGCGATCCTCTGCTCGAACAACATTCAAGATCGGGCGAACATGGAGATGATGAGCCACCTCGAGGGCCCGATCGTCGACAGCATGTACGACACCGCTCTAATCTCGTGGTACAAGGCGATGAACCCGCCGCTCCCGCTCGTCGGCCGGCCGTACCAGCCGCCGGAGGGCGGGTACAAGTTCGGGGTGGAGAACGAGTATGCGACGACGCATATATTGGATGGGAGCAGGGGCGAGGAGATCTTCAAGGCGATGAGGGAGAAAGACGAGCAGGCGAGGGACGAGGACGAGGCGAAGACGAACGAGGAGACGAAGGGCGATGGACGGGTGTTCATCAGTGGCAAGTATGAGACAATCACGGACCATATCAGTGAGTGTTCGTGGTCTCTCAAGGGAGCATACCATGCTGACTTCTTATGTTCGAAGACGCGGGCGACCAGACCACACAGGCCACTGAGCAATTCGACCCCTCGCGCGAGTTCACTCCGCACATCGTCCACGCGCCCCATGAAGAGGTGCCCATGGTCCTCGTCAACCGATCACCCTATGGCAAGCCCGTAAACGAAGAGCGTGCGCTACTCTGCCCACAGGCGGCAGCGTGGCTCGCGGCCCTCAGGCATGCCGCGAGAAGGTCTTCATCCAGACGCCGACGTTCAGCGCGGCGCCGATCGTCGATGCGGTGCTGAGCGCGGTGCGGCGCGGGATCGAGGTCACGTTGTATGTCGACGTGGGATTCAATGATGGCGGCGAGGCGCTGCCTTTGCAGGGAGGGACCAACGAGGAGGTGGTGAGGGGCATGTACGAAAATTGGAGGAGCAGGAGAAGGAGAGGCTGAAGTATTACTGGTACACTGGTGGGTGATAGCTATGCTGTCGTCGCATTGTAAGGTTTACTGATTATATGGCAGCCCGGGACCAGTGCAAGCCGATCAATGCGCACCTGCAGCAGAGGAATTGCCATGTGAGTCCGCCGCTTGCCGCTGGGTGTCGATTCGAATTCATGTTCTCAGGTCAAACTTATGGTCATTGATGACGAAGTTGGCATCATGGGCAATGGAAACCAAGGTAGGCCTCGCTCGTCGTATTATACTTACCAGACATTCTCACTCCGTCTCCTGACAGACGTGCAATCATGGTACCATTCCTCGGAGGTGAACGTCATGGTCGACAGCCACACGATCTGCCGCGAGTGGCTCGACTCGATCGAGCGCGTGCAGAACACGCACCTGCACCGCGTTGGCCACGACGGTGTGTATCGTGACGCGCAAGGTGTGGAACTGCAGGACTCGACGGGCGTCACGAAGGGCGTGAAGGGCTTGGTCAAGGGCATTCAGGGTAGTATTGCGAGGGTGAGAGGAACGGGTGGATTCTGAGCCCAATTTGGCGGAGTTCGAGGTATGCGAGGTATGCGAAGCATGTTGATGTGCTTATATCGAGGGTTGACTGTTCCGATGCTAGGGGCAATTGGACTGAAGCACTGAGATACCATATATTGTATTTCCCGCGGGATTGTATTACACTGACGAGCGAGACATGTCGAAATGACATACTGTATCTATGTACGACTCGTGCTCCACTGTTCATTGCGCTGCTGCTCGCGCTTTCAAAAACACAAGGAAGACCGACCCCTCGGGCGCTTCGAGATCAGTTTGAGATCAGTAGCTGATCTCTGCCGGACCCTCTCTTTCTCCTCGTCCACGACCATCTCGTCTTCGACAACGCCATTGCTGTTGTTCGCGAATCAAGCAGTGTAATCCACGAGGATGTGAGGCAGAATCTTACTGTCTCGGGCTCTGTTGTACTGACATGGAATCGGGTCAATAGGGTTGCGTCGGGCAAGCTTCGATTGTCGTTATCCGGTGAGAACATGACTCAGTTGGAAGCGCAGCTTGTGTGCGTGTGCTAAGTAGACATGTAGACATTCGTGTCCACAGTAAAACGGGACATCCGATACTGAACGACGAGGCACGGCTCTTGTCGAGCTGCGGAACACTGATTCGGAAGAGGTCGTCAGTCGCACGCCGGCGGTGCTGAGGAAGCCGACTGGAGATGAAGGAGCGTGGTTCTGGGCTGAAGATTTCAAAGTGTACGTTTCAAGTGTTGCTGTCTTGGGCGTCGTGTACAGGACGGCCGTGCTACGTACTCTCGCCCCCCGATGTAGCTTCCGTTCACTGATATACGGTGCTTCACAGCGAAGGAACTTCTCATTGATCGAGATTATGGTGGTACTGGAACAGGAACGATCGCCTCAGGACCTTGCCTCGATCGATGTCAGCCTCTTCGAGTTGCAAGGTTTCGCCGTGAATCACCGTGAGTTTCAGCGCCTTCATCTCGGATGCAGCGTACTGAACTCGGGGCCGCAGATCTCGTGCGAGCATTGTACGAAGTTGAGGACGATGGCCCGCCTTCGCTAATGCTCTCGGCCACTTGCAACGTGGTCGTACTCGAGATCCTCGAGGATCCAAACCCTTTGCCTCCATTGACAGACAGCGAGAAGGGATTGAGATATACGTCTTACATACCAGGTTTACGCGCGGATTATCGGGACTTGGATGTATACAAGTCCCTTGCAGGTGTGTCGTTGTTTGTTGTGTGTGTCTTGATGCTGATTAATTGCTCATGTAGACACGGTCACCGAGGAAGAAATTGCCAGCATACTATGCGATTTTACTGACACCATGAAACTTCCAGATGATGACCCGCATAAGGCCCAGAAACTCCAGATGATTGGGGTCCTCTTCCATGTCCACTACAGGCTACATGGGGATGTCATGGACATCCTTGAAGCTGTAACTGCACAAGAGAATGCAGTGAGGCTACTGGCTGATGACCACCCAGACAGGCCTGCTTGGTTGATGACTCTGGGCAAATCTTTGCATGCCTTATTTCAGAGAAAAGGCTCTGAGGATTATGTTCTAGAAGGGATATCTGTGTTCAGAGAGGCTGTCAAGTTGACTCCTGATGATGATTCTAAGCAACAGGAGAGACTAGGCATGCTAGCATCAGCATTATACCTACACTATTCATGCTTCTCTGAGCTTGCCCATCTTCAAGAAGGCTTAGAGATCATGGATGATCTGACTATGGGAAATCCAGATCATCCTAAGCATTCTGACTGGCTCAGTGCAGAGGCAGGCATGCATTTGTCATTGTTCCATCACTTAGGGAACATGAGTGACCTAGACAACTCTATTGGATGCTATGAAGTTGCACTATTGAACCTACCTGAAGATCATCCTGAGAGACCTCAGCATATGTCTACAGCAGGTTCTGCTCTACAGGCCAGATATGAGAGGCTCAAAAGAGAGCCAGACATTAAGAGAGCAGTTGCCTTGCTTGAGAAGGCTGCTGAGATGACTGAGAAATCTGATGTGAAGGCAACCAGACTCATTGCATTAGCACAGGCCTTGTATACCAGTTATGGTATGAAGAAGGATCCCAGAGACATTGAAAGGGGAGCCATGGCTGCCAGAACTGCTGTTGAGATAGTCAATAAAGAGCACCCAAACAAGCCTCATATGCTCATTGTGTTAGCCATGCTTCTCAGGCACAAGTTCACAGTGTCCAGGGATGTTGCAGATCTCAATGAGGCTATTACAATCCTCAAACATGAAGCACACATGACACCAAGTGATCATCCAGACTTTAAATTGGCCATTATGGAACTTGGACATGCTCTGCTATCTAGGTTTGCCCACCAGGGTGCAGTTGCAGATGTCAACAGAGCAGTAGAGGAATTCAAGAATGGCTTACATGTAACTGCCAAGAATGATCCTCAGAGGCCTGCAGTACTCAATGATCTTGGGGATGCCTTACTTACCCATTTTGGTGTGACTCATGATGTTGATGATATAAAGGCTGCAATAGAACAGTACATGCATGCAACAACATCAGAACTAGGTGCACCTGCCTTAAGGTTATACTCAGCCATGCAATGGGCAAAGAATTTGCATGAATATCAGTTTTCATCTCCTCTAATTGCCTATCAGCATGCATTGAGTTACTGTCTCAAGTTGCATGGCTTGGCCTGCCTATGACAGACAGATATGCCCAGATCATGCAGTACAGTGATTTGATATGCAATGCAGCTGCAACAGCAATTGAAGCAGAAAGATATGAGATGGCATTGGAATGGCTGGAACAGGGAAGGTCAATTGTTTGGGGTCAGATCTTACAGCTCAGATCATCAGTGAGTGAGCTGAGCTTGAGAGAACCTGAACTGGCACAGAGTTTCATAGAAGTGTCAAAAGAACTGGAAACTCTGAGTAATCCTCACTTGTATATACCCCAGGAGCATGCACTCTCTGTTGAAGTCACTGAGCAAAAGCATAGAAGCTTGGCTAGTACATGGGAGGGACTTGTGAAGCAAATTCAATCTTTAGATGGCTTTGAACATTTTCTCAAGCCAAAGACTGCTTCTCAGCTCATGAAAGCAGCAGTGCATGGTCCTGTTGTGGTTATCAATATCAGCCAGTACAGGTCTGATGCCTTGATTATCATGCCTCAGTCAAGTGAACTACACCATGTAGCTTTGCCTCTATTCACCAGTGAGAAAGCAAGGTATCTACAGACACAACTACATGATTACCTTGTAGATGCTGGGATAAATGTCAGGAAACCTGACAAAGAGCTGCAAAGCAGGTCAGAATTTCACTCATGGATAATATCAGATTTCCTGAGATCCTCTCAAGTCTCTGGACTTGTGTAGTGCTTCCTATTATGCAAAGGATGTCTCCAAAGGTATGTCTTGATAATTGACTATATGAGGCCTACTAATATTTCTTGACAGATTGAGCAAAAGAATCCACACACATTACCCCACATCTTCTGGTGTTTGACTGGCCCATTGACATTTTTGCCCTTGCATGCAGCTGGATTATATGAGACTGCAGAACCTGGCCCAAAGCTGATGGACATTGCCATTTCTTCTTATATCCCAACATTGACAGTGCTGTTGGATAGGATACACAGAGAGGCACTCATCTCACCCAAACTATTGGGAATATGCCAAACATGTACACCAGGCCAGGTTCCTCTTCTGGCTGCTGAGCATGAAATGTTAGCCATTGCTCAGTTAATAGGTCAATATGACCCTCAGGGTGTTACAGTCCTAAAAGACAGTGCTGCTACTGTAGAGCATACCCTGCAAAGCCTAGCTGAATGCAATTGGGTTCATCTGGCTTGTCATGGTGTTCAGGACATGACTGAGCCAACTTCCAGTGCTATCCTTCTTTGGAATGGCAGGTTGACACTGGCTGAGATCATTAAGCTATCTCTTCAGGATGCAGAGCTTGCATTTCTCTCAGCCTGTGAGACAGCCACTGGTGATAAAAGCTGTCAGAAGAGGCTGTTCATCTGGCTGCAGGTATGCTTCTGGCTGGATATAAGGGTGTCATTGCAACCATGTGGTCAATCCAAGATGAGGATGGACCTGTGGTAGCCAGCAAAGTCTATGATCAACTTCTGGATGGTAAGATACCAAATGCCATGAGAGCAGCAGAGGCACTGCACAATGCAGTTCTGGAATTGCAGCAGAAGGGTGCATCGTTCGAAAGATGGGTGCCATTTATTCATATGGGTGTTTGATGACTTTGTCAGAGATTGTCGAGTAAAGATCCCGGTGTATTGTACTTACAGAATAGCACAATCAAGCTTCGACCGCAGTGCGTGTGATCAATGAATATAAAAATGTTTCAATCAATCAGAATTAGTGTATAATTATCAGCAACGTCGAGAAACCAGCGCACGGATATCGCCAGACAGCCAACAGGCAGGCACCTCGTGAAGTCACTGGCAATGAGATGGATGTCAAAGCCGTGTTCCAAGACAGCAGACTATACGACTCACACACAAAGCATGACGCGTCCGACGAGCGGACACAGGCCAATCTACCGGTGTCGTTGTTGAGACGTTCGACGGCGCTGTGGAGTGCACTCCTCGAGACCACCTTCGCGGGCCGGTATTGATCGCACGCGTCAGCCGCATGACACAATCCTCCGATATAACCTCCATCCAGAGGCGGACGTTCCACCTTCTCTGACAGCGACAGCGGCAGAGAAGCCTGGCAGTCGCGACGGAGACATCCCAAACACCAAAATAAGCCTCCTACCTGCGAGCGCCGTCTATTCTCGGAACGGACAGCTCGGAATTGGATTGAAGGCGAGCAGTCCACGGTCCAGACTCGCGATGCGAGATGGGATGACGGGAACAGATACGCCGTGGATGATACGTGATGTGGAGGCTCCGTACAGGGGCGCAAGCATGACATTTCCGCGCCTGTGTGTACGGCGGTCAGTGCCTGTTCCCAGCCTCGGAAACCAATTTCACGGATGCGGACTGACATACCGGGCACGGCGATGATGAGGCTTATTCGGGCGGAGTTGGAGCTTGTGCGAGTGAGTCTGAGAAGACTTCGAGTTCTGGCGAGATGTTCTGTCATGGTCGTCGTAGCGGGAGAAGGTCATGGCGCCTACGGGGCTGCACGAAGGTAAGGAAGTTCGGGCGAGGATAGGCCGCATCACCTAGGAGCGCTACGCACTGAATGGATTGATCATCGTCTCGCGCATTGTGGTTGCTGGTGGGCTGGTGAAGCAGTGTCTTTGTCAACGATCTTTGAAAATAATCTGCAGCGGTTCCACACAGACGATCGAGACGACTTACCACTCGGTGCAATCCTGCATCTTCGCACGGCACAATGCTGCGAAGAGATGTCAGTGACAAAACAGCCGACACAGGAACCCCACCGCACCGTCAACACATCATGCAGCGCTCGTCTACATTCCTCCCACCTCGGGCGACAAGGACAACATGTGATTCTAATACAAGCGTAAGTTGCGAAGTTCGAACCCAAGAACCCAAGCTTCGGTATTTGGCCTTTGCGAATGACCAAACAGCCCAGTATATGGCTAGGGTCAGCGTCGCCGCGAAAAGAAGGGCTGCTGTGATGTCATCGAAATTTGTCGCAGTCGAAAAGTAGCAAACTGCTGAGTCAAAGAGGGCGACTGCGGTCCTGAAGATGCGGCACCGAGGTTATGTCCCTTCAAATTCCTGAGACCATTGCAGTAGTGCGGCTTCCAAAGACAACAGTGGCCTGGCATGCTGAAGCGGGCAGGCCACTGAAATATATGCCAAGATGCAGATGCCGGCGCAATCACGGCGTAATAGCACATCGCTTCTACCACTCGAGCGATGCATCGCGGATTACGAAGGCGCGCGACACGTATTTCACCCTGCTGTCCAGCGGTCTAGCGGGAGGAAAGCGGCGGTTTTGTGACCAGATGCGCGAATGAACGCGACGCCATACTGCGCTAGAGAAATTACGGGTTGCGTCTCGCGCCAGAAGCGAATTGAGTTTGCGGACGACTGTGAGACGGTTGCGAGACACGTGGATGTGAATCGCACACTAGCGAGGGGAGCGGCGGTATCCAGCCTCACCCAAGGCGGACGGAAGGGTGTTCTGGTGTTGCTGTTGTCTTCGTTTGCGCAAAGGCTGCCAAGCACGAAGGTGGGCGTTTGATATTGCTCCGAGATTGAGTACAAGATGTGCGATAATCGTGTTCAGTAGTGAACAGCTGCAAGATGTGGAGATATCCAGTCGCGCGAAATGCACGCCTCCACTCTCGCCGTGAGGTGTATCCGACATCCACCGCCTGTTGCGCGTAGGTATTATTGAGATAGAATGTGTTGCCTCGTTCCCAGTTTGGGGCTACAGTCTTCGTGCGTGGATGAAAGCATGCGAAAATCTAAACACAGGGACCCGTTGATCGAACGCCATGTCTTCAGGGTGGCGCCCGGCATGATCGACCAAAAGATGAACTGTTGGGGGCAATTGAAACTTCACTGTGCGTAGCTTTGTCCGGAGAAAGAGATCGTGGCCGATTTGCGTCCGGAGCATCTCAGATCAGGCGTTGCCCGGGTGGAGTCGCGTTGCATCCGGGCAAACTTGCGTATCCCAGACGAGCCACATCAGGGACCACGAAGAGTTAGACGGCCGAGCTTCCACAAGATCACGGCCAGACGGAGAGACCAGACACCAACGGTCCACGAGAACCGCGAATCTATAGTCTCTTCTCTAGGCTTTGCCAATTGTAGGCGCCAGGGAGGACTAAGGTTTGGTCTTCGCGTCCGACGCGATAAATTCGGGGATTGTGGCTGTTGAGGCACTGCACACGGAAGTGATGTCAACCTGCGCAGACGAGGGATATCTGATAAGTGCTGATAGAAGGGGTGCACGGACTTCGGTGGAACGGGCGAACATGCATGGATACAATCCAGTGGACAGGGTGAGAAGGACCGAGGCATAAATTGGGATCAAAAGCGTAGGAGCGGCCCTGGGATCGATCTGCCGCCGAGCAAGACGAAAGTCAGCGAATGGTGCAAAATGGCGGCGCCTCATACGCGACCGAGGCAGTGGCTGCATTTCCGTGCGCAGGCGGCGAAGCCACAAGTAGATACGGCTATTCTCCGGGTGGCGAACGAATCCAGCAGGGGGCGCACTTCTGAACTGCTGGAAACGCATATAGCCACCACAGACGCGCATACGGGCAACATTGGCGCGCATATAGCCAGTATGTTCACGACTAAGGCCAGCCTGGGACATTACTCACCAATCTCGAGTGTAACGTAAGTTGGCAGAGCGTGTCCTGAGGGCGAGCCGGAACGACCGCAGAGGGGGAAGAGGCCGGGACGATTGGAGAAACGGCGGAGAAAGCAGGCGGGCCACTCACGGGATATATTCGGTGTCGGGAGAACAGAGGGCGTGGATCAGGAAGACTCGGTGGGCGGCAAGAGAAACGACAAGGCCGCTGGCCGTCGGCAGGCCGAGGGCTCGTCGGGGGATGATGGTGGGAGAGCAGAGCGAAGGAGGCAGGCAGACACTCCGGGAGACAGACGGTGGCAGAAATCTCGGTGGATTCGTTCAAACTCCGCCACCCAAATGCGCGCGACCGTGGCGCCTACGCGAACTGACGCGGCCCCATCACCTGAGCGTATATACGCCTCTCTCCGACGACGCTTTCTTCGTTTGCTCTTTTCGTCTCCGTGCCATCCTGCGTGCGGCATATTTAATCTGCACACCCACCCCAGTCCACACAATGCCCGACGGCTCCTACGAACGCCCGCAACAGCGGCAGTTCAACCCTTACTCTGAGAACGGAGGCACTATCCTCGCCATCGCGGGTGCGGACTTCTCAGTCATTGCGGGTGACACGAGGCAGAGCGAGGGGTATAGCATCCAGACGCGTTACGCACCAAAGGTCTTCAGATTGTGAGTCGTGCTGTGGGCGAGACGGAACGGGACGCACAGAGAGCTGACGCGTCCTCTAGAACTGAGCGCGCAGTGCTAGCGGTCAATGGATTCGCGGCGGATGGAAACATGTTCGTGAAGAAGGTGAAGCAGCGACTCGAGGTGCGTCTCTGCCTTTCTTCACTTGCAGTTCTCCGATGTCTGATGCGTCGTGCCCAGTGGTACCGCCATGCACACGCAAAAGACATGCCCCTCCGCGCGATCGCAAGACTAATCCAGACGATGCTCTACGCGCAACGCTTCTTCCCATACTACGTCTACAACATCCTCGGTGGCATCGAGGAAGACGGTACGCCCTCCCACGTCTCGCACACAGGCCCTCGTGCGCGCACACGCTCGCGCCCACTCACTCTGTGTCTACTCTAGGCACGGGCGCCGTCTATTCCTTTGACCCTGTTGGCTCGTATGAGCGTGAAGCATGTCGAGCCGCAGGTGCAGCTCAGTCACTCGTGCAGCCCTTCCTGGACAACCAGGTACGTCCGCCCTTTCTACTCCCGCCCCCGCCCCTGGTCACACACCCGCCTGACGACTTCACATTAGATCTATTTCAAGAACCAGACACCGGCGCCCGGTACCAATCATCCCACGCACCTCCCCCTCCCAGACGTCCTCTCCATCGTCATTGACTCGTTCACGAGCGCAACAGAGCGCCACATTGAGGTCCGTATTCATTGTGGTACTCGGAAGCTGTCGTGCTGGGCTGACTCATAGCTCTCATGCAGGTGGCGACGGTCTCGAGATCTACGTTGTGCTGGCGAAAGGGCGGAGTACGCAAGAACTTGCGAGTATCGGAGGCCTTCAGGAGCTGAGCGCGAGAGCGGAGGGTGACCGCATGTTCGTGATCAGGCGAGATCTCAAGAAGGACTAGAGCGAGCCAGGGAGAGGATGTAACGTATGCCCTTGTTTTCTTCGTACGCACACACATCGAACGGACAGCCAACCACCCGAACCGCGCCCGCCGTCCGCATTTCGCACGCCTGCTCACTCCTGTTCCGTCTCCGTCGCTGTAGTTATAATCTTTGGCGCGATACGATACCTGGCGCGCGCTTCTGCGGTGCGCGCGTAATGTACAATACACCAAGGATACGCGGTAGCTGCTTGGCATGGCATAGGACGCATGATGGCACTGCATGATCGACGCGCGAGCTTGTCACTGTCAACGTGTCTATCTCTCCGGGGTGTGTACAGGTGCGTGTTCCGTGCTCATGGGACCGCGATGAGATGGGGCGATCCCGGGCGTCCTGTGCTAATCCAGCTATAGTCACGCTGTCCTCCTCGAGGCAAGCCATGCCCGCGGGGAAAGTCGGGGAGGGCCGTCCCAGCAGCTCCCGTCGAATGGTAACTTGGCTATTGGCTCAGCGGAACCGTACCCCGGAGCACAACGTGAACGACTTGACTACATCTTGGAGGCTGGCCAGCACTCACCTGTTGACAGGTGAGCGTTAGCAACCATTGACTTGCTGTTGACGTTCGCCCAGACTCGGACGTAAGTTCGCGGGGCATCACAAACGATCTTACAGCGAGAAAGACAGGTCAGTCAACTGACATGCCAGCTTGCTAAGGACGAGGACACGATGTCTCAGTCTAGCAATACAGTCCTATTCAATTCATTCGTGCTTACCCGAGCGACTCTCACTGGTACGCTGAACGCAAGGTCGCGGACGGCGCAGGAGGTTCGAAAGTGTGTTGTAAAATGAATGAAGTTTGATTGCGTTTACGCCCTGCGCACACTGGTGGAGGAGCTCAAGGGTGGTTCAGAAGGTAGGGGTCGTTGACATACAACGTACAGACTGAGTCGTGTGCCGGGTGCAATGGCTCGCAATGTATCCTTATAAGAGCGAAATACGTACAAGCTTCAACTACTGAACGGGCTTCGAATGCGCAGCACTGGTGATGAATGGGCGCAATGGAACCGCGCACACATATTTTGAATAGAACGGCGTTCCTGGAGAAGAGGGTGCGGCTCGAGTGAGTACTAAGGACGGTGTTCGTAAGCAACAGCGAAGCACGGAGGAGCTGGAGCCATGTGCGTTTGTATGAAGCCTACTCACCCGCTAACCACCGTCGACCTAAACTTGCAGCATGTGGGGTCTTCGTGGGGATCGAGATTGCGGAGTGTGGCCTTCCCGCGACTGGGGTCTTGACGCCGCCATGCTGACTTACGCCGAGTTGAGTCCGCCCACGATGAAGTGCCTTCCAAACGCTTCTCGAACGTGGAGAGGAAGTTCGCCTCGAGGAGGTACATGCCGCACACGGCACAAACCACACTAAAGTGAGGTCCGCTAATAATACTCGGAAATGTCAGCGTCCTCGTTTGTGACCACTTTTGGATTCTAGGTCAATGTGGCTTGACGCGCTGCAGCTTGAATGTTTCCGACGTACAGATAGCCTGCCACCAACTGCGTTAGTGTTATTATGGTGTCGGGGGGACACGGGGACAGGTGATTGTGCCCGCGGACAGGTGGAACACTAGACGCATCGCATGAACACCGTTTCGCCAGTGACCCGCCTCGCCGCGGATGTTCCGAGCGGAGCCGGTGTGCATGTTTACGGGGAAGGGCATTTGAAGACCGGACGCGTAGGCGAATTGGGAAGATCCTCGGATGATACTTGGGAGGCTTCATTCGGTCTGACGGTCAGAGCTCAAGCTCAAGATCCACTCGCATAGAATATGAATGGCCGGTCTGTGTGTCAATGATTGATAAGTTCTAGCACCGTTCATATTCAAGGGGGGAAATTATATCACACCTTACAGGACGCAACATCGCACTCGCCGGGATAGAGACTCTCCGTCGACAGAAGCCTTGCTGAGAGCTAGAAGATAGTCGGAAGTGATCTTCTGTCTGTCGGAATCTTCCAAGTGAGAGAACGCCTAGCTTATATCGCGTCATGTCTTCTTTAATTCTCTCTTGGCAGTGGCCTTGTCTCCTTTGACTTCTGAAGCAATATGGCACCGTACTTGCGGGAGGGTTCATTTTTCCCTTCCAGTGCTGCTTCATGGCAATTGTGCATCTCCGATATGATAGGGACTGCAGTTTCTGACGGATCAGAAAGCATGCTCATACACACATACACGACGGCCATCCTGTGTTGTTTGAGGTCACGGTGTATCTTGAGCGCAGATCGGTAGGGTAAGTTGGAGATACGAACACCGTTATGACGCGTTCCCTCCACCGATTGACACCGTCCATTTACTTGGAGCTCTTCGCTGGCTGCCTTCTCTCCAGGTGGTCTCATGACCACTGTGAGAATAATTAGCGTGAGACATATAGTATGGCAGCCTGAGCGCAGCTTGTTCACTGCTGTGTGATCAGCGCCGTGCAGGCAAGCAAGACGTTGCCAAAAAGAAGTCCTGAGGATTTGATCAACACTCAGATAATCAGCTGGCACAGAAAAAAATTCAAAAGTCGCACCTTGTCACAGAGCAAAAGATAGACATCGAGGCAATCCCAACTCCTCGTGATGCTTGATGCAGTTGATCCCATGACGAACTCCAAATAAACACAATTCTTTCTAGCGCAAAAGCAACCTGCGGTGAATACCGACGTATGCAGTTCGAGAAAAATGTTGAAAGGATTTGTGTAGACAGCCGGAAAATGAGTATGAGAGAATTGCTATGATACCGGGGCCAAGGGACCCAACCATGACCTTGTACCGCAGGCCTTACTCAACGGTGAAGAGCAGCCAGGATGCCACATAACACCCTGTCACTAATCGTCTCCAATCATAGATCGTTTCCAAGGCTCACGAGGGATGCCCTCAACGAGCACCTCTACATACTAAATTGCTTTCAGTGTACTCCAAACAGGCCCACTTTGAGCGGCATTTCCGGTTCGGTACTATCTCTCCCTACCGTGGGATACCAGACCGCGGCTACGTTCCACGCAATAGCTTTCTCTGGTAGGCCGAATGTGAAGTTTGTCACGAGGACAGCAAGCGTGACCTCTGCAAGATAGTCAGCATCACAAATCAAGGCAGTAAACGGAGACTTGCTCATTTCCATCTCGGAGAATTTGAACCCTCTGTGCGGAAGATTCATTAGGGAGGTAAACAGTGGAGTGTCTCGGAGCCGGCTTACATGCATGCTCGCTTCCCAGCAATGAAAGTCAGCCTGCCAACAGAGATGAATCGTTCTTTGCCTCAGGGCCAGAATTAGGCTCACAAGTTCGAATATACCCCTGGTATGCGAGCTTCTGAAACGGTAGACGGAAGTCTAGACCAGCGATGAGGTCTCCATTCCAGAGCGTCGTCTCCCCAAAATTCTTTGTTCGCATTTGACCCGTAAACTCCAATCAAAATCTCGGTTCCTTTCGGAACAAAGATCTCATTCAGCGTCTTCCCATCTGTCGTACTGATCGGCTGAGAGAGTGGGAGTAACCTATCTCTGGTAGCTCTAGGTATACAAGTCAGTATGCAGCATGACATCCGCACCTACAGACATTCTTACACTCGGATCATATTCGAGGCCGGAGGGTACCTACGGAGAAAGATCTTCGGTATCAGAAATCGAGAAGCGTATGCACGATCATTCCCTACTCACAATCTCAAGGTTTCTCGGCAGACACTGTCTAGCAGCGGCAGCCCGTCCAGCTGATCATACGGTATCCCGTCCGCAGCGCGGGCTTCCAGGAGTTCCTCGCGTAATTGCCGCTGTACATCTTGGTGGATCGCGAGAAGTTGCAGGATATGGCAGAGCGTGCTCGACGTGGTCTTTATCGCGGCAAATACAAAGGTTCTGCCGCACCGTGGGTGGGACAGTTAAAGCACCAACGGGCTGGTGAGCAGGAGCACTCACGTCATCTGCGCGAGCACTTCCGCTTCGGACAGCCGTTCGCTCTTGTTTGCAGCCATGTTGGCCCGCACTGAAAATACGTCAGCAAAGTGATGATAAAGGTTACGAGCGCTTCTCTTCATGTAACGCACTGAGAATGCTCATCAAATCTTTGCCGTCTCCGACTTGCTTGACTGCCTGCGTGTCACCTTGATGAAGCGCAGCCTTCTTGGCTTCGTAGATCTCTCGCGATCGTCTGTCCATAGTCTCCACAATCTTGACAACTTGAGGGATTGCCCATGTGTCCGGCATGAGCCGTACAAGGCTGCGCCGGAACCATGCGGGTCCCAGCATCCAGGCATACTGAAGGACGCGCCGGAGAATGGCAAGCCTTACCATCGTCGGACTGCGCATCCATGAGAACATCGTCAGTTCCGGCGTTCCATCTGACTTTTGCAGAGCGAAAGGGACGTTTGAGGGACATACTTGAGTGACTTGATGGCTTCCGCATATGCATCTGATTTCTCCTCTACTAGAGGATCGAAGGAGTATCCCAAGCCTCCTTGACCAATCAGTTCCAGCGCGACGCGGACCATCCAGCCAAATATGTCGAGTTCGGTTGCTCCCTTCTCAACAGAAGCTTTGATAGCATCACGAAGCTGCAGAGGGACTCAATAAATATGCGAGGCCTCGGGCGGCCAGGAGGCACTTACCTTGGAGACAACGTCATAGAATATGGCAGCATGTGTCGCATGTGGTTGATCGAGAACACAGGATGCAGTAGCTTGCGCTGCCTGCTATGAGCATGGCCTGCCACATATTGAGCCTTATGGTCGCCTATACAACAATTGTCGTGCTGTACCTGAAGTCGACAGTAACCCGGGCCCGAAGAATACGCGAGCCACTCTGAGACGATCTCAGCGACATACATCGAACGTCGATAGACGTAGACGTACTCCGTGAATGCCGCGCTTTCTGGTAGAACGGCTCCTCCTTTATCAGGATCATGTGGAGCGCTTTTGGGTCTGCCACATACAACATCGGCCGCTGTGTTCATCAATATGAGGCCTGCCCCAGTCTAGTCGCAAACGTGCTAGGCGTACCCCCAGCATACCGTGAAGCCTCACGATAGGGCCGTAGTCGAGAGCGACGTGTTGCTGGAACACCTCGCCTTCCCGAGCGAACCATTGCTTCAAGTTGCCTAGCACAATATATTAGTTAAGAGTAGCGTAGAGTCGTGTACGATGGCGCCTTACCTGTAAGGATCGCTCCGGATGGAGGTCCAGGCAGACTACTAATAGTCGATGTCGCTGCATATGCCCGAGCTGTTCGCCACACGAGCCAAAAGACAGAGCAGGTCGATAACAAGATGAGTGGCACAGGCAGTTCCATCTGGAGGCTATGCATGTCAACGGGGATGTGTGCAGAGAAATCGGCGCCAGAGTTTTTCACGGACACGGTATAAGTCCTTGAAATTAGTTCGCCGCCTGTGACCGGCAAGCTTAGTATGGACGAACTCTAAACATCATCGGACATGTCGTTCATACTATGATAACCAATGTTTCGCCCAGCGCCGTGTATTGAAGCTCGGCCACACCGACTCGGACGACAACCAGGTATTGAACCGCTGTAACAGTCATCAGATCTGAAAGATGCCGATACATACTGTGTGCTCAAACAGGCTTGTCCACGTCTCTCGCCATCAGGTGCTAACGCAAGGTAGGCATATCATACCGGGTTACCTACTCGTTGTTGTCAATCAAATTGTTCGTGGCCGGGCTACTTGGACGAACTGCCGGAAGATGGTCAGAGACAAAATCCATGTTTGAACAACTCCAAGGTCACCGAGTCCTGCGTTTCCCAAATAGAATCGGTTGCAGTCGCCATGCACGATGTTCATCATGAAGCCGCATGACGCAGAGACACAGCGACATCGGGCAAGCTCAGCAATACTAGTGGTGCCGTCACAACTCATCATTCGAGCGACGTGACCACCGTATCGTGATTCCACAGGATCCTTTTCGAATACTTCACATCTGCTGCGTGCGCAAGAACATAGGCATCAAACACACACGCACTTCGTCGTCGCAAACGACATACCATCGCAAGTACAGTCCTGATACTCAGTTTTTGGAGCGAAAAGCAGACATCGCATATAGGATTGCCATGCCACCAACTGTAGCCAAGAGAAACCCGGCGAGATGTGGCCATCGAAGGCATACCGTACCTGCTTGTACGAATGTTCTGAAGCCGGCAGTAGCAACATTCTGACTGGCAATGTCCTGTATTGACTCGGATAACGCACTAGACACTATTCCATCTTCGACCAAGACGAATGCCCGCCGCTGTGAGAAGCAATGCATGTTCCTCTTCCCACGGAGACCTTTGCGCAGGTTTCCTGAGAGTGCAGGGTAGCAGCCGGAGCCAGGACAACAGCGCATGGAGGATGATGGTCGCATGCGCGGCACAGACAGGGCTGCGCAAGCCACAAACGGACGGGTTGCCACAGCGAACAAAACAAAGCCAAACACGTTCTTTACCCTCTCCCCATCGTCACCCACGGCTGCCAGCCCTCTTTCCGCAGCGTGCTCGCCGTCATTCCTCACGACCACAATGCTCCCAATCGTCCTCGGTCTTCTCTTTGCCGTCCTCCCCGTTCTTGCACAGGACATCCAATATACAACTGTCCATAATGCGACCGTCATCTACGGCACCTGGGCCTCCGGATCCATGGGCGTACTCACGGGCTCGGTACGTCCGAAACATCGAGAGAGACGACTTGGAATGCTGACTTCTTCACAGGGCTTTGCAGACCCGGCTGAAGCGTCCTTCAACTACCCGAACACAACCGGTGTCTCGTTCTCATTGTGAGTAACCATCTGATCTCTGTTCATTCTACTTGAGATCTGGCTCGGATCGCGTCGTGGAAGGACGCAAAGAGGGTAGAGCGTGTGTGCAATGTGCCCAAAGACTGGCAGTGGTGCGTTCGAAGGGCAACGCCTATACAGACAGGCGGATTGAAGCGGGGCGCTCTATGTCGATCCACCAACAGTGTCCCGGGAAGTCGGACGGAGGCTACCAACGGACTCCTTGCGCGTCCACTACTGGATTGTGCGCAGCCATCTAACGACTGATCTCGCTGCTGTCCGAGGCGGCGGGGCAGTGATATGTTCTGCAGGTCCATACGTGTGCCACTGGCCTGGCACTGTGGCAGTGCCCCACGACTGGGTGGCCTTCCTATCTGTGGTCATTGGCCTCTGTCTGCTACTCGTCGGCGAGGCGTCATGCTAGTGTCCACTCTGAGGCTGTGCCCTTCCTTCAGCGACCTCTGACAATACGCGGGAAGTCTGGACGACAAGCTCGCTGTTCCAAGCCCCGCAAGGGCGACTGTCTGACCCTCTCGCGCATTGTCAGAGTCCTGGCTTCAGTGAGATGTCAGAAAACGATCACGGATAGACAGCCCCTCCCACGTGTATGCAGGGTCCGGGCGGCAAGTAATATGTCGATGGACTGCTTCTCGCAGCGCGCGCGCAGAGATTCGGCGGCGCTGGTGTGTCGCAGGATTCACCCATTATGCTTTATCGGGAAGCATAGTCTCTCTCGGCAAGGTGCCGTCATGTGAAGTGGACGGTGGGGAATCCTTTCACGAGTCCCGTTCGGACCTTGCACAACTCCGCCTGACCGTATCACTGGTGGAGCTGTATCGCCCGCACTCCGCTTGTTTCCTGCGTGCGCGTTGTGCAGGTCGGTCCATCATCATATGTGTTACGCACCATCATACCGGGGCCCAGGAGAATCACCTTCGTGATGATCTCGCTATACTAGCACCTTGTCGGTCGTTTGGGCCCCTCCGTTCCTTACCAGGAGGGTACTTGCACCCTCCAATTTTCTCGATCCAAGCGTTTGCGTCCAGCAAGTGCATCTATCATTACGATGTCTGCTGTCATCACTTCCAATTCTTTCAAAATTGTCACTGACATGTCATGCACAGCTCGGAGGATGGCTATTTCGAGATAGCACGGTATCGATTCACGAGCAACGGCACGAACCCAAGCTGCATCCAAGGCGTGATCGACTGGTCGCACGGAAACTACGTGCTGCAGCCCAACGGCTCGATCACGACAACGCCATTCGGCGACGGCTTCATGCAGGTGCAAGACGCCTGCGCGGCTGTGTCCAACCTCATCCAGGAGTACAACCAGACCGAATACTTCCCGCAGTGGAACATCTTCCTCGACTCCACGCTCGGCTACCAGCTCCAGCTCTACTACTACGACGGCTCAACGTACCCCCAGCAGAACCTGTACTCGACCACGCCGAACATGCTGCCGACGAGGAGCCTCCGCAACGCGACGACGACCGTCGGCAAGCGCGAGCTCGTCAAGCGGAGTGCGGCGCTGAGGGCGCGGGGCTGGGATTCGCTGACCGTCGTCGGCCTGACCGCGGCGATGTTGCTCGCGGGCGCGTCGTCGCTACTGCTGTGATGATGGTGGACAGGCGTACTCGCGTATAGCTTCCTCTTTGACCCCTTTTCTCCTGTCTTGTCATGCTAGTTACACTCGCACATTTTTTACGACCGGCTGTCGGACCGTTCGCATTAGCTACTCCTACTTCATGAGCGGATTGTACCTCGACCAGATGATACCCGTCGACTGCCTTCCGCGTCCGCTCGTTTGATCCCGAGATACACGAACGGTGGCTAAGTTACTGTATGACTACTTACAGACTGCCCAGTGGATGGCGAAGTGAGCCCCGCTCCAATAATCGTTCTTTGATCCCACATATCGGTCTTCGGATGCTTCAACGGGACCAGTCTGCGGAGGAGCAGATAAGAGCAGAACCCTTGGCTTCAGCGATATATATACTGGTTTTCCACGAGGCGGACCATCTCGTGTCGGTTAGTCGTTCACAACTGGCTCTACTAATAAGAGCGGGATACAGCATGTCATCCAACCAGGGTTCAAGTAAGCTCATCTACTTACTCGTCGTGGATGGATATTGATCGTCCATCCAGAAAGTCCAGTGCTCTACCAGCCACTAGTATTGGTGACCGACGATGGAGTCGTGTCAACAGGGCACGCGGGGCACGAACAGAAGACAATGCGTCGCAATGTGTTGTCGCCGGTGAAGTCCCTGCTCGGATTCTTGGTCGGGTCCTACATCGCTCTCTATCTTCTGTGCCGGTTCCAGCTCCTGCAACTGGATGCAGTCTGCTCAGGCCACACCTTCGGCTTCCAGTGTCACCGGCCAGTCGATGCCAAAGTCTCGACATTGCCGACACATTACGCCCTTCCGTCGGGCGACAAGATCCCTTCGGTGGCGCTTGGTACGGTGAATATCACACGACGGGACGTAAGATGTTGAACATCGTGTTGATCTAGGCGTCTGGCAGGCAGCTCAGGGAGAGGTCGGTGCGGCTGTAAAGGTCGCGCTCAAGGCGGGCTATAGACATATCGACGGCGCATGGAGGTATGAGGTGGGTGGTACTACTAGTAGTCCCGGCAGTAGGTGTGCAGGTCTGAACGGATCGACAGAACGAGGCGGAGGTCGGGCAAGCTATCAAGGAGAGTGGTGTCGCTCGCGAAGACATCTGGCTGACATCGAAGGTACGTATGTCTCGTGCTACATTGCACAACCGTTACATTGGTCAATGCTCGTCTCAGTTGTGGAATTGGTTCCACGCCCCGGAGGACGTTGAGCCTGCCCTCACAAGACGCTCAGCGATCTGCAGACCGACTATCTCGATCTCTACATCATCCATTGGTTACGATGGGCTTGACTGGCGTGCGTTAGTGCATCTGACGTGCCTGGTTAGGCCGATCGCGCTGAAGAAAGACACCTACGAGCTTGATGAAGCGCTCACTGCCGATCCATACCCGACTTGGAAGAAGCTCGAGGAGATGGTCGAGAAGGGAAAAGTGCGGAACATCGGTATCAGCAAGTGGGTACAGTGATTATCGTAAGTACAGGGTGCTTATGGACACCCCGACACTTTATGTAGCTTCAACATCCCGAGGTCAGTTGGTGCGCCGCTGATTAGCATGCATGCACTCATATTCATGAACCAGGATCAAGAACCTCACTGCTAACCCGCTGAAATACAAGCCCGCCGTGAACCAAGTCGAGCTCAACTATTGGAACCCGCAGCCGGAGCTGCTCAAGTGGTGTCAAGAGCACGATCTCCTCCTCGAGGCATACTCGCCTCTCGGAAGCAACAAACAGGTCAAGGAGACGCTTCAGCTCCCTGAAGTTCAAGAGATCGCGAATGAACTCAACATCACGCCTGCCCAGGCGATCATCTCCTGGCACGTCCAGCGCGGCGTGAGTGCTTATAAGTTCAACGTCGGATGCACTGATAGGGGAACTCGTTCAGACCGTCGTACTGCCGAAGAGCGTCACTCCCTCACGTGTCAAGGAGAACCTCCAAGGTCGAATGCCTTCTCTGCGATACACTGTCTGAGGCTGACATTTGTTCAGTCTTCGCGCTGCCGAAGATCTCTTTCAAGGTTGGAGGAGGCAGCGACGTCGCATCCGCCTCAGCGATATCAATCCCTCCAAGCGTACAACCTCCCTTCGATATCTTCGATGATTATCCTTACGACAAGTAGGAAAGATCAACGCAATGCAGGAGCGGGACTTGTGAGACAGTGTAAATGCTACTGCGGCACATAGTCAATTGACTTACTCGGTAACCACAGCATACAGCTGCGATCTACAATTAGCAACAGATATTTTTATGAGTTGTGGCTATTCAAACACGCTGTTCAGCTTATTCCATTCAAGCAACACATCCATACAACTCGTCTACTTGATAAGGGTCGATTACCTTCAACACCTACGCGGGTCGATAGATGCCCACCTTCAGAGACATCTCGGGTTTAGTGCTCTCTTCCCGCCGTGGGATAGCGCACTGCAGCAACGTTCCAGGCGATGGGTTTGTCGCTCAAGTCGAAATGAAGTGTGCCAGTAACACAGCCAACGACCTCTGTGTCATCATTAGCTTCAACGTCACTGGTGAGTGGCATATACTGACTCATTTCCATCTCGGAGAACTTGAAGCCGCTACATCAATTTCAGTCTCAGTCGAATGAGAAAGTAGAGGAACGAACATGCATGCTCTCTTTCCGGCCAAGAAAGTAACCTGTAACGTGCTTCGTTAGTCATCGGTTCAGTACGATGAGTCTCTAGAGGACCTACAGGTTGGAGTAAACACCTGGTAGACGTGCGTCCGTAACAGCGGACGGAAGTTGTGACCATCGCTGCGGTTTCCACTCGAGGCATCCGGGCCCCATAGGTCCTGTCTTACGTTCGACGCATACGTGCCGATAAGTATCTCCGTACCCTGCGGCACAAACAGCTCGTTCAGTGTCTGCCCGTCTGATGTGGTGATCGGCTGAGACAGCGGGATAACATTGTCCTTCTGGGCGCTGCATGAAGATGTGAGAGGACGGACCATCGCTCGACAGAAAGGCTCACACTCGAACGATGTTCGTAGCGGGTGGATAGCTATGGACTACATCAGTTCATGAAGCGGACCGTAGAGTGAGTGACGTCTCACTTACAGCCGTAAAGTCTCCCGACAAACGCTATCCAACAACGGAAGACCGTCGAGCTCATCGTAAGGAATCCCCTCGGCTGCACGGGCTTCGATAAGTTCTTCGCGCAACTTCTGCTGGACATCTTTGTTGATCGAGAGCAAGTGTAAAATACGGGCGAGCGTTGAAGATGTGGTCTCCAGCGCGGCAAATGTGAAGGTGCTGGTGATCACATCAGCTCTCCTTGTATCATGTAGAAGGCATAGACTTACGTTATCTGTGCAAGAACTTCTTCCTCTGGAAGCCGTTCGCTCTCATTGGCCGCCATGTTAGCTCGCACTGGTAAGGTGGGACTTTTCAACTCGACATCGGCGATGACAACCTTCATTACTCACTCAGAATGCTCATTATGTCCTTCCCCTCGGCGAGCTGCTTACTGACTACCTCGTCTCCTTGTCGCAGCACAGCCTTCTTCGCTTCGTATATCTGCTCCGACCGACTGTTGATCGTGTCGACGAGGTCGACGACTTGCCGTATGATCCACGTCCTCGGAAGAAGATCCACAAGTATGCGTCTAAACCAGGCGGGTCCGAGGATCCTCAGGTATGGAATAAAACGGCGCAGTACTGCTAGGTCCACCATCTTCGGACTATCCACGTAGGAAGAAAAATGAATGGACATCAGACTCGAGTCATGACGGTGATAGAAGGGAGCCGCACTTGAAGGCTTTGATAGCGTCCGCAAATGGGTCACGCTTGTCCTCGACGAGAGGATCAAAAGAATACCCAAGACCGCCTTGACCGATCAGTTCGAGTGCAACGCGTACTGTCCATCCGAGGACGTCCATTTCAGATTTGCCGCCTTCAATGGTCGTTCGCATGGCATCTCGTAGCTAGTGATTGTTCAGAATCTGCATGCACAAGTTTCGAGTTTTTGCTTACCTTGTATACGACATTGTAGAAGATCGGGAGCATGCGACGCATATGAGTTATCGAGAACACTGGGTTGAGTAGCTTTCGTTGTTTCGCGTGATATTGCCCTAGATCCAATTTGAGTAGCGGAGGCTGGAGTAAAGAACTTTGCGGGACTTACCCTCCGTGGCTAATAACCTGGTCCAAACAAGATGCGACCCAGCCTATATCGCAACGGCAGTCAATTCGTTAGGGTATATAGTCTTGTTACTACCGTACTCAATGAAGGCTCTGCTTTCTTGGTAGATCGGCTCTTCCTTGATTAGTATGGCATGTAGGGCCTTTGGGTCCGATACATAAAGGATTGGTCGCTAGATGCCAAAATCAGTTGAAGGGCTCGGGCGAAGCAACAAGTACAGCCGTAACGCGTACTCCCATCATTCCGTGTATCTTGACCACAGAACCGTATTCTAGCGCAACATGTTTCTGAAAGCCGTCCCCTTCGCGGCTGAACCATTGCTTAAGGTTCCCTGATACAAACGATTAATTGGCCTAGTACCACAGGTGGACAGAATCGCTTCACCTGTCACGAAGGAGCTAGATCGCGGGCCGCGCAGCTTGCGAAGGCTCGCAAATACGAGGCGCGAGCGGATTGCTCGCCATAAAATCCAAGTAATAACGAGGGCTATCAGAGCCTGAGAAAGGGCGCCCTCCGGCATGAGGGACTTCAGCATTAATCGACGGAAGGGCGGGAAGGAGGAGGGGTGGGGAAACCTCTGCGGCATTCAAGTTCATGCTGCTCATATGGGCGTCGAACGGTCTTTCGGGCGCCCGTTCTCGGCCAGCTTTCCTCGTGCTTCATGTCGGTACCGGTGTGTTGAGTGATCGGCCGCTGTGCTCTGCAGTCTAAGCGCCGCGGTGCTACGCTTGAAACACGTTACAGTGAAGCAGTAGTTTTGATGATAGAACATCGAACCCGCGGGAGGCCGAGGTCATGCATGCCACATAAGCACGACGACGTAACTGTGAGGCTCAGACGACTGAAGTGTTCAATTGTCAGCTCAGATAGAACTCCCAATCGATGTCGGTATTATACAGTACCTTAGACAGTTCATATTTTGCCGTGCGTAGTGATTCAAGTACTTACATACGTAAGTACTCACCTCTCCCGAGCCATCGCGCGCGGCGCATTGCGAAGGGAGACATCCCGGAGTGTGAGTGTTGCGTGTTTTCATGCACATTGATTCAGATATGCGCGTGAACCAGAGTCGATGCCATAGATAGAACCAATGAGTAAGTAGTTTCGAATAAGGAGGACGCGCCGCGAGCGCTGGCTGGCACTCGATACGATGCACGTGCACATCGCTACAATATATGATACGTCAGCCTGCTACCAGCAGTTGACCACCAGTGCTACTTGTTAGAATACATCTTCTCTGGTGCTGCTATATAATGAGGCTTGAACTCTACGAGCGGGTGCGAAATCACTTCTGGGCTCAAAGCTAACTTATGCGGTGCAAGTGACCCAATGTGCAAGAACGCTGACCTTCAAGCTTCCGGTTCGTAGAATGCCCGTTGCGCGGCCGCTGGCTATACCCCAGACCTCATTGGACTGCAGTCTCGTAACTCTCGTTGAGACCGCCCTGGGATGCGTTTTGTTGGGTAAGCACGACTGGTCAAACCACAGGGATACTCGCTCACCTCGAAACGTTCAAGAATAGCTTCCGGTAAGCAGCTGTTCGCATTCTTCATTCTGAACACCTGTAAATTGCCCTTCTGGCAGAGCAGGCTCAAGCGCGTCGACTGCTTGTGCCGACGAAGGGTATTCCGAATGTCGATCAGGGTATCGCGGAGCTTGACAAAATCATTCTGGAGTTCTTCGGCAACCTCGCGCATTTCTGGATCGTCCACACCCAACATTCGCACCTGGCGGAACAATCCTTGTTCGTGACTAGCCGCGTATAGATGAGGTGTTTGCGAGAGGAAGAGCTGTGGGTACGTCTCCTTCCATTTCATCTTCTTGCCTGTCTTGATTTCAACGATGTCGGCCTGCGGTATCTGGCCCCCCGCGTTAACGACATTCACATAACTCTTGTCAGCGTGTGTCATTGGTTCCGTTGTCGCAGAATGACCACCGTTTGTGATGAGCGGAGAATTTGATGGGCTAGCGGAAGCAGTATACGCATCCACTTCGAAACCGACTACCATGGTCAACCCCCCAAAATTCTATCATTCGATTAGCATTCGATAAACCTAGCTCATGACGCCTGGCCGCTCACGTATTTGACCAGACGGGTATGAGCGGTCATGTTCAAGTTCTCGCATCCCGGAGCGACGCCAGTACTCTCGTGCTCGAAGTTTCTCCCGTATCCCGGATGTCGGCTGTCGCTCTTCATCCGCATTCGCTCGACCCACTGACCGAACACAACAGTGCGCTCTCCGGCAAGCTGTGTGTCTATCCTGAAGTCGTCCGGTTTTGACTCCCTCGTCCACCGAAGCAGCTTCCGCAACGTGTTACGGCTTGTGATGAAGTCGACGCTGCCCCAGTCCATTGCCTGACCCGTCACAGTGTCGATGGCGTAGAACCACGGGAGCATAGGATAAGACGGCACCCTCTGTCCATCCTCGTAGGTGCAGAATGTTCCCGCGTCAGGTGGAACTTGGTACGGTATGTCCCGGTTCAACCACCTACGAGGCGACCCTAGGGCGATGATCAGTGAAGTACAGTACTTCCGCTGATACAACAACAGCTGAGTACCTGGGACGACGATTGTTGGTTTCTTCTGGTCAAGCCAATTATAGGATCCGATATACTCCACGTCCCGTATAGTTACGGATTCTGTCGCCCTTGTTTCAGGCTTCTGCAAGGTCTCCAACTCTGGTCTCTCGAGGCCATCAAGTATATTGAGCCTGAGCGGGCGGAACTGCTGTGTACGAGATGGTTTGGTGTTACCACGGTGAGTGGTGCTGGTGGCCATCGTCTGGTAACGGATGGTGTGCAGGTGAGGACGAGGATGTCCCACGATAGCTGGCTCGACGGCTGATGTAGTTAGCATGGGGTCAGTTGACACCCACATGAGATGGGCATATTCACATTGCTCCCATCGAAGTGTGCCTTCTATCTACGCCGTGTATCCGAAGGCAACTAATTTCGAAACTGCTTCGGAAACCAGACACGCGACGAATTCCCGCTTGATATTGTTATTATACATGTACATGTTCGGCGCGGAGAATCAATAACAGAACGACAGCTTCTCTCTGATGGTACGTAGTTGTACAATGAGTGGCAACCGAGAACAACACGACGGCGCAACCCTTTCTGGGGACTTACACGCTTTCAAATCAAAGACCTTCGAATCGCCTGAGCGTGTTCTCGGGAAGGCAGCTCTCCGAGGACTTCCTCTCGAAGGCCTGGAGAGCGCCGTCCCGGAACACCAAGCTCAGCCTTCCCCGTTCTCCGTGCTCGACGACGAGATCCTGGATGGTCTGCAGAGCAGCTCTCAGCTTCCTGAAGCTGCCCTGCAGCCGCGCTTCTATCCTCTGCATCTCCGCGTCCTCCAAAGCACGCTTCGTAATTTCCTCGAAATTGCCGCGGCTGTGCACCGCGAGGTAATGGTTCGGCGTCTGCGAAAGGAATAGCTGAGGGTACGCCTCGATCCAGTCGTAATTCATGGCATTGTTACGCGAACGCGTCGTCATCTCGATGAGCGAGCTTTGCGGGACGAGTGTACCGGCCCGCATGACGTCGAGCTCGGCGGTAGAGATGTCCTTGTCGATGTCCGGGCCGTTGCTTGCACCAGACGCAACCGCCAATCCGGACAACATGCTGGACAGGCTGTCCACATCGGTGGAGGCGGTCTGGCTCCGCGGGGCCGACTCTGACGTCGCAGTAGGAATGCAAGCATCCACTTCAAACCGGACGACCATGGTCAGACCATCAAAATCCTACATAAGAACGAGTTAGAGTGGTTGACCTTATATGAGAGAACAACTCACATATTTGACGATGCGATGGTAGCCGCTAGCTTGCGCGCAACCGGGCGCTTTGTTCGTGCTCTCGCGTTCGAAACTGAACCCGTAAGTCGAATATTGCATGCTTGGCATCTCTCTCGTCTTCTTCTCCCAGCGGTTCAAGAGCACCGTACGCCTGCCGGCCAACTGAGTGTCGATCCTGAACTCCTTGGCGGTGCCGTCTTCGTTGATCCAGCGCAACAGCTTTCGAAGACCATTGCGATCGGTGACAAAGTCAACTGCACTCCAGTCAAAGGATCGCCCTTATCCTCCGACATAATGTCCACAGCGCGCACTAGGGGATATAACGGATAGGAAGGCATGTGGTAGCCGGTCTGGTCCACGTACCGGACACCGCTGTCTCGCGGCACCCGGTACGGCAAGGAACGGCCTCGCCAGAGTGGAGGAGATCCTAGTGCAGATGGTATACTCAGTGAAGAACCGTACTCCCAACTAGGGTAGCATGTAGACGTACCGGGAACGATGATGGTAGGCTTGCTGGAATTGGTCCAGTTGAATGACCCGATGTACTCGAACTGTTTGATTGCGATGACCTTCCCTGAGGTCGTAGCGGGCTTTGCGATTGTTTTAACAGGCGTAGAAGATAAGCCTTCAGAGAGCGTGCGCTCCGGTGGCAACGAAGACAACGCAGGAGAACTTGCGACCTGACCACCGGAGGCCCCGCCGCGGCGAGCATACTCTCCACGCCGATATTGGTGAAATGTTCTGGCATGACTAGTATGAGGATGCGGGGTCTTCGCCGACTGCAAGTGTTCGACGTGACGGCAGACTGAGGATCCAGACGAGCCTTAGAGGATAGTTATAGTATGGCTCGGACACAAACCTTGTGAGGCCGCTATGCTTCCCCGCTATCTAAAGTTGAAGGGTTCAATTAGTGCGGTTGATAGAGAGCACGAGGCGTTCTCATGGCCCAGACAAGGGACAGAAGCAGCCCCAACAGCTTAAGGTTCAAGTTCACTGCGGAGGCGGCGGTACGTTGGCCGTCCTTTGGTCATCTTCGCCGAGTCGCCGCAAGTTCCACAGTGTACATCTACAAGATCAGCAGACTACGGTGAGAACAGCCTAAGCAAAATAACGACGCGGAGTCAGCCTCGAGGTGATCCAGTGAATTATCAACATACCGTTCTTATACAGGACTCTCTAGCTACAGTTGGCCGGAGAGGTACGACAGCTGCAAATGGCTGTGGACAGCTGGCAGTGGAAGCCATCACTTGTAGGTTGAACGGCACCAGCGCACGAGATTTGAAGACATTGAAGTATCGATTGCGCCGTGTACCGATGCTATGTACTGTGGAATCGATTTACGTGGACTACGGGTCACAGATGTCTTTAATAACTTCTGGACGCTAGCAAATTCGCTGTGAACAAACCATGACTTAAAGAAGAGTCGACGTGATGTGATGCGCTTACCGTGAATCGTTGCAAGATCTCCGACGGTAGGCAGCTAGCCTGCGAAGTCCTCTCGTAGACTCAAGGCAGCGACCGTATTCGGTTCATAGACAAGGTAGATGGCCGTGGTGACCATGCTCGACAACAAGGCTTGTATGGTTCGTAGGACATCCCGCAGTTGCGGAAGTCGCCTGCAATGCCGCCTCAACGACAGAAGTGCCTCCTCCGCTCGCGCTCGTTCCGATTGCTGAATTCCCGTGGTATGATCCCGGTAGAGATACGGGATTGACCAAATACAGCTGGGGTACGTGCTCGTCCACGTTTTCGGCTTGCTTTGAGTTCTATCAACGATGTTTGCGGGACTCATGCCTGTCCGTATGATCTTCATGGGGTGTTGCCTTCGAAGCCGGGAGAGCCAGGAGCCGAACGTTTGGATAGCGTGCGATTGGATCTGACGTCGCGGAACACGTGGAGTCCAATGTCGTAGTTGTCGCGATGCACGCATCCACTTCGTACGAGACGATCATTTCAGCCCCCAAACACTTCATACGTATCAGCGACTATATGCAGTCATGCGCGGAGAGTATGACGCACATATGAACTGATGCGATAATGTCCAGTGGTGCCTTCGCAGCCCGGAGCCGGCTGCGTGCTTTCATGCTCGAAGCTGAACCCGTAACTTCTCCATCCACCCAAAGCTGAGTATCTTCCTCCGGTTGATTCAGAAAGACCGTTCGCTCCCGGCGAACTCGAGGTCAATCCTGAAGGCTCTCCCTGCGTATCCACCTGCCCACCCCAGCAACTTCCGTAATGCATTCCTGTCGGTGATAAAATCGATGTTTGGCCAGTCCACGTGGACTCCATTCTCTCCCGTCATGATATCAATCGCATTCATACGGGCTAGGTTCTGGAGGGAAGGAGGCACCCTGTATGCGTCCTCGAATGCAAACATGTCCCGGTCGAGCGACAATGTGTACGGAGCACCTCTATCGCACCACAACGGCGGTGAACCTAGTGTATATATTGAGCAGCCAGTCGGTGTACGGCAATCTTGATGTGGCATCACACACCTGGGACGAGAATTATGGGTTCTGCAGAATCGACCCAGTTGTACGAACCGATATACACCACGTTCTCGACCATGGACTCGGAGACACATTCATTAAGATTGGAGTCGGCGACGGTATCAGTGGGGCTATCCAAGACCATCAGGGGGGTCTCCTCTAGACCACTATGAAGCATGTCCTGCTCGACTTGTTTCGCCGTATAGCTGCCCTCCCTGCCATCCCCAGCTGTCTGCCAGACGGTTGAGGCCATGAGAAGATAAGAGGGCGACGTAGAGTAGAGGGATGCTGACCTCCGCAGATAAGCTATACATTATATGTCGATCGATGGACGAATAGGCTTCTATGCACCCGTTTCAGCGAGACGCGCCTGTCAGCGTTTGCCTCCTGACATGCTTTCCCCGCGTGCCGTCTACGGGGTATGACGAGGATCCGCAGCATTTCATGTAGACCTCGACTTGATTTTTAGTGCAAGCACAGATCAGAACGTGGACGTCTGCATCGAAGACAATGCTCTGCAAGCTCTGCAGTAAGAAAACAATTAGCGGTTTGCAGCAACAACGAACGCAAAAGGTACATAGAGTCGACGCATATGGATAATACAGTTCCTTCTCATCCGGGGCAATCATAGCCCTTCAAACCGCCTCAGCATGGTATCGGGAAGGCAACTCTCTTGAGTCTTCCGTCCGAAGACCCGGAGAGTGCTGTCCTCGAAGACCAGGCTGAGCCTGCCCCTGTCCCCGTGTTCGACGACGAGGTCTTGGATAGCCCGAAGGGCAGACCTCAGTTTCTTGAAGTCGCCCCGCAGCTTTGCCTCGATGCGCTTCATCTCCGGATCGTCCAACGCGCGCTTTCGCACTTCCGTAAAGTTGCCTTGGTTGTGGACGGCCAAGTAACGCCACTGTGTCTGCGAGAAGTAGAGCTGCGGGTACGTGCCCACCCAGTCGTACTTCACGCCATTCTGCCCCGAGCCTGAGCGAGTCGTGATCTCGGTGAGCGCGCCCTGGGGACGACGGGCACGGCCGCTCGGATGACGTCGAGCTCCGCAGTCGACGCATCTCTGTCAACATCGAAGCCTCGTTTCTCGCCAGACTTCATGCTCATAGCGGACAGGTTCGATGCGAGGCTGTTCACGTCCGGCGTAGGTGGTTGTTGTGGAGCCTGTGTCGATGCGTCCGTATTAGGTGGGACACAAGCATCCACTGAGAAGCGGACAACCATAGTGAGACCGCCGAAGCCTACACCATGTTAGTTGATACACCATAAGAAAGAAGAACATGTACATATTCACAATACGGTGGTGTCCGATAGTCGGTATATCCTCTTGTCCTGGCACGCAATACGTGCTCTCGCGCTGAAAGCTTATCGGCCACTGGCCGGATGCGTGGTTCTCCTTCGTTCGCTTCTCCCAGCGATTTAGAAGGACAGTCCGTCGCCCAGCTAACTGCATGTCAATCCTGAATGCATAGCCCTCGCCTTGGATCCACACGAGCAGGTTTGGATGCTGTTACGATCGTCACGAAATCGACCGTGCTCCAGTCAAATCTCGCCTGCTCCTTGACTCAATCACTGCGCGCATCATGGAAAGAGTCAAGAGCCCATGCGTTCCCCGCTTGGTCAACAAATTGATCCTTGGTATCGAGGGGGACCGAATATGGGAGAGGACGGTCGCGCCAGTATGCAGGAGAACCTATGTAGCTGGTTTTCACTGTGATGTCTGTATGCCAACTACTATTGCGACGTACCTGGCACGACCACCGTCGGCTTCCTCGCCTCGACCCAGCTATACGAGCCGACGTATTCCAGGTCTTGATGGCGATGGCAATGTCGTCATCTGTGATATTCGTAGGCTTCTCCACGACCGCAACGGGCTCAGTGTAGAGCTCCTCCATCAGGGCATCATCGGAGGCATGCGAGTGTGCTGCACCGAAGTATCCTCCCCGACTTCGAGGATATCCAGGTAGATAATCCGCCATAGTAATAAGACTTCGTGAGGGTTGATTGTGCTTTGCCGTGCTACCGAGCGGGGTCCACTTGCAAGCAGACTGCTCGGCGTATATATGTGCCAGGAGATGATCGATGATTCCTCAAACCTTCATTCTTCTGTTCTCTCAGCGAACGCCTTGATAGAGTTTACTGAGCGCTCGACGATTTGCATGCGGCGCCCTCATGTGGTGCGGTGGACACTGCTAAAGAGGAGAAGTCATCCTTGAAGCTGGAAGGTTCGGTCACCCTGACGCGGATAAAGTAAGATGGACCTTGCTCGTTGTCAGCTGGTACATGCTATACGATTTTGTGGTGAAGAGGCTACCTGAGCTCTTTGAATTAGCAGCCATATCGTATCCGCACCGAGAGTTGTGAAGGGCACGATACATACGTGGCGTCGATCCAAGTCCGACCTGCAGGAAGTAACGGGGCGCCCGAGCTTTCTACCTGGCAAAGTGGGAAGGCTGTTCGCCGCTTGGCCTGTATATCTCTGTGTAGAGCAGATTAGAACGAATTCCAAGAGACGAGGTTATGCGAGAATAGACTTACCGGGCAGCTTTACCACCAGCTTTCATAACGTTGACCCTTACAGTCGTCCCATCGCAAGCCTAAATGTGCCAGAGGCTGCATAGATAAGCCACTCTTCCATAGCCAGGTTATGTATATACACAGACCCAGCGAGACATAACCCAAAGCACCTCGCCATGATGGTAAATCGGTGAGATGATCACGACGAACGGTGCGGGCGTGGAACCGAAGTCGCCGAGCTGGCACAGCCGCCTGCGGCCATCACTCGGCAACACGGGCCGGGCCGTCACCGAGTGATCGGAGTGAGCGCCTGCGGCCTTTCGATCTGATCTCATCGTCTCCGCGGCAAATTGTGGCTGGGTCTCTCTGGCCTGATGATTGACTCGACACCCACCCTCCGTATTTCTTGACGCTTACCTCCATCTCGGCGTGCTTCACCGCGCGTATCAGACCCTCACACACCGGCACTCTCGCCTGCCGCAAAAACCCTTCATAAAATGAGTGCGTCAGGGCCCGAAGTGCTCGCCGAACCCGCTCGCTGAACCATGCTAGATGTCGATGCGCTGAACGGCCGACTTCTGTTCGCGATCCCCAAGAAAGGTCGGGATCTGGTGGTGTCTGGCAGAAGGGCAGATTTCAGACAATATCCTCTTGATTTACAGGGCGGTTGCACGACAAGTGCTTGGAACTGTTGGCAGGTGAACGCCTTTCGTCTCTGACACGCTTTACTGAGCATTGACACCATTGCAGGTGCCGACATCCATTCCGTAAGGACCACCGGCTAGACGTATGTCTCGTGAAGAACCACAACATGGCATTGTAAGGCACCTCTTGGCTAGGCCGTCCACTGTCCTCACCACCTACCAGGGTCTTCCTACCCGCGTCCGACATCCCCTCATTCGTCGGGAAGGGTAACGTCGACCTCGGATCACCGGCCAGGACGTGATCAAGGAGTCCCAAATGCAGCAGCACGTCACCGAGGTCCTCCCGCTCAACTTCGGCAAATGCGCGCTGCAGGTGCAGGTCCCGGAGGCGGGGCCAGTCCAGTCCGTCGAGCAACTCACGGGCAAGCGCGTCGTTACCTCCTTCGAGGTCCTCTCTGGCGAGTACTTCGGGAGGCTCGACGACCAGCTCGGCCTCGTCGGCGACAAGAAGACGAGGATTGAATACGTCGGCGGCAGTGTTGAGGCGGCGTGCGCGCTCGGGCTCGCTGACGGTATCGGTATGTACTGCCCCTGCGCGCCGATGATCCGTCTGTGTTCCGAAGCTCATGCCGTCCTCTGCAGTTGATCTCGTAGGTGCGTACCTACGATAAAACCGGAGGCAGTGGTCTCTGTCGTCGCTCGGCGCATCACTTATCCTTGCCGGCAGAGTCTGGCGATACGATGCGCGCGGCGGGCCTGCACGCCATCGCGACGCTCCTGCAGACCGAGGCGGTGCTCATCAAGTCGAGCACGCCGAAGCACGAGTCGCTCGACCCGCTCATCAAGCTGATCACCGCCCGCATCGCCGGCGTTGTCGCCGCGGGCAAGTACGTCGTCTGCGAGTACAACATCACCCGCGCGAAGCTGCACGACGCGACCACCATACGCCCGGCCGCCGTGCGCCCACAATCAGCCCGCTCGAGGACGAGGCGTGGGTCGCGGTGAGCAGCATGGTCGAGAAGAAGCGCATAGCGGACGTCATGGACGAACTCGTCAAGATGGGGCCGAGACATACTCATCTTCAATCTCGACAACTGCAGAGTATAGGCGCCGGACCGTGGTCACGTACGCTGTCGGCAGCAAGGACTGTAGATCTAGTATTTATTGCATACATATTGCTCATGAAGTGTTGAATGTGCAGTGTATAACATGTTTTTGGGGTGGAAAGCGTATACACTCGTGGAGCGCTCTCACATCGGCCAGGACTCACTATGCAAAAGCCGACGCGGGTCGACGTGCAGACGTCGGACTCGGAGTAGGCAAGGGACGCCTTCGTGTTCCATGCGGGCTCACCATACAGGGCCCGGTGGTCCTGGCACTGGCAACGGTTGCGCTCCGGGCGTCGGTGGGCCAGCAGAGCGAGACCGCCCATGGTGCTGGGTCCGCGATTGCTGTTGCGGCGGGAACAGCTGTGCACCCGCCTGCTTCTGCTTCGAGTAGAACGCGAAGAGGTCCCCGATCTGCTGCTCCAACCCCTGCCGCTCTCGCTGCAGACGGCTGACCTCCTGCGTCATGAGCATCACTTCACGCGTGAGCTCTTTCTTGAAGTGCTCGACGTGCACTGGGGCGTTGTGTGTTGGGTGAGTCGACTCTTATGAATGAGAGAAAGGGGGGCGCTCACTCTGGACGTTGATCTGGGTGGCCTCTTTCATAGCTTCGACGAAGCGGAGGCGCTCCCCCCGGATCTCGTTGGATAGCTCTGGTGCTCTCTGGTCAGCCGGGACATGTGATCAGACTGCCGTGCCTACCCGTTCCAAGCGAGCGCAGCATGCGCTCCTGGTCTTGTCGTTGGCGGTCAATGAGACCCACTACCGACTCAGTCGCTGCGGACGATCGTCAACAACTACGCCACAGTGACATGAACTGACCACGTACTGAGCATGTTCCGCGCCTCAGCGTTCTTCTTGAGGTCCTCGTGCACGGCCGCAATGAGGCCGTTGACGGCGGCATGGAGGGCAACCGAGCCTTCCTCCTTGCCCTTCGCCTCAACCAAGAGCTTGCGGACATCCGCCAGTAGACTGCCCTGCGGAGGCGTTCCTGGCCGTCTTCCGCGGGCTCCTGGAGCTCAGCGACGGGCCCGAGCTCCTTGCAGAGCATCTGAATGCCCGCTGCGACGTTCTCTATCTGGGAGGTTCCGTGGTTGACAAAGCCTCGAGCCACTACAGCAAGCCATCAATACTCCGTTCTCAGCGGGAAGTGTAAGTCACGGTGACCCACCGAGTTCAGCTCGTTCAGGTAGCGGATGCTGTCGGTCTGCTGCTCCGTATGTGATGACCACTGTTCTTGGGCGCCTTGCAGCAAGGATAGGATTTCCGCGGCCTGCAGTTAGATGAGTAGAGCGCCTGAACAAGTACAGATCGCGGCGTACCTCTCCATTATCGCCCGTAGGCTGACCAGCGCTCGGCTCACGGTCGTGCAGGTTCTGACACAGAGTCGCCAGAGCCTCCAATTTCATATGCATTTCGTTCAGCTTGTCGGAACTAGCAAGGCCAGTGGGGGACTGTGTCGTTCCATGTGCTCCACTTTGGATCTCGAGCCGAAGTTCATCCAGCTTGGTGAAAACGCTGGATAGGTCGATGGCATCCGTCGCGCTAGCTCTCCCCTGTCGGGAGACTTGGTCCAAGATCGCATTCACCTTGCTTTGAATCTCCCCTAGCGCTCCATAGTCGGCGGGCTGAGTGTCAGAGTTCCTGTTCCTCTCGGAAGATCTCGCCCTCGCCACCGGAGTGTTTGGGCTCTGGTTCCGCTCACAAGTCGTCTGAGGAATCGGGGGCAACGTCCTGGTTCGTCCTCAAAGTCACCCTGACAAGCGGAGGAGGCAGCTCCGAGGTTCCTCGCGCAGGTGCACAGGCACGTGTGAGAGATCCCGCGTTCCTCCCTAACAGCGACGGGTGTCTTCATGGAGCCTGCATCCGTATCAAGTCGAATCATAGGTCGCCTAGCCGTACTTGGTACGCCACCCTCTGACGGGGCCTGGGTTGGAGTCAGGAAGGCCGGATCACGACTTCGTCGTCCGAGGAGTATCTCGACGCAGGTGAAAAGAGGTCCTGGGCGAGGGGCGGAGGTTTGAGGAAGGTGGAGGTCGCGGGAGTGCGTGCTGGGCTAGAAGGTGCGACGGAAGTCAGACGGCCTGAACACGCAGAGAGCGGCGAGTCAATCGGTGTGTCGCGGTAGCTATCGACGAGCGAGTCCATGACTCCAGACGCAGAGGTAGCCTGGCGATGCAAGCCGCTGCTGTCGGGTCCGTATCGCAGAGATCTGGCACGGGAAGCCGTTGGCGATGCGGCGGACAAGGGAGATCCTCGCACAGGTGACGGGCTTCCGGTCGGATTCTCCAGTTGTGCCAACCGTTGCCTGACCATGGACCGTTTGTCGAGATTCATGATGGATGGGCTCTGACTACGCGTCGGGGTTGTGGGTGTCTTGCTAGGCGTTGTGGGTGGGCGTGGAAGCGGAGAAAGCTTAGGAGCGCCGGAAGAGGTGAGGGGACGAATGGAACTAGACGGGATCTGGATGGAAAGCTTCGGGGCTGACGGCTTCTCGGAAGCCTGAGGGATGTCGGGGAGAGCACGGTCCACGTTGAGGGTAGATCCTGCTGTGATAGTCGAGCGAGCAGACATGGCACTGCTACGCCCGCTTGCAGCTGAGCGAGGGTCAGTGCCAGTGGTGTTCTCAGCTCCATTGCTGGCGGCCATGACGGACTGGGTGCGCCTGACCGCAATGCTTGCTGCCTCACTTCGCTCTTCTTGGGCTTCCAGTATTGCATCCCTTGGTAGCGTCGTGAGCATAGCCTACGAGCAGTCCGCGAGGAACATACCATATCTTGCTCACCCACGCCGCTCGCTCTCCGACGGAGCGGACAGCGAGCTTCTCCCTTGGCCGCCCCTCAAACTGGAGCTCAAATATCTTCCAGACCTGACGGTCACCACCTTCCGCGCTCTGCGACGGCAACATCGCTCGCTCGCTCGGGTCCAGTTCCGTCGAGGATAACGAGCGCACATCGGCGCATTCCCGGAATGCGATGATGTTCGTTGAAGGGTGACCGCCCGAAGTCTCCGAAGTTAGCAGGAGGTGAGTGCTGTGCAGCATCGCCGTGCAGTGCGTCCAGACCGGGTGTAAACCCGCAGAGGACGTCGGTGGGCGAGACAGGTAGAGAACCGGCCCAGAGTGGCGAGCAGTCGTAGGCGAGATAGGTGTCTTGCATATGTTGAGAGGCCCCCGAATTTCAAGTTCACTGACTCGCGGTACGCTAAGCGTCGAAGGACGGTCGCGGGAAGTAGATACGCTTATTCGCGAAGAGTTGATACGCTCTTGGAGCACTTGCCCGCCTACGCGCCCAGCAACAGTGGAGAGCTCCCCGGCAGTCTTGCCAGTACTCTTTTTGAAAACCGACAGGAAGCTCCGGATCGATTGTCGTATGGGCGAGCGCTTGTTTGTCTTCTCGATTGCAGGATATGCGCCGGGACGTAAGCTGGGTGTTTCTAGTCGATGACCCGACGGAGCTTTCGTGGGTGACATAGACTCGAAACGACCAATGAGCTCTTTGGTGGTTCCCCGCCGCGAGAGGCCAGCTGATGGTGAATCCGTTGAAGGGTCTCTTGGAAGAGAGAAATACGGCCCATAAGGCTCCTCGCTAATGATCTGTAGTGCAGACTCGCGAGTGAGGTATTGTCCGTTAGACCCAGGGGTGGTTGACGCAATATGTACTCCGTCGGCCGCATTTGCAGTTATTCCATGCGTACGCTCGAATTTGCCGGCTGTGCCAACAAGACCTTCATCCATGGGCGTTACTAGTGGATTGCTGGCTTGGCTGCATGTACTAGCCCGTGTCATAGGTGGATGAGAATAGAGTGAGAAGATTTCGGAAGACGCATCGTAAGCTCCGGACATTGCAGTAGCAAGCAAACCAGGATGTATAAACCTATCATCGACTCTGATGCTATATTTCAGTCACAACCACCAGTCAGGAACTCAACGGAGTACCTTCAATTTGTCCCGAGTCATTGATGCATAGTCGCAATTTCTACCATCTTGGCCACGGGTGTACACATCGCAACATAAAAATCGCCCCTTCACCGAATACAGCTGGGCTGAGACCAGTCCTCAGGATGTCGTGTCCCGCGGACCTGAGTTTAGCACAGTCATATAGGTGCGCTTTGAAACACATTTTCTAGACCACAGATACACTGGCTGTCTTTTTCTTGTGTTCTGAGAGTATCAGCGTTCCGTAAGGCATGTGCATGGCGCGATGTGAGAGTCGAATTTGTGTTCCAAGCTTGGAACGTTCACTGCCAGTGCCAGTGGCCAGTGGCCAGTCTGAGCCGACGCCTGCCAGCGCTCGCGGCGCTCAGATCTCAGATCTCAGATTCAACCTCCTCGTCCTCGTCCTCGGTCTTGATCATGAGCTTGAACTTTTGAACGTTTGAACGCTCGAAGCTTGGCTAGGATTCTCGAAGCTTTAGAGGAGCTAGTTCTTACTTTATTAGCTGAGACAGCCGTACAGTACTCACTGCATACACGTCCGTCACATTACAGTAAGACCATTGGGCGTTGATGCCGGGATACACCAATCAGAATAATGACCGTCCGGTGCAGAATGTACTACTCATTGTCCAGCAGTTTCACGCGCCCCCACAGCACCAACTTTCGCAAATAGACATACTCGGAAGTACGCATGCGTCATCTCCGCCTGGTTCCCGTACGCCATGTATTGCTGCTTGACGAAGTTGACTTGAGGTGTATCAGTGACCCACGTCACGTCCAGGTCAGGTTTGTCAAACTTCGTCTTGGTGAGTAGTTGGCCTTCGTACTCGTCGCGAAGGTACTCGACCAACGAGTCTTCCACCATTGCGCCGTCGAAATTGACGACCTGCTTGCAAAGGATATCCACCACGTCGTTCGAATAATTCTCTTGACGCCGGTAGACAACGCCCAGGTAGTTCTTCAGCTTGAGGTCATCACAGAGTTGTTTGAGCACAGCGTCCCCTCCTTTGAGGAACTGCTGCAGAACACTGAGCTGCTTTCGCTTCCCTATCGACTTGTCGAGCGGATACTGGTGGTGCAATCCGAAGCCGAGACATCCTCCATCACGTAGAAACGTCCGTTTGGCCAAGAGGACCGTGAACGCAGACTCCAACGCAGACCGATGAGCGGGGATAGGGGTTCCAACAGGTCTGGTCAACGGCTGGGCGTCCTGTGCGAAGTACAGGTTGTACGTCACCGTGACGCGGCATCCCGTCTTCACCGGCAGAACCTCGTGCTCGACGTCGCTGTAGAAGGCGGCATAGACGACACAGGGCTCTGCTTGTTCCGAGATGAGCCCGCCGGAGTCGACCGTCCACTCTCCGCCCTCGTGGCGGAAAGTAAGTGCGCCGCCCTCGTGCTTCGTCGGGAAGGTGATAACCAGCGAACCGAACATACTCTCTTCGCGCGGAGTGTCTACGTGGGACTTGAAGAAAGAGCCTTCCTCTGTCGGCGTCGAGTTAACACATACTCGGCGATCACTGGTAGGCCAAAGGTACATACCGTACACGTTCAGCTTGTATAGTTCGGCGCGGATTGGCCGGGCGGCCCATTTGCCTTCGAACAGTTCCGTGCTGACAACATCGAGTAGCCCAGTCTCCACAGCATTGAACTGCATGGAGAAGTCCGACGAGTCAAGCTTCCCAGCTTTCCTGTAGGACTCGTCGAGTACGTCTGCCTGGTTCACGCCAAAGGTAGCCCTGTCGCAACTAGCTGAAAGAGACTTAAGCTCGTCCTGCGATGCGTTGGCGAAGTTCAAACGCCTCAATAATAGGTGTCGTGGCGTGGCATGTAGGTCGATGACACTCGAAGAGCTTACCGGACTGAATCTCTCTTCCCGTAGAAGAGCTCGCACTGGTTCGTCGATACAGGAAGAGAACCGAAGCACACTGGCGGCCTATTATCAATCGACGACGCCAACGTCTGGAGGAGGTCCTTGATACTGGTCATCTCGCACGCGTAGACTCTGCCAGTGGTATACGGCACAAAGGCACTGTCACTGGCATGAGTACCTTAGGCTTGTACCGAGTGAGCTAGGGTAAGTTCACCACGCACCGTTTGTCTCTGAGAGAAGTTGGGGAGAAGTTGACTACCTGGGACCCATCGTTCGCTTTATATACATTCTAGGGGGGCGAAGTATCTATGCGCCACGTCAGAGTCCTGGCGTCCGCATTTGGGAGAGAACAGGGGGGAGGAGGAAGATTGTTGCCAGATCGACTCACGCAGAGTCAACATCGCTCAATCGGGAAAGTGCCGTTGATTCGTCGGACGCCGCATCAGCAGAGTCCCTACCGACAGTGCCTTTCTTGCCGCAGAATCACTGACGATGTCGGACGAGGCTCAAGCGTTGAAGCTAAGCTCAGGCCTCACTCGCGGCATCGTGTCCATGCAGAGTGGTCAACAAATCAAACGCGTCCCACGCAGAGTCAACGCAGAGTCAACATCGCTGGAAAAGTATCGCTGCACCGGAAGCGACCACTTACATAAACACGAGGACGACGGCAGCAGGCTGCAGCAACACGACTTCGATTCAAACCTAAATCTACGCCTATGAGTCACCTGACCGCGTCGATGATGCCTTGAAGTAAGTAAGTACCGGTACCGGAAATCATAACTCAAGAACTTTAAGCAAGTACTGCCACTGAGCAGGAGGTTACTGGACCACGACGCTTGAAGCCTGAAGGTTCGATGTGGACACTATGGTACTTAGAAAATACAAAAGGTGCAGCGTAAGCCTTTAGCCATTTCTGTGGCGTTGTAACCAGTGAACTATGAAGTGAGTGGTGTCGCGGTCGTTCGGTGCTCACTGCTCTCCCTCATCTCCCTCAGTGGCATCATCCTCCGCCTCCACCGCCTCCTCTTCCTCTTCACCTTCGTCGTTGTCGTCATTTTCTTCGTCGCCGTCGCCGTCGTCATCAATCGTCTCCCGCGACCCCGCAGCACCGACCTTCACGAACAGACAGACTCGGAAATACGCATGAGTCATCTGCGCCTCGTTCCCGTATGCCATATATTGCTGCTTGACGAAGTTCACCCGGGGCGCGTGAGTGACCCATGCCACCTTCAGTCGCGCTTCTCAACCGCGTGTCAGTGAGCAGCTTGGCTCCGTAATCGTAACGGAGGTGGGCAACCAATGATCCCTCCACTGTCTCGTCGTCGAAGCTGACGACCTGCTTGCAGAGGATGTCGACTGCTTCCTTCTTGTACCCTTCGAAGCCCCGGTAGACGACGCGGAGGAAGTTCTTTAGCTTGAGGTCGTCGCAGAGCTGCTTGAGCGCGGCGTCTCCTCCTTTGAGGAACTTCTGCAGAGCGTTCAGCTGCGCTCGCTTCTGCTCGTCGTCGCCGGTGTGCTTTCGCTTTCTTGTCTTTCTTGTTTTGCCCCTCGACGTATCAAGCGGATACTGGTGGTGCAGTCCGAAGCCCAGACGGCCGCCTGCAGGTAGGAACGTCGGGTCGTCCAGAGGGCCCTGAACGCGGACTCTAGACCAGAGCGATGAGCTGGGATAGGGTCCCCGACAGGTCTGTCGAAGGGCGCGTCCTGAGGGACAAAGTACAGGTTGTATGTCACCGTCACGCGAGAGCCCGACGTCACAGGAAGGACCTCGTGCTCGACGTCGCTGTAGAACGCGGTGTAAACGACGCAGGGCGCTACTTTCTCGGAGATGAGCCTGCCGGAGTCGACCGTCCACTCTCCGCCCTCGTGCCGAAAAGTGAGCGCACCACCTTCGTGCTTCGTGGGGAAGGTGATGACCAGCGAGCCGAACATGTTCTCCTCGCGGGGAGTGTCCACGTGGGATTTGAAGAACGAACCCTCCTCTGTCGAGAACGAGTCAGCGCTCCGTAATGCAAACTCGGTGCTCAAACCATGAGTCCGCACCGTACACGTTCAGCTTGTACAGCTCGGCACGTATTGGCCGAGTAGCTCCCATGCCTTCGAACAGTTCCGTGCTGACGACGTCGAGAAGCCCAGCCTCCAAGGCATTGAACTTCATGGAGAAATGCGATTCATCGAGCTTCCCAGCCTTTCTGTACGACTCGTCCAATACGTCTTCCTGGTTCACGCCGAAGGTGGCCCGGTCGCAAATCGCTGACAGGGACTTCAACTCGTCCTCCGTCGCAGTGGCGAAGTTCAGGCGCCTGTCCGATCGGGTGTCAGTGGCACGGCGCGCAGGTCGAGGACACCAGGAGGACTTACTGGACTGAGCCCCTCTTCCCGTAGAACAGTTCGCACTGACCGGCCGATATGGGGAGAGTGCCGAAACAGACTGGAGGCCTGTTGACAATCGATGACTGCAATGTTTTGAGTTGTTCTTCGACGACATCGGTCATTGCGCGAAGAGGACGGCCCCAGAGTCTGGTGAACGGTACTGTTGGCATCACCATGAGTGCCCGTGACTACTGATTGCTTAGCTAGGAATGATTGACGCACCGTTTGTCTGTGAAGCAAGGCTGGATACCTGGGGATACGCAGCATCGGTTGTGCGCTGTTAAATACGTGTCGAGGACCCGAGGCATGACACCGCGTTTGGAAGACAATGGACGACCATATTGATCGACCCACGTAGAGTCAACATCGCTCATTTGGAAAGTCTCACTGCAGTGTGCAGATTCGTCGGAAGGCAAGAAGGCACAACGTGTTCGGTTTCTGATAAGATTTCGATGTTAGTGACGTACAGTCTACGCACTCGAACGGTGTCGCGGTGACTAAACGATACAGAAGTCATACAATAGGCACGTTGACGATGGACAAAGCAAATGTCCGAGACATTGCTAGTTGTTGCCTAGTGCAAGGGCGAGCCTTGGGAGTAAGTACCTCAGATCACCCATGAGGAGTTAGGTATTAAGTGACGCACCTGAACGCTTTGCAGAAGTGAGCGCAACATGATGTGTGGGCTGTGAAGCGATGAGGAACGATGCAGACACATGTACATATTACCGTGGGCGGAGCTCGGAATCTCCCTTCCGTTCGCAGGCAGAGTCATCAACCGGAGCAGATACACAATCCAATACGTCCGTACCGCCGAATTTACATGGCGGCGCATCGTGGAGCGAATATACAATACAAACCTGCAGTGCGCATTCCGATCGCACCAAGTCAGAACTCGAGTCAGTAGCGAGCGCGATGGCAGCATATACCGATACACGGAGAAGCTGAGGCACGCGGCTACTCCAGCTTCTCGAGCTGTTCAAGCCGTGCTAGGACGACGTCCTTGCTTGTTTCTTCTATCTCCCCCGCGAGGAATACTTCGTCGAGGATAGCGTACACCTGTAAGTGTGCTCAGAGGCCCTATCTCGTCGTGTCTATGGGCAGGTACTGACCTTGTAGAAGTTGAAGACTAGATCCAGTTCGCAGACATTGTCAAAGAACGAGTCTATGCCTAAGGTCAGAGAGTTGCCTTAGTTCGGAGAAGATTGCTGGTATACCGAGGACCTCAACGAAGAGGTGGATCGCCTCGAGGTATGCGAGCTCATTGTCGTTCGCATCTACGCAGACGCAGAAGAAGAGACCGGCGTAGCGGCGGTATACGAGCTTGTGGTTCCGGAACTGATTGTAGCCCACATGAGCCACACATCCAACTAGGCAGAGCATCACACCTCTACGAAGTTCGACTGATACTTCTGGTCCCGCGGGGCGACCAGCCGGTGTACCTCTCCGCGCAGTCGGACCTGCGACGGGGTGAACTGGTTGCACACTTGCCAAGATGGTCCACATACCTTCTCGTCATCATCGTAGGGCACGTACCACTTGGATAGACGCGTCTTGCCTTGTCGGTTCTACCTACCAATGAGGTGTTTGTCGCGGGTGGTGGTAGTGGGAGACGGGCTCACCTGGACGAGAATGAACCTGATCATACTGCCAGTGGATGTCTTCTCAATCAGAAAGTTGAGGCGGCTTGCGTTGTTGGCCCAGGAGATCCAGCAGCCCCCGTGCTGAGGGAACAGGTGGGGAACAGTGGGGAGGTGATGGTGGTAAGCAGCCAAGGCGGAGCGCCCTGCGACTCAGCACCGTGACGAAGTCCGTAGCCGAGACAGCTCCCCTTCTCTTCCTGAACCGCACAACCTCAGTTTGACCGTTCTTTCTGCTCGGAATGGGCTGAGAAATAATAACCCTGATATCTGTGTTGTGTTCTACATCTTTCGGGCTACATACCAATACCGCGGCCACTGCGCGAGGCCGAAACGCTCAACTCGGAACACCAGGCAACATTCTCAGTGTTCTCCATCTACTCAACTACGATCCTGTGGCCTCGGAACATGGTCCATGTCCTGATGTATCGCAATGGAGGGCAGTATATAGCTGCGTAGACCGTCTGCTATTTGGGTACGTGAGTCATTCCCAAATCCCAGGACGCCCGCTGCAAGCTCTTCACCACGACGATGACGAGCCACGACTCGGAGACCTTCAAGTCGCTGCTGGGAAGCTGGTCAAGACACCCGAGTTTTCAGTCCAGATGACCTCCGACTCGCGCTGGGTCTCATCTTCACGCCGGACGTCGTGCAGCCTGTCCAGATCGGATCCTTCCTGACCGCTCTGCACATCGAACATCTCGAGAGCGACCTGAATATCTCGCGGCAGCTGCGGAGGTCCTTCGTGGACGGCACTAAAGGCAACGGTGGAGGATGCGAGACAGACTTTGTGGTGGACATCGTCGGGACTGGCGGAGACGGGCACAACACCTTCAACGTGAGCACGACCGCGCATCGTCGCTGCAGGGCTGGTGCACGGGTGATCAAGGTATGGTTCATTGTATAACTAAAACAAACGTTATGAACAACCCTCTCAGCACGGCAGTCGCGCGTCCACCTCTTCATCAGGATCCGCGACCTGCTGCAATCGCTTGGATGTCTGTTCACTGCACCCACGCGGACACGCCCATGCCCATACCCGCATCCCCTTACTTCATCCTCGCGCCTCACTATCACCCGCACTAGCGATGATAGCGCCGTACCGGAAAGCGCTCCCGTACGTATCCGCCCGCACAACCCGCGCACCGCTGCTAACCAAAGCCACGACAGACACCGGACCATGTTCAACGTCCTCGGGCCTCTGATCAACCCAGCCTTCCCCAAAGGCATGGTACTGGGCGTGGCAGAGCCCGCGCTCGGACCCCCGTTCGCCCACTCGCTCAGCGACGGCGGCGTGCAGCGCGCCCTCGTCGTCTGCGGGGCCGAGGGTCTGGACGAGATAAGCTGCGCGGGCGAGACGCACGCTTGGGAGCTCGTCGACGGCAACGTCACAGAGAAGACGCTGCACCCTGAGCAATTTGGCTTGGCGGTACACCCGCTGTCAGCGGTCGCAGGCGGGACACCCGAGGAGAACGCGGAGACGTTCAAGTTGCTGTTGATGTCCGGAGACAAAATTCCTGAGCGGTTGACACCCGTGCTGCACTTTGTCCTGATGAACGCGTCGGCGCTGCTTGTCGTAGCTGGCGTTGCGCACGACTTCAAGGATGGTGTCCAGAAGGCGCTGAAGAGCATCACGTCAGGGGCGGCGTGGAGAGCACTGGAGGAATTCAGGGAGACAGGCAAGGCTGCTGTGCGACAGATTTGATCACACTCTGGGCGAGTTTGGGAATAGAATTCAGATGTAGCACTGAGGTATCTTCGTGAGTACATGTATTGACCATTCAATCGTATCCAACCTATTGATACATTGCCTATAGATATGTTCGCGTACAAAGATTGGGTACCATAGAATATATGTCCACCATTCATCCACCACTACCCTAAATCTGATCAATGATAAAGTCAACCACGGCGCTGCGCTTCTCTTGCACCACGACCCTGACCGCCTCTTCTAGCGTCGACTGTATATCCTCAGCGCGCTCGACTCTCCGACCCCACGCCCCACCTGCAGCGGCTGCGATACTCGCGTAGTCGGGCATGTCGGGCCCAAAGCTGACGCTTAGCTGTTGAGCGGAGACTTTGCTCGCAAGTCCGTCCGGGTGCATGCCCAACATGGAATAGCGAGGCGACTAGTGGGGGGATCAGTCACGCTCGGGGTCTGTCAAGCTGGGCGACTCACAGCCCAACCGCCGTTATTGAGGACAATGGTCAAGAACGGCTGTTACTCGGCGTGAGTATCCACAGGACAGGTGCCAACAAGGCAGACGTACCGCGTCGTATCGCCTGGATAGCCAGTACGCTGTGCTCGGGACGCCAAACAAGTAGGTGCCGTCACCGACGATAGCTGTGATTAGCTCGTAGTCCTTCTTCGCCACCTGTGCACCGAGACGAGCCCCCGTCGCTGCGCCCAGCGCCCACCCAAGGCTTGAGCCTCCCGACATGAACATCTGCCCTGGCCTCTCCGGCCGGATGTGGTTCCACACCAAGCCGCAGTTACTGATGCCCTCGTTCAGCCACAGGACGTTCTCGCCATGGCTTACCGTCTGCGCCTTCACAGCTTCGCGGAGAGTACCGAGGATGCATGGCACGCTCGGCGTCTGCCCTGGCAATGACTTGCGGCTTTCGGCCTCGACCAGTTGGCCAATCCAGTGGTCGTGCAGGGACGTCAGCCGTTCGCCGCGTGCCCTGAGTCCCTCTTGCAGCTTGGTATCGTCGACCGCCTCGGCATCCGCGGCGCGGATGGCGTTGACCAGTTGCCCAAGCGCGACATGAGCGTCCGCCCTGCAGATGAGCTCCGCGTCGATGTGCGACCAGCCCATCTGCTGCTTGAGCGGGTCGGCATCGACGACAAATACGCGAGCGTCTGGCCGAAGCCTGCTTCCATTAGCCTCGATGTAGGGATGTCAGTGTCAAGGGCAATCACGACATCCGCTTCCTCGAGATAGGGATTCGTGCCGTCGAAGGTCTGGCCGAGCAGGTATGGGTGGCTGAAGGGAATGGAGAAGTACTGGGAGATTGACAGGAAAACGCTGACGGAGCGGAGATACGATAGGGCCTGCAGAAGAGGTACTGTGCGATGATTCCTCCCGGCGCTGGCACTATGATCATGGGGAACTGGGCAGTAGAGAGGGCATCGACAATCGTCCTAACCGCTGCAATGCCATCATTCGTCAACCCAACTCCGAACACTCAACTAGTGCACTATAACGCACCGGTCGGTGATAGGCCACTAGGCGCGATGGGCGGCCACTTGGTGACATCCAGCGGTGCAGTTATTACAGACTCGTCGACTCTTCCTCCAGGACTTCCCGCCGAGCCCAGAGATACACGGGTCCCCTCGGTGCACTAGTGGCACTGCAGTTTCACCCGACTGTCAGTCAGATATCGTCTCCTACTCCGGTCTGAAGATACGCACAACTGCCAGGCACGCATGACAGTCTTTGCGACCGCCTTGCCGCTCATGATCTGGGTGGTGAAGCGCATGAATTGACGCACGATAGCTGGCTGGTCAGGCGCGTCTGCGAGGAGGTCCTATCAGTTCTTCGACAGTAGGCCCAGGATCAAGGGGGCACTCACCTTGGCCCCACATCGGCCATTCGTTCTTCGATCCTTTCAGCTCCCCGCTGACGGTGTATGGCGATGCACCTGCGAAGATGATGACTGGAGTATTGCCTTTGTCAACATTGTGTACTGCTCCCGCGAGGGCCTGTCGGAGAACGTCAGCTATGGAGCTCACATACCACCAGCATTCGTATCCGCCGAACGAGACTAGACTGCGGTTTCTGGCATTGCATCCGCTGACGCTGAGGCAGTAGAGCGCATCTTATGCGTCCTGGACCAGGAGTTCGGTACGCCCGTCCGACGGGACACGAGTCCCATCATTGAGACATCTCGACGACGGATCTGGTCGAATTTGAAAGGATCTGTTGTGCTGTCGAATCATCCTGTCAAAGTCCGCGAAAGCGCTCGACCATCCCGTCACGCGCGCACCACGGGGAACTCAAGCAGCACGATCGCGCTTGCATCGCACAAATCCAGTTCGAGCCGCGCACAGAGCTCACCTGTGTCCCGACGTCAACGTGGACGATGACCGCGGCCGGGTTTCCCGTAACCTGCGCGTACCCCTGCGCGGCGCTGAGCGCGACCATCTCGTTCGGGCATGTCACGATCTCTAGAAGGGCCTTCCCGCCTCTTTCGGAGCGCTGCCGCTCGAGATCTTCGAGTATCGCTGGGTGGTCGTTACCCCAGTTGGCGAAGATGTGGGTGACGCCTGCTTCGGAGAGTGTCTTCAAGAACACGGACGATGTCGTGTACAGAGGTCTTTTGGACAGTGAGAGACTGTCGGTGGGAGATATGGGCGTCGTGGGAGCTGTGTCCGAGGACGACGAGCTGTCTGAGGATGAAGACATTGCAAAGAAGGTCGGTTTAATGCTGGACAGATGATGAGCTGTGCGGACAGTCCAATCACTACTCACCTTAAGTACGTAGGTGAACGTAGAAGCCGACGTCGGGTTGGAGCTTATGAGCCACTATCAATGAGACACGGCATCACCGTGGCAGCCGCGGGCCCTGACAATTAGGTTTGCCAATCATGTGGTTTGCATGGGGTGTAGTCCTACCCGTGGACGCTGGAGTACTCGACTCAGCAACTGCCAGGGGATGTGGCACACACGAATCCCAACTTCGGCTCAGCGAAGCTTTGATCGGAGAGCCAGAGACGCTGATTTATATAGGATTGCGTGGATTCGTCAATGGGCATTAGATCTGCCGCGATCCCTGTGACCACCTTCACTTCCGTGAGACAGCCGTCATCGCCGACGAACGAGAGGAAGACTGACAAGTAGTAGTATTTATGGCCTCGACGCTCTTACTGCGGAGCGTAGAATGACCTCGCAGCTTTCGGGCAGGTTCAGGTAGGCCGATGTGAAGGTTTCGGCGCAGGTGATAGACCAAGGGTTCAATTTGAAACACATGAGTCTTCATGAGCAGGATTCGAAGTAGCATTCCCTTCGATGAGAATAAAGCATGCCGAAGGTGGACACGCTCGTACTACGCGATACGACAACGGATCGTTGAATGTGCACACTGTAGCCATTGGCACTCCGTAAGTAGTTGTAGCTCGGATCAGAAAAAGTCATAAGTACTCAGCATCCTGCCATATCCCTGCCCGAGACCCTGCACACCGCCATGGGTGCTAACGAGTCTCGCCTGCGTTTCTCTTTCGCAGTAATGACCTTGATGAAGCTGGTGGCTAGTAAAGGTTTCCAGGCGCACAGCTGTCACCGATAACAGCATCCTTACCAGAAGTCTAGCCATCGGGATTTGAACACTGTTAACATTTCATCTCAGGGCCGTGTTGTAGTCTTCCCAATCCTACTTAGTGTAGGTTTTTGCGTTTGTTCGCCCGTAAGATCTTGAGACCAGAGTACGACGCGCTGGTAACAGGTTCTTGGGCGACGGCTCTGGAAACGGTTGTCCAGTCGTCTGATCGTTCCTATGTTGGCTCGCAAAGCTTCCTGGTCTCTGGCACACGAGAAGCGATCATCGTTATGCTTTGCTCGCTGCCACATCGTCTTCTCTCGAGCGATGTTGACGGGTCGAGCTGAGGCTTCGGTGGACTGTCAACATAGACGACGTGATGAAATTGGTCCTGTACCCACTGATTGTGCCTGTCTCTCGTGAAATGGGGTTTACGGGGGCGTCGGGAACTTGTTCTCCGGAGGTTTCAGCGCAGGTTCATGACATCCATGAGTCTTTCAGCGTCTGATAGTCATGGATAGCGCGTTCGCAGACATGTACGGTCCCCTCAGAAAACCCGGGTGCGCAATCTTGTCGTACAGCATAGGCAGTACGGACCTGCGTAAATGGAAACAATCTGGAGAACTAGCCAGGCTGTCAGGGAAGGGGGGCAACGGTACATCAACTGGTTGTCCGCGCTCTGGTTTGCCATCCAGTACTGTGAGCGCTATAGGGTCAGCAGCAAATGACATCGGGGCAAAGATCATCGTACCATCAGGTGTTCCTTAGTGGCTCAGAGACGCTTTCATACGGACGTACGGTAGTCTCCCTTGTAGAAACTCTCCGAAGCGGGACATCCCTCTCCGCTCGTACCACTCCGCCGTGGCAAGCCGCGCATCGCACCAAATGACATCGCACCCAAGGTCGCTAGCAGCTACCTCGAAGACGTGCTTCAGTAATCTTGTGCCGATGCCACGTCCTTGATGAGACGGCTCGCAGGCAAATTTGCGGAAACGGGCTGCGGATGCGGGCTGTTTTTCGGGAACTTTGGTTTCCCTTCTCACGTCGAAGGCAGCGATCTTGAAGATAGAGATGACGGCGACTGGGTTTCGCGGTGCGGAAGGAAGCTCCATAGTGAAACCCTTGGTTGTCCTCGGGCAGTAGGACGTGCGACACCGGATAGTCCGGCCAGAGTACTGTGTGGCGAAGCGGTACCGTTTCTTCAGGCGATACCTGCTTGACTTCGATAGGATCTGTTTCGAGCGCGTATATATGGACATAACATGAGCGTCGAAGAGCGAAACGCGAACAAACTTACCTGTTTCCTCACCAGCTGCCAACATCAAGTCACTGTGCATCTTGTTAGACGGCGTACAATTTCCAAACTGTTGATCCGAGAGCAGAAGGGTACACTACAATAGCAGGAGGAGGGAAGATGCAAGGAAGACGGTCGCAAATGAGCAAGTCTCTGGCAAGCCAACAAAGGAAGCGACCATTGAAGGGACCCGGGCCGCCGGGTGGCTTAGCGCTTAGTCAAGCGCGCGAAGGAGGAGGAGGAGGCTCGAGGAGGAGTCGGTGTAGGCATGCGCGGAGGCCCATATAATGTGCTGAAGAAGACGAAATGATAGTGAGATATTGACATGGCTCATATGATGAAAGCCTGGAGCATAAGACTTCCGACAGGCTTGGATTGCCATGAGTCATTGAGCCATAAACGCTTCGGCAACACGGTTCGTGGGGACACGGATGAAGAACAATGCATGTTAATACAACGAATACCCTAGTATCAGTACAGACACGCAACATTGCACTAGAAAGGAGAAAAGAGAGGAGATTGGCAGAATAGGCGGAGCCGCGTCGACGATGCCCATCGCTCTGGAATGGACAATGCCCGCCTGGATGAGCGCAGCAACTGCCTGCTCGGTCCACCACTGGCAGTCGCGAACCTCAATGCGCGCCTGTGGACACGGTGCCATAGAAGTCAGTATTCAGTATGTATCGACGTCACCACTGGCGGTGGGTAGTCACTCACAGTTAAGCGACTCCCGACAGACCGGAGACTCCTTCCAGGCGCTGGGACACTCACTATGACTTCTTCGAGCCTGCCTCTAGGTAGGTCGCCCTGGGTATACTGCATGATGTCGCCAGGGGTGTGGCGATTGCGACGCGATAAAGGGAGGCGTCCGTGCGGGTGAGGTCGTAAGACCGCACGATCGTGAGGGCGAAGCCCAACATCATGGAGCCTGTGGCATGAATCTTGGTGCCCAACACAATGCAGGGAATGTAGTTAGTGCGGTTTTCGTTCGTGCGTCCTGCCGCATTGGGCTCTGTAAGATGTCATGAATAGGCTGATCTGCGCGGGGGCGGTAGTAGTCAGCACAAATCACATAGGCATGCACATGTCTACACATGGCAGGCAATCGAATCCGGAAGGCGTGCAAGTATGACGACGCCGCATCTTCAATCAAGAATCCCAATTATTGCGTCTCTTGCTGCGTGCATGAGGCACGAATCACTGTGGCTGCTCTGCATACTCGCCGGATCTCTGGCGCTCGTTGCACCGCTCTCAATTCTGCACCGAATTGTCTCTGGTGACTGGGTCTGCCAAGACGTCTCGGTTGGTGAAACGTCAGAGTTGCATACATGCAGCAATAGGTGGACTCCGACTCAGTCGGTCGCTTCCTAATGGAACGTTCAATACATAGGGACTGCGAGGAGTGCTCACGTAGTGAATCGCGTTGCAAACAACCGCATGTTCGAGCCTCGAAAAATGTTCAGGACACCCAGTCATGTTGAAAGCCGCACGTTGGACGGCCAACTTCATTACTGCACAATGACTTCTCTGTAACGTTTAATGAGCCAATGGGAGCCACACTGTGTGACGTGGATGTACATACCAGCTAAGGTAACCCGATGAAGAACCCTAGCATCACGCTTCGTCGATATGGTGCCATGCCTAATACCTCCGTGGCACGAGCGACTCGGAGACATCCTCTGGCCAGTGCACATTGGCTTGCAGGTGATGACTGGGATGGATGTGGGTGCCGTTGTAGAGACTAGACGTTCGGTCAGACGCTCAGTCGTGGTTCAACTTCGACTGAGATTAATCTACCTAGACGTTCGGTCAGACGCTGCTAGGTAGTTAGCTACTGAACGTATTGTATAGTATGTGTGCGGGGGCTTACCTCAGTCGTGGTTCAACTTCGACTGAGGAAAGAGGGAGAGAGGCGGAAACGGACGAACCACCCCCGGCGGTATGTCACGTGCACGGTGGCGGAGATCGAGATCGCGGCGCGACCTCAACACTCCTCCTCGGCGCGAATGGCGAGAGAGACGACGGGGGGTACGTGAGGTACGTAAGGGGGATGTAGCATCAAAAAGGTGTCGCATGTATCGTAGGTATCGCATGAGGAAATGATATGAGTCCATGAGGGAACACTATGAAGTGAAACAGAGACCGTAGTGAAAGGCGTGTGGGATCGTAAGGATATGAAGAGCGGGTGACGCGAAAAATATGCATGGCGAGATGAAAGAGAAAGGGAAGAAAAGACTCCTCCTCTCGAGGAACTCCTCCTCACCGTGAAGACTCCTCCTCGCATGGAGGCCGGAGGCCCATAAGACCACGCAGCATCTGGAACGGCTTCCGTTCAAGAGGTTTCGTGAAGGCGTCGGCGACATTGAGATGGGAGGGGACATGCTGGATGACGATTCGTTTGTCCGTCACCACCTCGCGCAGATAGTGCCATTTGATGTCGATGTGCTTGACGCGAGAGTGGAACGTAGAGTCAGCGGAGAGAGTGATCGCGCTCGTGCTGTCGACGCGCATGAGTGATGCGGCAGGCTGGGAGAAGCCGAGACCGTCCAGCAAGAAGCGAAGCCATACCCCTTCCTTCGCCGATTCGGCAGCCGCGATGTATTCAGCCTCGGTAGTGGACGTAGAGACGGTGGGTTGCTTGCGCGCCGACCAAGAGATAATGCCGGAGCCCAGGTTCCAGCAATAGCCACCGGTAGAACGCCGAGTGTCGATGCAGCTGGCGTGACTCGCATCCGCGTACCCATTCAGATTGGCGACATCGGCGCCGCCGAGGTGCAGACGGAAGTGCCGGGTCCCCTTGAGGTAACGCACAACGCGTTTCGCAGCCTCCCAGTGGATCTCGGCGTAACAGTCGAGGAATTGGCTGAGATGCTGGATGGCGAGGGCGATGTCCGGACGCGTCCCGATGGCGAGGTACATTAGACAGCCGATGAGAGAGCGATAGGGCAAGCGAGCGGCGCGTTCTTTTGCCGCAGGCGTCTTCGGAGAATGCTGAGCGCGCGAGAGGCGGAGGCCGGCTTCCATGGGCGTAGAGACCGGCGCGCAGTCGGGGCCGTCTAGACGAAACTGCTTGACGATCTTGTCGATCAAGGCAGTCTGCGAGATAGCCACGGACCGGCGAGCGCGATCACGGTCAATTTGAATGCCGACGCAGAAACGCGCCTCACCCAAGTCCGCGATTTTCCAGACACGACGGAGGTCGTCCTTAAACTCCTCCTTAGCCGCAGCCGAGCTAGCTGTCAGCAAGAAGTCGTCCACATGGACGCCGGTGAGAACAGTGCCCTTCGCCGACTTGCGGTAGTAGACACAATATTCACAGGGCAAACGCGTGAAGCCGATGCTCAGCAGATGCGCGTTCATCGTGTCATTCCACGTACGACTGCCCTGCTTCGTCCCATAAATACCACGCACCAGTTCCCAAACCCAATCCTCCTTGCCCGGCTCCTCGAAGCCGTGCGGCTGCTCCATGTAGCAGTACTCGTCCTCGGGAAGGATCCCATAGAGGAACGCGGTCTTCACATCAAGCTGCTCTACTTCCCAATCGAGGGAGGCGGCAAGGTGGAGGAGAGCGCGGAAGGACTCCATGCGCATGGTAGGTGAGGAGGTCCGGTTGTAGTCCTGCCCGTAGACCTGTTGAAAACCCTTCGCGACCCATCGAGCCTTGAAGCGCACCGGGTCCCCGTTCTCATTACGCTTCAAGCGAAAAACAGGCTTACCCTTCATGACGCGACGCCCGGCCGGCACCTGAGCTCGAGGAATGAGGCGGTACACGCCCAGGTCCTTGATGGACTGCAGCTCATCGCGCAACGCGGCACGCCACTCCTCGCGAAAAGGCGACGCCTCTGCCTCGGCCAAAGTGGCCGGGTCCCCAGGATATTCAACGTTGAGTGGCAACACATCGTCCCCGGCCAACGCCGCGAGCACAGACTCGACGTCCGGCGTGGCGTCGACGGGCGGGTCACCAACAGCGAAGTCGGGAGGGGGCGCGGGAGCAGCATGCAGTAGCCCCAGAGGGGCAGCGACTGCGCGCGACACCGGAGAGGCCGGGGCAGGAATGCCCGAGGAGGAAACCCGGCGAGGCGCCGCGGAGCGTATCTGGCCCAGCGTGCGGTCCAGGCGCGAGATGAAAGGGACACCGTCCGCGGCAGCCTTCTTCTGGGTCAGCAGAGGCAGACGCGAAGATCGACGCACGGGAGCGAGAGGCGGCGGCACGGGAGCGAGAGGCGGTGGCACAGGAGCGAGAGGCGGCGGCACAGGAGCGAGAGGCGGCGGCACAGGAGGCGCCTCAGCTGGCAGAGGCGGAGCGGAAGGAAGAGAGGCCGGGGCCGCATGGGTGCCAGACAAGGAGGGAGGCGGCGGATCATCGTCGAGAACGTCGAGAGGCGCAGCAATGGGAGACACAGCCTGAGGAGACATAGAAGGCGCGACCTGCGCGACAGGCCGTGAGGCCGGGGAGGATAGTGTCGGAGACGTCTCGTGTGATTCAATGAATGCAACATGGAACGACTCCACGACCTTGTGAGTCGCGCGGTGGTACAGCCGGTAGGTCTTCGAGTGCTGCCCGTAGCCGATGAGAACACACTCGACGGAGCGTTCATAAATCTTAGGGTTATGCCGATTCTGGATGAGCACGAAGGCCCGACAACCTATCTCCCGCAAATGCGACAGGTCCGGCTTCTTCTTATGCCACATCTCATACGGTGTGACACCTGGAGGCAAAGAACGAGAGGGGGTGCGCACCGACAGGTAATTAGCGGTGACGAGAAACTCGTCCCAACGGTTCGCCGGAGCAGCAGCCGCCAAGCGCATCGCCCGGGCACGGTCCATGAGAGTGCGGTGGAAACGTTCAATACGACCATTCTGAGCGGACGTGTGAGGCGCCGTTGTGCGCCATTGAGAACCGCGGCCCTCGATCCATGCCTTGAAGTCGTTCGACAGAAGTTCCCCATTGTCAATCTGGACGACGCCCAGACGTCGCCCGTCTCGACCTCGCGAGCAAGGACCCAAGCCTTGAATCGCTCGAGGATGACCTTGGATGGCACGGGGATGGCCCAGGTGTGAGACGTGAAATCGTCGAGAATATTCATTGAATAAAGGTTCCCCAGAGCGGAACGAACATCCTGCTGCCCTTGTACATCTACGAACACAGTGCCAAGAACCCGCTTTGCTTTCTCCCCCACTCGCACCTTAGGAACTGCAGTTCTGGTCTGTTTACCAAGAATGCAATGTTCACATTTTGCAGGTGGAGATAGGACGATAGGCATACCTATAGCGGATCCGAAGCGTGCCATGTCGTGAATCGTACGATGATTGACATGTCCGAGGCGGCGGTGCCACACATCGAGCGTCGGCACACGGCCTGCATACAAGGCATGTTCGGTGGAGGGAGAGGCGCCGTCGAGAGAGTAGAGGCGCTTGGACGTTAAAGTACCGGTAGCGATGACAGCCCCGCCCGGTTTGAGAATGCGAACACCGGCACTAGAGAAGAGCACCGAGTAGCGAGCCGCAGCGCGCAGAGAGACGAGATGCTGACGAGCCGAACAGTGGCCTGAGGCACATAGAGGACATCCTCGAGAAGGATCGACGCGCCGCGACCGATGTGCAGGCGTACCTTGCCGACGCCGCAAGCGTAGATAACCGATCCACTCACCCCACGAATGCCGCGAGGAGAGATAGGGCGGAGGTCATGGAAGTCGGCCTTGCGAGGAGACAAGTGCGTAGACGCGCCAGAGTCGAACACGAAAGGCTCAGTCCCTTCAGTGGAGAGACGACGAGTCGTCGTAGGCACCGGCGCCACTGAGAAGGCGGTAGGGTCGGCAGGAGCGCGAGAGTGGGTAGACCAGTTGAGCGAAACCGACTCCTCGTCTTCAACAGAGACCAGGGACTCATACTCAAAGAGGTCCGCCGGGACAGAGACGGAGGCGAGCCATTCCGGGGACGTGTCAGTCGCAAGCCCAACGAAGTCAGTCTCGGAGGTGGTATCCGCCGAAGACGGTTCCGAGGTCGATGTGGCCGAGGGCGGGACCGTACTCAAGAGATAGGCGTGGCCGGTCTTGCCGTCAACGATGTACGCGCGACCTTGCTTGTCGCGGTCGGGAGCGTTAAAGACGGCAGGCTTACCAGGACCCTTGCCCTTCCTTTTGTTTGCGAGCACTTCCTCGCGACGACCCTCCATGCCGCCACCGGGGGCCCAGCACTCCGGAGCAGTATGCCCATTCGGGCGCGGGCACTTGGCGTTGGTGCAAGTCTTCTGCGATGAGGTCGACTTGCCCGGCTTGGAATAGGCGGCGAGAGCGGTGGCTGACGAGGACGCCTTGCTGTCGGTGAGGATTCGCTGCTCGAGGTCAAGGCGAGCGGCGATGTCGACGGAGGTGTACGGAATGCCCGAGGTGGCCGATGCCGTGAGCGACGAACCGACCTGCGATTGGAGGTGCGTGAGGTAACCGTTCATCGAGTTGAGCATGCCTATGGTCATGAAGACCTCGAGGTTCGGGATGCCTATGTGGAAGATGCGCTCGGCCAACTCTTGGAGGCGCATGGTCGTCTCCGAGAAGTGCTCCTCGGCTGTGTAGCGACAAGCGAGGAAGTCTTGGAGGAGACGAACCTGGGCATATGCGCCGGGCTGTTTCTCGTGGCGAGCACAGAGGGCGACCCATAAGGCGCGTGCGTCGATGAATCCGGCAATGAAGCGCTGCTCTTCCCTCGCGGCTTCGAGCTGAGTAAGGCGATGATAACTTGCTCGTTCCGCCGGAAGTTGGTGACAGAGCTGGGGTCGTCGTCGACAGAGGGAGCGACTTGTTCACCAGACAGATAGCCCCAAGCGAAGCAGATCTTCAGGGAGTTCTCGATGTAGGTCTTCCAATCGTACCAGTTGTCCTTCTTTCGGTCGAGGATGACGCCGCCGTTGAGCAGGGACGACGGTACGTGGAGGAGCTCGATTTTCTCCTTGGCGGTCGCTTTGAGATCCATTTTGGGCGCCGGAGATAGTTCCGTTTGAGTTCTCGGCGTCTTGGGTACCGAGACTCTGGGACTCGAGGTTGGGGTGATCGTCATTGATCAATTGGCTGGCTATATGCGGGGTATATGCGGGGAAAGCACACTTTGATGGGTGCCTCGATGTTGTTCCTGGGTCTGAATAGCCGAAAAGAAGTCTCAGGTAAGCGGGCGAGTTCAGAAACACCGCCCGGGGCTCATAACCTGTAGAGACTAGACGTTCGGTCAGACGCTCAGTCGTGGTTCAACTTCGACTGAGATTAATCTACCTAGACGTTCGGTCAGACGCTGCTAGGTAGTTAGCTACTGAACGTATTGTATAGTATGTGTGCGGGGGCTTACCTCAGTCGTGGTTCAACTTCGACTGAGGAAAGAGGGAGAGAGGCGGAAACGGACGAACCACCCCCGGCGGTATGTCACGTGCACGGTGGCGGAGATCGAGATCGCGGCGCGACCTCAACAGCCGTTCGTAGTAACGTATACAATCAAAAGTGCAATGCTGAGGGGGGCTGCAGTCAAGCATAGTCGTCATATGAAGTCCATAAAATACAAGGCGTACACTGTCAGAAATTGCGCGACACATGAACCATCTAACAACCGTTGCACATCAAGTAGTACTGCCAATACGGAAAGCCTTCGAACGGTTCCAGCCACGAGGACATGTGCTTGAACCAGCTACCTTTCCAGTCTGCCGAGAACGCAGCCTTGCAGTATTCCCAGTATGCCGGACACCAGCCTGACTGATGCCAATCAACGATGGCGAGCACGCGTGGAGGCGAGGAGTCCCCTGGACGTGAAACCATGATGTTTCTGGGATGGAGGTCACCGTGGGTAAAAAGGATGGGGACGTCGTTCGGTAAATGATCTCTGTATGGATCGGGTTCATCGGGAAGAGGGCGGCCTTGGCTTATCAGAACATGGTTGATATAATGATCGACGAATGGCTCCACGGAAGAGAACGGTCTAGGGAATTCAGATGTCTCGAAGACTATGTCACGCAGAGGATCGCGCGCGATATTACCTGAAGTGATATTCTAGTATGAGCCGATGCCCGCAAACAGAGAGGATGTGACACCCACCGATGAATACATCATTGGGATTTTGTTGCAGAGTCCGGAGTGCTGCGATCATTGGACGCAACTGCAGGCATACACTCGTTCGATCCTCTTCGGAATACGAATCCCATGCATCTTCCACAGTCACACCATCCACAAGCTCCATGTACAGATAAACATATCCTCCCTCCGTTTGCCAGCCGAAGATTTCCGGTACCGGCAGCTTGTCTTTGAGTAGCTTCCGGATGGCGAATAGACATTGACCTTCCGCTGTGGATATATGTCTGCCGTACTTGACTAGTACACCGAGCTTGGGGAACAGAACGGGACGAGGGAATCTTGTAAGCTTTTCCCATCCCGGGTGTTGACGCTCTGCCTCGGCGAGCACGTCGGTGACGCAAGGCAAGTGTGTGTGGCGCAGGAAGAAGGAGGCATCTTCCAGCACTATGGAGGGCTGGGAAGGAAGGATATTAGGAAGGAGCATAAGAGCACTTTGCGGGGCACTCATGATGGCGAAGGGAGCAGCGTAAGTTGGGGGTCACGGATGAGTCGAATCCTGTGGCGCAGCGTCCGAGTCGGTGCGCCACAGCATCGGCTGCACGTGATATTGTCAGTTGTGGGTCCACTATACATGACAGTATATTGTTGTCTCGTACCATCGTGCAATAAGGTCGCACCCACACCGCACGTGTAAGCGGTGCGGTGGTGGGTGCGACTTATTGCACGGATGGGTACGAGACAAGCCTCAATAGCACCGCCACAGTGGCGTCGCAGACGTATAGCGGTGTACACTGTCCGCGAATTAGAATTAGTGAGTACATTTGTGGGAATTACTGTACATCGAGACACCACCAGACTCAATGCACAGGAGCGTCATTCGCCACATCTTGTGCGTCACCATTGCACATTCCAGCTGCTACGAGCGCAGCGACAGCCTGCTTCACCCACCACTGACAATCGTGCATTTCGACTCGTTTCTAGTAGTTGTCCGGTTCAAAGCGTGATGAGCATGATAGTGTACAAGCTGAACTGCATTTACTCACGTCACGAGAGGCCGTGGCAGACCTCAGACTCGGTCCCGGTGCTGGTACAGTGACAATGACCTCTTCGAGGCGGTCAATGGCGTGGCGTCGCTATCGACGATCTCTTCAGTTCGTCACCCTCAGTATCCTTGATGTATTCAACAGGGACAGTGGCGAGGTCGATACGCTGAACCTGACGGTTGTCGGTGGCGAGATTGTAGTTTCTGACGAATTCAAGCATGAATCCGCCGATTACAGAGCCTGTGGCGTGGAGGCGGCTGCCGATGTTAGGGTCATCCTGGCGCGGCACGAAGATCGACCAGTGTGCGTTGAAGAGTCGACTGTTGTACACGAGCAGCTGGATGGATCGACGTGACATGTCTGAAGACACTTGCTATAAACATCGTAAATCAGCACAAGTAATGATACCAGCGGTGTTCATGCAGTTCCTACCGGTGCGTGTTTGAAGGTCGTGTTGTGATCAGTGTGGGCGTCGACAGTGGTACTTAACGCCAACTATGAGGCGGAGTCCGCAAAGGCAGGCTCCGATGTAGTTCCGATGCGGACGGACGCGAAGCCTTGAAGAGGGCTCCAAGGATCTTGAAGCTTCCACTCGCAGTTGGCCACAGACGTCCGATCACACTGGCCGGCCAGTGTCACATACGGTACCTACTTCTATGCAAATATCCCAACCTGCAAGCGACGAGACTTAGTGTATGGCTCAAGATGAAGTGCTGACTCTCTAATACCAACAACTCACCGTCTACCGCTGTAGCTACCAGTGTCGCCAGAACTACAATTGAGAGAATGGAACTAAGCGCCCGTGTTCGTGGCAGCTTGGCGAGTTTCTAATTTATTATACTGATGTAAGCCCGTAGCTTAGTGTTTACTTAGTATGCAATAACTGAGTTGGTTACGCTACTGTATGTCACCCATACTACATAACAGTTACATTTCACTGCCGCGGTACTCAGGCCGCCGCTGCAGTGCACACGAGTGCACTCTGCATCTACATCACCCTCGAGCCAACACCCCGGCATGGCGACCCAACAAAGGCAGAGACCGAGCAGGTCTTCAAGGTTCTGAAATCACAGAAGGGCAACAAGGTGCGCGAGGGTCCCAGATGGCCAGTGGTGCAGATCTCAGTGTTCTCTAGATGTGCTTTGACTGTCAAGCCCGGAACCCGACTGGGCGAGCGTGACATTTGGCATCTACATCTGCCTGGAGTGCTCGAGCGTGCATAGAAACATGGGTGTACACATCAGTTTCGTCCGGTGAGTCACCGCCGTCGGAGAGCTCGGTTCCTGATGCGATGCTCACGAATTCGCAAGGTCAACCAACCTAGATAGCTGGCAGCTGAATCAGCTACGCACCATGAAGGTTGGAGGAAACGCCTCAGCTACCGAGTTCTTCACAAGACACGGCGGGGCACTGATGCTCAACGACTCGGACACCAAGAAGAAATACTCTAGCCGCTCGCTGAGATGTACAGGGAGGAGCTTGCGAGACGCGTCAAAGATGATACTGCCAAGTGAGTTGCCATCCTCGTATGTTGCATGTCTGCGCCTGACGGTGAGCGTAGGTTCCCCGACAGGATTGTGGTAGAGGGCGCAGACGCATTGTCCGTTACGCCAGCTGCACAAGAGGGTGACGAAGACGACTTCTTCTCATCCTGGAACAAGCCTGCGACCCCCAAATCACCCGCCTTCGTCTCTCAGAAACCTGCCCCTCCTGTCTCGGTCGCGCAACCAGCACATCCGCAGAGACGCCCAACCCGCCCGTCAGCCCCCGCACAATCAGCTCGTCATCTCTTCGCTCCAATTCCTCCAACGGAACTGCGCGCCCGACCTCCAAGCTCGGCGCCGCCCGCCTCACTTCATCTACTACCTCCGTCAACAGCACCACCTCTGCAGCCGCTCCGAAGAAGAGCAAGCTTGGTGGGCTCGGTGCGAAGAAGGCCGTCGCACCCCTCGACTTCGCGGAGGCGGAGCGGAAAGCAGCAGAGGAGGCAGAGCGGATTAGGCAGCTTGGCTACGATCGCGAGAAGGAGGAAGAAGCAGAGCGTGCGGCGAAGGCAGCAGCCGCGAGCCCGCTCCCTGGCAGCGTGCGACCGCAGAGCGCGAAGCTCGTCCCATCGAGCCCCGCGCCCAACACACCAAAGGGGAACACACAGGACCTGGAGCGGCTGGGGATGGGCATGAAGCGACTCGGCTTCGGGGGCGTACCCACCCCACGACGTCAAGACCGAGCTCGGCCGTGGAGGCGGAGACGCCGACGTTCGCGCGCGAGAAGTTCGGCAAGCAGAAGGCGATCTCATCGACATGTACTTTGGCCGGAACGCGTACGACCCACAGGCCGTCAACGAGGCGCAGACGCGGTTGCAGTCCTTCCAGGGCGCGCAGTCTATCTCCTCGAACCAGTACTTTGGGCGTGAAGAGGACGATGAACCCCTGCCAGGCTCCCAAGAGGGTGTCCTTGGCGACAACTTCTCGAACTTGGAGGGAGCTGCAAGGGATGCTCTTCAAAACGTGCTCGCCAATCCAGATGTACAGAAGGTTGGGGAGGGCATCCGTGCGGGCGCTCTGAAGGTATAACCATCATGATTTATCCTATACAGTGGCTGATGTTCGTGGCAACATAGTTCGCGGACTATCTCGCCCAGATGTCCGAACGCTAGGTCTCCGAGCAACGCGGTGTCATTTCTGTGTGGAGGGGAATGGAGTCTTCTGGTGTGCGTATTACTTGCAGATACTCCTGGGGTACGTTTGTTCTGTGATGGTATTTAATGCATCGGAATCACACTATCGCTCCTAATGAAATATTGCCAGTACATGTGGACGATCCAAAGTTGACTGATGTTATAAGATACGACCTACAACCTCTATGATGAATGCTGCGTCTAGATTGTCAATGATACATCGACAATGGGTCTCAACCTCTAGAAACTCCTCCACTAGGTTCTTTCTCTTTGACCTCGTAGACGATATCTCCCTGCTTGCCCTTTGCTTCCATGTCAACGCTCGATCTGCGAACACGTGTCTCCGCGGTGTGAGCTTCCTCAGTTTCAACGGCGGTGTCGGGCTGCTCGACTACGTCTGACCCATCGACTCTGCTTTTCCGCAGCACTAGCCCGCCGGCGTAGCCAAACCAGCGATATCTAGGTACGTGTGGCCCACGCATGAAGATGATGAGGATCATGAAGCCACTCCATGCCAGAGACACCGCGGCTGACGGGCGCCAGCCGTACTCCGTGAATACCAGCGCGCCGACGGATGTGCCCATGATTTGGCCAAGGAAGAGCTGTTGATACAAGGGTCAGCACACGCAAGCGGCGTGCCAGCGGGTCGGGGGCGTACCGCAAATAGGATGATAGCGTAGATCCTTGACCTAGCCTTCGGGTCGAGCACGCCGAAGATCCACGTCGTCAATGTCATCTGGATTGTCTGCCTGAGGACGTCGACGCCGATGCACACAATGACCACGGATGCGATATTGATGCCGTCAGCCCCGACTCCGATGGCAGTGACGACCACATAGAGGAAGATGGACACTATGGCGGCAAGCCAAGGCACCAGGCGGTCGATGAGCCTTCCAACAGGAATGGACATCGTGACGCCGACCATGCCTACAAACCCGAAAAGGCCAATGATAAGCCTTTACGGCAGTCAGATATACGTTAGGCTGGAGATTGGAGATCGGCATACGTTGAATACTGATACGGAGGGCCGCCGAGCAGGAATGTCAGAGTCACCTATCGAAAACAATGCTTGTCAAGACACTCTAGCAGGTAGTACGTTGAAACAACTTGAACATACCCAGAAGTTGGCATATACTGCAGCATTCGGGATCAAAATCAGCACGGCCTGTACAATGAGTGGCTCGGTCACGGCCAACTTCGCCATGGTCCACAGGATTCTCCAATACGTGGTATCTTTATCTTTGGGAGGGTAGTCGGGGACGACGAGGTACAACCACAGGGCGACCGCGTACTGAGACGCAAATGCAATGTAGTACACAACTCTCCAGCTGACATATTCCGCTACGACGCCCGCAAGGACCCGTGCTGTCAAGACGCCGAAGAGCAGACCCGACATGACTATCGACATAGCTGAGGCCCGTCGGTGAGGTGGGGCGAGATCAGCTGCAAGTGCGACAAGGACTTGCGGCACGATCGTGAACATGCCTACGAGGAAGCTGAGGACCTCGAAGACCCGTAGGTTGTTCGTGAACGCGAGGCCGATGCTGAGTGAGGCTGCGACAAAGACTATGGCGAGTACAAGCGGGCGTCGTCGGACCAAGTCCCCTAAGGGAGATATGAGAAGAATGCCTACAGCGTATCTGGAATGCGGACATGTCAGTGCGTAGAAAGGTTTGCTCCTATAGGAGGGCGGATAGTAAGCTCACCCGACCTGTACAAGGGTTGGGACATTTGATACTTCATCGTAGGAGACGTGAAACGAGTCCGCAAGCTGGACTAATGAACGTGAGTATATGCGATCTCACATTAAGATGTAACTGGAAGCGAATAGGCTTCGGTGTTAGATTGCACATCCGTGCCTCGCAGCTCTGGTGCGAGGTTGGGAGCGCAGCGTAATGCTTGTCGCAAGCACATCGAGTTCTCCACGTTCTGAGACTGATGCGGTGACTCACTCAGTAGAGGCTGGCAATAATACAGATTCGCGATCACTGCGCATTCCCGTCAGCTTGTATGGCAAGTGAGAGATGCATGAGACGCACCAAAGGTGCTAGATATAGCAAATGTCACGTTCAATAGCAAATGACTCCCGCGAACCGGACGATTAGGATCGAAGCGCAACCGAGCCGGTATGGGGAGGAATCCAAAATCCACCACTACTGCTTCCTCGGAGTAAGTCTCAGTGCTCTCTGTTGGCGTCGCAGAGCGTTCCTGGGTAGGGCCATCGGAAGCAGCGTAGGAAACGCTCATTATGTGAGCACTGAGGGAAGCTGGAGGACATCAATGATGCGTATATATCCCTGCTTCAGCGCTCAGTATAGACGGATTTCAATCGAGGACTGGGGCAAGGTGGTTCACGGCCTGGAGACACGTAATACAATGTCGGTCACAGGCGGTGTATCTTACAACCACAATCCCCGAAGGCTGACGGAGCGGAGGCACATTAGGTCCTAGACATTTTCAACGCTCTATTTCTGAAATTCGCTCACCTTCGCCTTCGTGCGCCGCCGAGATTCTCGGAGTCTGTAGATCTGAAGCACTATGTATCTCCTTGAGGCGATCGTGTGGGCATATCTGTGAACGCCAACTGGCATATGAGCGCGCCGGAGTTGGATGTTTGAGCGAACGATGGGGCCACATCGAAGGAGTCAGGCCTCGGAGAAGTGTACTGGCAAACATTATACTGGGCGACAGACGCACCACCATCTTATTACGCACTTATTAGGAGTTTGGCCTTTACTATGCATGTGAGCTGGACCCAGAGTGTGTCCACAACAATGGTAGAGTGCCCCATAACGATGCGCTGGACAGCGCCCAGTATCACCACGTACGGCGCTCCGACGATACCAAAGGGTCAAACTACCCGGGAGAAGGCAGAGAAGCAAGCAACGGACTGGCAAATGGAGTTCGTGAGATGAAGATGATATCTATCTAACCTACCACAGCACTCACTGAGTACCCGCGCGTCCACGATGTAGATGGTCGACATCATCGCTGTCAAAACCTGGAACAGTGCACCGCCATTGGTCTATGTGATTATCGATACAACATTCCGCGGGCTACGGTCATCTCTAGAGCGTCAGCAGTCAAACGGACTACGCGACTACGACCATTAGTGGATCCTTGGAATACAACTATGGACGCGCACTCCACGGATCGCTTTTCGGGAGCGAGTCAACAGGCGACCTGCCACTTTCCTTCGAAATCGCCTGCTTCTCGTTCTGCCTGCCTCTTCTTGCCGAGGCTCTTTACGATCGGCCTGTGTCTCCTCAGCGTCTGCGCTACCAACAGCGTTGGCCGCGACAGCCGCCTCTGCATCCTCCTCGCGCAGCCTCTCCCGCTCCGACAACCTGCTCTTGCGCACCTCGATCCCGCCCTCGTACCCGAACCATGTGTACCTACGTACATGCGGTCCGCGGATGAGCAGCAGGAAGAGCATGAGGCCCGTCCATGCGAGGGAAAGCGCCGCCGCCGGACGCCATCCGTATTTCGTGAACACCTGCGTACCGACGGAGGTGCCCATGACTTGGCCAATGAACAGCTGCATCTCAGCGTCAGACGCACAAGGACACTGGAGAAACGCGCCCGGGACACACCGAAAGAAGCAACACGGCGTTCAGGCGCGAGCGCGCGGAGTCGTCGAGTCCGAAGACGGAGCTCGTGAGCGAGACCTGGACCATCTGCCGGAAGACGTCTATTCCGAAGCAGACGATGACGACTGCGGCGATGTTGATCCCGTTGGCGCCGACGCCGATCGCCTGGAAGACGAGCAGCCAGAGGATGGCGATTACGCCCGCGAACCAGGGCACCAGCCCGTCGATGACACGCCCCACCACCGGTGCCATCGCCACGCCAAACATGCCGACAAGACCAAAGAGGCCAATGACAAGCCTGCGCGGGAGACGTGAGCAAAGAAGCAGGGCACGGACAGAGGAAGATGGCTTACGTTGAGTAGTAGTATGGCGGGCCGCCGAGCAGGAAAGTGAGCGTCACCTAGTGCGTGCTGCCTAAGCATGCAGTGAAGCGCGGAATCGTGGACACTCACCCAGAAGTTCGTGAAGCACGCGCTAGATGCCAGGTTGATGAGCGCCGCCTGGATGAGCTGCGGCTCCGTCACGCTGAACTTGGCCATGCTATATAGGATGCTCCAGTACGTCGCGCCCGCGTTCTTCGCAGGATAGTCGGGATCATCAAGTAGAGCATGCCCCATACGAAGAACTGCACGCCAATCGCCATGTAGTACACGACGCGCCACGATGCGAATTGCGCGATGATACCGGCGAGCACTCGCGCAATAAGCACGCCGAGGAGGAGGCCGGCGAGTACATGGAGAGTGCGGAGGCGCGACGCTCCGGGGGCGCGAGGTCCGCGGCGAGGGGCATCATGATCTGGGGTACGACGCTGACCATGCCAATAATAAACAGATCGCTTCAAAGGCTGCTAGGTTGTTCGTGATGGCAAGGCCGATTGTGAGGGACGCAGACATGAATACCAAGACGAGGAGGAGACCCCGTCGACGGACAAGGTCTCCTAGCGTGGATATGAACACGATGCCAATGGCATATCTGTCGAGGCAGTTGTCAGTGACCTTGATGATTCGCTGAGGGAGACAGGAGGGAGGTGAAAGTATGAGGTACGTCTGGAGCCCCAGGATCTGATGTTTGGCATGCGGTTATCGGGGCCCAGGGCACATATTGGATTTGTACAAACATCTGTAGCTATACTGGCGTGTCCGCCATAGACTTTGAAAGCCGGCGAAGGTCGGAAACACCACGGTTTCGGTGAAGGTAAGCAATGAATCAGGCTTACCCTGCCTGTATTAATGTTGGGATCCTAGACACCTCGTCATATGTGACGCCGAAAGACTTCGAGTACTCGATCAACAGTGGCTGGCATAGTACAAATTCGCGACGACTGCGCAGTGACAATCAGTTCCGTCGAAGATGAGAAACACTGATACGATGGAGCTTACTGAATGTACTCGCGATTCCAAACGTCGCATTCAGCAGCAGACCAAAATGGGCGGACGTTTTGGGTCGTACGTAGTCGTCTGGGAATGGGAAGAAGACCCAAGTCCCTCGTTATGGGAATGAATGTGCCTTCTGCCTTCGGTGCTGCGTCCCCTACGGCGAGAGTCTCTCGCTGGTGCGCGACGACTGGCGTCCTTGGATCGCTTTTCCTCGGCCATGTCGTTCGTCCAAGACGTGCTCTGGGAGTCGGATAAACAGCAGGGAACATGGGAGTCATCTTTATAGTTCCGTTCCTCCGAGTCGGCAGGCCGTGTGGGTATGACAAATCGTACTAAGCTATAGATTTGTAAGCTGTTGCTTACACTTCTAAACGAACACGCATTATCCTGGGTTTATCTTTGTAACAAGAGTATTTAAACAGTATCTGAGCGCCATTCTACGCTGTGTTCCCGCCAGACATCGCAACGCTACACCAGCGTTGCGACTGCTATGTTCATCCAGGTTCATCCCCTCTCCGGGTGTCCTCAGGCTCTCCGGGTGTCCTACCTCGGTGTACGGTCGGCTGGAAGATGGTCGTCTCCGTGGCTGACCGAGAGGTACGAAGGAAGACCGTGACATGCGCACCGGACTGGGTATCATATGTAACCCTCAAGTCCGGCCATGCCGCGAGCCGCCCGCACAGGACACCGCGGGCTGCCCAATCTTTTTGAACTTCGAAAATTCTGAGAGCAGTGGAGGCGAGGAACATTTTCGGAGCACACGCAGTGAACGCCATAGCCGGCCGGCCCGGGTAGTCGCGTCTCCTTGGGCGCTTGTGGTCTTCCGGTGTACCATACTCTTGCCATCCTCGGTGCTCAAACGTCCCACCAGTGCTCGCATACCGCCATTGCACCACCCCGGCCTGCAGATCCAACATGGACGCCAGGCTTCGTCGCGTGAACAAGGAGATCGCGGGTGCGTACCAAACGAGGCCCTCGGTAGCCCCATGATGCACCTCATACATTCCAGCCAGACTGCAAGAACGACAAGTCCTCGAACATCGAGATCGATCTCGTCGACAACTCGCCGTTCCACCTAATAGGCTCGTTCGATGGCCCTGAGGACACCCCATACGAGGGCGGCCACTTCCAGGTCGTACGTCCCTCCCGTCCCGCATCCTCACCTGCAACCCAGTAACCAGCGCCCCCTTGTACAGGACATCGTCATCCCCGATTCATACCCGTTCCAGCCGGTCAAGATGAAGTTCATTACGAAAATCTACCACCCGAACGTCTCCTCCGCGTCGGGCGCGATCTGCCTTGACATCCTCAAGGACGCCTGGAGCCCCGTGCTCACGCTCAAATCCACGCTCATCTCCCTCCAGTCGCTCCTCTGCTCGCCCGAGCCGCGCGACCCCCAGGACGCCGAGGTCGCGAAGCACTTCATGACCAGCAAGAGCAGCTTCGAGGAGACGGCGCGGTATTGGACGGAGATCTACGCGGGCGGCCCGGGCAAGGGCAAGGCGGCGGGGCCTAGGGACGAGGTGGCGATGGCGGGCTTAGACCCGGCGCATGTGCAGCAGTTTCAATCGCTGGGGTTCGAGAAGGGAAAAGTGGTGCGTCTGCATTCCTCATGCAATGGAAGTGCAGGGCCTGCTCGAAAGCATGAGCCGGGCCCCCATCTGCGCCTAGTTGGCGCACTGTTGCTATTCTGTGTCTAGAAAAGCGAGGCCATTGGTTGCTGATTGCCTCTGAACGTAGATCGATGTGTTGCGACGAATGAATTACCGCGGGGCGAACGTTGCAAATATCAACGACGACAGGGTGGTTGAGGAGCTCCTGAAGCCATAGCATACTGTACCACTGCACAAAGCCATCTGTATAACATTGCCCCGACTATCCTGGTCTTTCACATATACCTTGCAAGTAAGCGCTGCAGATCAACGCATTCACGGTGGCCACGCCTCATGGTGAGCTGAGATCGGCTATTGGTATATTTTTTACAATATATCACTACACTTCGTTGGTCGGAAATCCTACTGGACCCACGCTTTTGGTGTCTTCAGCACCTCCAACACCTCGCCCTCCCGCGTCCCAGGCTCGCCCATGTCGGTCATGTATTCCCACCGCGCTTCCTCCGGTAAACTCATGAGCACGCTCTCAATGCGCGCTCCCGGTGTCAACAGACCGAAGCGTGTGCCGCGATCATACACGAGGTTGAACTCGACGTAACTACACAAATCATCAGCACGAGTGTCTCGGACAAGCCAGTGGGTAAACGTACCGGCCGCGTCGGAGGAGCTGCCACCGTCGCTCCTCCGCGGTGTACGGCGTGCTCGAGCGCAGCTTCAGGATAGGGATGTAGCTCGGGACGAACGCGTTCCCCAGATTCTTCACCATCTTCAGGATTGCCTCTGGGCTCCTCGGCCTGCCCTCGTCCGCCGGCGCGCCGCCCACCTCGCCGAACGCGCTGAACGTCTTGTGGTCCTCGTCGCAGAGGTCGTCGAAGAAGATGCCGCCGATCCCGCGCGACTCGCCGCGGTGCGGGAGGTAGAAGTATTCGTCGCACCACTTCTTGAACACGGGGTAGAGCGCGGCGCCGTGCGGTGCGGCCGCGTCGCGGAGAGTCGCGTGGAAGTGCACCGCGTCCGCAGGGTAGAGGTACGACGGCGTGAGGTCGGACCCGCCGCCGAACCACCACGCGAGGGGTTTGCCCTGCGGCGCCTGTGTGCTCGCGGGCTCAGAGGGGGCCTCTGACGGCTCTGCCTGCTCGATCTTGTCCGCGATCTCGAAGTAGCGGTAGTTCGCGTGCACGGTGGGCGCGTGCGGGTTGCGGGGGTGGATGACGAGGCTGATGCCCGCGGCGAAGAAGGGCAGCGCGCCCTTCCCGTCGACGTCGAGGTCCTTCAGGCTGCCGTGGTCCGCGCGCATCTGTTCACCGCCGCGGGCGGGAGCGACCCGTGCACGATCGAGATGTTCACGCCCGCCTTCTCGAGGCCGTCTCCGTGTTGGACGGCTGCTGCGCCGCGGCGGGCGGGACGGCGAACACGCACGACACGCCCCGCCCGCCCTGGGGGCGCACCCAGGCGTCGCGCTTGAACTTAGGAGCCGAAGGGTCGAGCGACTCGAGAGCGAGCACGATCTCATCCTGGAGAGCCGAGATGTAGTCCTCGACTTGCTGGCGCATCGGTTTCTCGGACTGGGGGGTAGCCATTGTTTCCGACGGTGTCAAGGGCCTGACTGTTATTGACGAGGAGCGAGATGGTCTCGGCGGCTAGGTGATCGCGGCAGGAAAGGTTGGAGATGGAACTGGCTGGGACTGGGCCGCTGCAGCCAAAGCGTCTAGATGGGCTCCATACATCCGCACCATGCGATGAGAAAGAATCGTACGACGCACTAGCACGACTGTCCAGAGGTCGGAGGGACTCTCAAATCAGTGAGATTGTGACGAGCTAGACGAGGAGGACGAGAAAGACGGGGCTTGAGGACGATGGAGAGGAGCCGGAGGAAGCTAGTCCGAAAGTAGTATCGCTCAACGAGCGTCTACCATTCACATACTTCCAGTCAATAGACTCGCCGTGATACATTGTAGCTATACGACCCTCAAGCCCTTTTGAAGCGTGGGTGGCGCACAGACAGTTTCCTCGCAGCGTATGGTCGGTTTGACGGAGGGAAGGACTAAGTAACTGGGTGCGATCATGCCAACCCGATGACCCCGACGTTCAATCTAATATACTGTTACTAGAATACACCGACGACTCGGAGACATCAACGGGATCAATACAAGAACATGCGGTGGTGAAGTCAATCTACTGAAATATCGTGCAGTGCCGCCGCTAATAAATGTGCGGAAGAGCCATCGTTGGACAACACACTGGTCTCTTCCATCTCACTCGACATCTTCTCAATATACTCCCCTGCGCCCGAAAGATGTGCCACACGAGCACTGCTGCATGGACCCGCAGATAATCCGGAGACGGCAGTGGAAGACTCCGGGATCCGGGGTCGTAAAGTGACGTTCGTTGGTATATACGCTGCCGATACATCGGGAGTGTAGATTTGGGCGTGTATGTGTTTGGCGTGTCCTAGTCGAAATACTGTTTTGACCCGATGCCGAATGTACAGAAGCACACTCACGCTGCTCTCAAGCCATAATCTAAGGCTATCAAACCAGGCGCGTTCATAGCCACCGAGTGTCATAAGTTTCTAGCGGTGGAGGCCGGGGCCATTGAGTTGATCAAAGACGACGTGTCACAGACCGCGCCATGGCACCCAATACCGTAGCGGCATAGTTGTGCTGTGAACGGGCAGTGTGCGAATTCGTGCCAGATTGATTGAGAGACCACACCTTTGCAGGGCTTGATGGATATTGGTGGAATCTGGAGAATGTGGGCGGCCACAGTCTCGCCGATATCGTTGGGTGCGTTCGCTGCAAGGATATGAGGCATAGATTCGACGGAGCTTGCGTCGTACACGCCGGTGAGCATGCAACGATACTCGTCCCGTATGAGAGCCTATAAATGCCAGCACAAATAAGAAAGCAATGACATCAGTTGGCCATGACTCGGAGCACGACGCACCTTCCGCTTTGCTAACGTATGATTTTCTGGTACCTCTTCAAGCAGATGATTCAGATTTTTGGATTTTTGGGAAGTGGCAGTGGCCTTGGAGAAGAGTCACCCGATGGTTTCCGAGTGCGACATTTGGCGGCTCGGACTGTAGTAGAGAAAGTACCCTCAGGCTGCCATCTACAACATTAAGGGGCCTTACTCACAGCAACGGAGGAAATGATTGATATAGAGCATCGCCAGCTATTCAAACTGAACGTCGTCGTCGCATGAGTTGATCTTAAGTGCCAGGAAGTCGCGTCCTGCATCGCTGGGAGCTTCAAGCATGGAGTAGCCCAGAATCCTCGCGCGTACGAGCGTGGTGGCGTCGCTGGAGGTTTCGCCGACCTCTTCAAACCGGAGGCATTTGGTGTACGCATCTCGCCACTGCTGGCGTGCGTAGGTTGTCGATGGTAGGGATTGGGGCATTGAATGTTAGGAATGAATATTAAATTCACGAAGTCCATTTTTAGAGAGGAGCGACGCCACATCTGCGCCACAAATTGGCCACAGACAACTCAAGTTACTAAATTAGTACATTCGCGTACGCGTACAGCACGTGACAACGGATCCGGACAGTGAGGAGAACTATCACTATCAGCAACACTAGGGGAGCTCAGACTGAACGGGCAAGGGTACGGGTACGGGCAAGGGCACGTCACGGGACGGTCCGGCCGCACGGCGACTGTAGGGTTAGCCACAATTACCGTAGATGCTGCCACCGTTAACCCTAGCCTAGTTCTTCCAGCTTCTACGCCACTGCTCTTTGTTACAGACAGTATTTGGATAGTATAATCAGTATGGCTCTCAAGGCTAACGCGCACCAAAGAGAAAAATCAATTTGATGACAATCGACATGGCTCGTAAATATTGTACGCACGATGCACCTACTATAGCCTACTACAGCTGAACTCGAGTGCGGGAAAGTGCCAGCGCCTGCCGAAAGCGGAATATACTAATCGGGTAACATAATATTTCCGAAAGCAGAACTACGTACTTAGGTATATGTTTTCAAAGTATTAGAGGATGGCGGCGTCGCATTTGCGATGACGATCCAGCTGCCTCCTATCATGCTACCGAAACGGATGTACGTGCTCTATATACCTTGTCGGGACCAAACTATTGTACAATTACTGCTGCACAAACCCTAACGTTACGTGGCAGCCCCTACTGCTAACCCTACGGTTGCCGCGCGGCCGGACCGTCCCCGTGACCTACCCTTGCCCGTACCCGCACCCTTGCCCGTTCAGTCTGAGCTCCCCTACTATGAGTACAACTAATCTGTACATGCGCGACCAGACGATGGCTCTCTGAACCCCTCCATGGCGCCAGAGCTTCTCAAAAGCGTGTTTCGGTGGAGCGACCTATGCAGTTCGACTCTGGAAGACCCCTGGTGCATATCCACAGCTGGTCACCGTGTCCGAGTCTCCAGCCGGCAGGTTCACTAGTATGTACTGTACGCTGGGAAGGCTATCATCCAGGACATGTGCCGCTCTCTTCATATCCTGCATCCTGACTCATCCATCCACCTCGCCGCAGCATCATCTGGGCTGAGTCCCTCAACGGCGTGGAGGTAGTCCATCCGCGCAACGCCGGCATTGCCTATCCTGAGCCCGCGCAGGGCCGCATTCGTATCAGGAGACAGGTTTGCAGCGAGTGAGCTGGAGATGATGATGCGCGCTGCGTCAGGTGTCCGTGCGCGCAGGAGGTCGTCTGGATCTTCTAGCGCGCGGATGTTGAACCGAGAATGTAGGTATTGCGGATGCCAGAGCGGGACGATTACCCATTCTGCGCCGAAACCAGAGGTCAGTCGACGGCTCGCAGCATGGCCGGACTAGTGACTAACACGCACCTCGTCTAGCATATGCCTCTTCGAACGCTGCACAGCACGTCGGTATGTCGCCCTCGACGAAGCGCAGGTCGAGCCCATACCGCGCGATAATCTCCTTCGAGAACCGCGAGATTCCGGCACCAGCGTTGATTCCCTGCACTGTGCGCACGAACCGCGTCACCACTTCTGGCTTCGCGAGGTCCGTGATGGAGCGCACGACCTCAATGGGGACGTAGTCGGGCACGCCCCAGATGCAATATGGGTCGTACACCGGTGCGGAGCTCTCTGCCTCGCCGAGGACGAGTATATCGTCTTTGAAGGGTTCGAGGTAGGCTCTGTGCGAGCCTGGCAGCCAGCCGACGAGGAGCTGCGTGCGGCCCGAACTGAGGTCTTGAAAGGCGCGTTCGTGCGGCGCGGAGACGACCTCAAGTATGGTGATGTCGTATCTGGCGAGCACGACGCGGATGACGGCTGCCACTACCTGCAAGACAAAACAACATCAGCCAGTCCATCTGAAGGGAAAGAGGGCGAACCTGGTGGAAGGTCAGGTCAATGACGCCCTGGGTGACGGTGACAGGGTTCATATTGGGATTGGCTTTGAGAGGGTAGTGAGTCTCCAGCTGCACCGGTGAGTGTGCAATTTATGACCTGAGCCTTCCACGGACTCGGAGATTGCACGCAAAGGGAGATTGCCAGTGTTCACTTCAACATCCATGCGACATGACATCAGGAAACCTACCCCACCCGAATTTGTGGAAATCTGCACAAATTCGCACGAATCTCCTGGAGACCCCATTTACTTGACCCCCCGGATTCCCTCGCTCGAATTTGCGTGAATTCACATCCAATGGCTGTGAATTGCAAGGAAATACTAGTTCAGCCATACAATTTGAGTACTTCAATTCACATTGTTTTGCATGTATTTACACGCATAGCCACTACATCCACCCTACTCTACTCATACCTACAGCTAGGCATTTGCCCAGAGCACTCACTGTTGCTGTGCCCACCCCCTCATCCGCTCACCTGGTTGCTTGCTTGCCCATCTGTCTGCTCGTCTGCCCGCCCGCCTGTCCATTCATCCGTCCACATGCCCGCTCGGGCGCGTGTTCGTTGGCCGTGTCTGCGTGCTGGGCATTTGCCCAGCGCGCTCGCGGTCACCGCGCGCATGGTGGTCGACCACGCCCTGTGTGCTCACCCTCTTGCCCTCTCGCCCGCCCGCTCGCGCACCCACCCGTCTTCCTGCTCACCTAGGAGATCGAGAAGGGTGTATCGACTCATGTCGAGCATGCCCCAACCGAACCCCAAGAGGTCTCGTCGTCCAGGTCGTTCAGCGCGCGCATCCGGCTCTCGTGCACCTCGACGAGCTTCTGCCTGCTCTCGAGCGCCCTGCGCCCGAGCACGACGTCGTCCCACATGCCCTGCGTCTCACGCAGGTCTTCTTCGTCTGCGACCCGCCTGGGCTTCTTCAGATTGTACCACGCCACATCCTTGAACGAGGTGTGGAACTCCCGCTCGGGCCCCATCCGGAGGCTGAAGTTCTTGAGGTCGCCGTAGTAGCGCCCTCTCCAGAACTTTGGGTCTGTGGGGTCGTAGTTCACGTCATCCTCGACGTAGTGTATGTACCCGTCGTCCTCATCGTCCTTGACCTCGTCGTCCGTGTGACCGAACTCGAAGACATGCTCGTCGTCGAGCGACGCTGACTCGTCCGACCCATGCTCTGACGGGTCGTCAGAGAAGACCTTCTCGGTGTCGCTCAACTCGTCCTCGGTGTCATCACGTACACCTTGCGCTCGGTCCTGCTGGGCGGTGGCGAGGTACTCCCGCCGTCTGTCCGTCGGCTGTGCCTGCACGCAGGGCATTGGCCCTGAGTGCTCGCGGTCGTCGCACTGCACGTTGCTGTGTTCTGTGTCTACGTTAGTGTTAGTGGACTCGTTCGCGTGTGTCTTCACTCACCGGTGGACTGAGCCCATTCAGCTGTCTCATGGAAGGTCATGGTACAGCCGACGCGCAGTCTCGTGGAACAGGATGGGATGGGCCGACGCCGGCCGACCGCGACTGTCTCACGGAAGGCAATCGGGTCGGCCGAGGGCAAGGCGGGCAAAGCGGGCAAGGCGGCGCGTGGGACTATTGGCTCTCAAGACGGATTGGTTCACTACCCAACGCAGCTCGATACAAAAATGGACCATACGTTAGTAGAAATGAATCAAATTAGTGACTGCCAAACATTCTTGTCCAGCCGACGATTGTGTCTCCCCCATGACGATGCACTACCCGACTGTGGGCTGGAGATGGTTTGCGGCCGACCACCGTCTTAGTTCACCCGACCATTCCGTCTCACCCATACCAATACGCCCACCGACCGTCGGCTGGTGAAATGAGTCCAGCAGATGCCCGTCTTAGAGCACTCGACCGTTTAGTCTCACCCATACCAATCCATCCACCGACCGTCGGCCAGTGAGTGTGTCCGGCCGATGCCTGTCTTAGTCCAGCCGACCATTCCGTCTCATCCATACTAATCCATCCACCGACCGTCGGCCAGAGATGGTATGCAGCCGATTCCCGTCTTAGCCCAGCCGACCATTCCGTCTCACCCATACTAATCCATCCACCGACCGTCGGCCAGAGATGGTATGCAGCCGATTCCCGTCTTAGCCCAGCCGACCATTCCGTCTCATCCATACTAATCCATCCACCGACCGTCGGCCAGAGATGGTATGCAGCCGATTCCCGTCTTAGCCCAGCCGACCATTCCGTCTCATCCATACTAATCCATCCACCGACCGTCGGCCAGAGATGGTATGCAGCCGATTCCCGTCTTAGCCCAGCCGACCGTCTTGTCTCATCCATACCAATCCATCCACCGACCGTCGGCCAGTGAGTGTGTCCGGCCGATGCCTGTCTTAGTCCAGCCGACCATTCCGTCTCACCCATACTAATCCATCCACCGACCGTCGGCCAGAGATGGTATGCGGCCGATGCCCGTCTTGGTCCAGCCGACCGTCTTGTCTCATCCATGACGAACCACTGTCCGACCGTCGGCTGGAGTAAGTCCTCAGCCGACCACATTGTGATGCAAGCCGACCGTTGTCTCATCCATGGCAAACAAGCAACCGACCACAGGCTAGAACATGGTTTGCAGCCGACCACTAAGGTTGGACCCAACCGACCCAGTCGGCTGAGCTACGACAGTCTGTTGGCGCACCAATGGCTGTGCCAAGAATCTGGACCATAGATTGAATCGATGCAATAATTGTGTGTAACTGCCGTGAAACGCCGCTGCCAGTAATGCCGCCGCGTACCTCGACATCTACTACTGCTGAAGAATGGAACCCAGGATACACACAGCAAAACGACTCCGCTGGCGGAGGCAGCAAATATAGGTGATGGGATGTGTACCGTTGACTAAGATTTTGAACTTCTCAAACGTAGGCCGTAGACTGGATCCCTCATAAGCCCATCCAATAACCGTCTTGACCGAACCGTCTTGAACGAACCGTCTTGACCGAACCGTCTTGATTGAACCGTCTTGAGTCAAATGACCTGGGCCAACCGTCTTGATAAGCCCGCGTTGACCCCGCCGTCTTGACACAGCCGATAACCGTCTTGAAACGGCCCAGTACAGTGTCAGATCAAACACTGGCATTATAGGTTTACATGAGGACTCATGTTAGGTTTGACATCTTTTTTCCCGCTCAGTACTCGCTCTTCCCCAATCTGGCATGAGCTCAACTCCGAACTTAAGCCTACTGTCACGTGGCTCCGAAGTCACGATACACTCATCATCCTGATATGGTGATCGCATTCCGATCACAACAGACAGCCTCCTGTCAAGTGATACAAGATCATCTGGCTCTGGGCAGTTGTAGCCGGCCATCTCAAGCGTGCGATCAATACAAGCCATAACAAAAAGATGTAGGGCTGCCTTGACTGACATTGCAAGTCGACCTCGCCCCTCCGCCAGCGATGTCGAATACACCACTACCCTCGCAGGCTGAGACAGGTTCGCTACTTACGATTATCCGCTAATTGAACAACGAGCTTACACGCATTGGCTGCAAGGACGGTCGGAAAGCAGCGAGCTTCATCCGATGCGAGAGGAACGGTCGGAATCCCCTGACGGCCTGCTCAGAGCGGCGTACATTGGCGTAAGTCCTACCGCTTTGACTCAGATTGCCAGGAGGAGTGACTGCTGCTCTCTCTGCCCAGGCCGCCCAATCCCCTCCATTATCACCTTCGAGCTCTGAAGACGTAGCAGCGGCAAACGATCCCTCGCTGTTACCCACATCAAGCGAAACCCAGACAGCCCGGGACAAGGACGACGAATCGAGTAGCGACGCCTCCCCGTTTGGATGGTTTCAGGAGCAGCTGCGAGTTCTGCAGGAGGTGCACGACGACGAAATGGACAACCGGCGTGAAGAGCTTGAGCAAGCATTCGACCGTATTGACTTCCTGGAGGATCAGTGGGAAAGGGCTCGTGATGAGGCAGGGCGAGCAATACTGGAGATCGACGTCCTACGCGGTGCCAACACCGAGCTGCGCGCCGCCCTGTCGGAGGCGAACGAGAGGGTAGTCCTTTTGAGCGCGCTTGTTAATGAGCTTCGGGAGAATCTGCAGCCGCCCAGCAGAGACCAGTAGCACCGTCTTGGATAGTCCTCACTATCGTCGCATTCCTATGCACGCTCACCGCTTTGAAGTGCCCCACGCGCAAGCTAAAAATTCGCCCACGACAACGTTGAATACATGTCTGGCTGAGAGGACTGATGGCCGATTGCAACTGTGGAGCTATCAACGGAAAGGGAAGTTAGGCGAACCATCCGGTCCTGGAAAACTAGCCTACGCCCATGCCCACCTGCACGTGTACATCCGATAAGCCCTCTCCCATGCCGTACAGAATCGAATCAGCTGGGCTTGACCGACGACCTCCATTCTCAGTAGGCACCATGAGAACACCGACAGGCAAACGGGCCATAAAGATTCCCCTGAGGAACACCTTAGATCCAAAGGTCGTTGTTCGCGTTGCAATGGCGGTCAAGAAGGTGACCAAGCGCGGAACAACATATTCGATGAAAGAGATTAAACGACACAGCTCGGGAGCACCAAACGTTTTAACAACAGGAAGGCCTAGCAGAGCACCCCGAGAGCGTCCTGCAGACATGACCCAGGACGTTGACCTAGGAGTGAACATTCAGCTCGGACCAGAGCACGTGAAGGGCAAGGGCCGTTCGGGGAAGGTGAGCTGCATCAAAGAGGGGGTGACTGCAGAGACTGACGGGTGCCCACAGTCACAAGCGGATTTCTTGAACGACTGGCTGCCACATCGCTCAATATTCTTGAAATATCTAATCAATGCTGAGGCTCCTACGGATGAGAGACAATGCAGGGACTGCAAGACGGTGTCTGCCCAATGGAGATGCACAGACTGCAACGGCAGGCCGTCCCTATGCACGGGTTGCTGCTTGGAACGTCACGCAAATGACTTTCTTCACCGAATCGAAGAATGGATTGCCTCGCCAACTGTAAGACGATGTCCCCAAAGGTGTGAGGATGGTCTGACAAGCATCAATAGAGAGGAGGAAACGCA